CTTTCTTGGTTCTGCTCTTGGTTTATCACAGCTCTCGGAACGTCCAAAAGACTCACAATGTCCACAGCGCGACCTTGCACACTCGCCCCCAGTCTACCCATCACCATGGATGGACCCCAGTGCCGATGGCTGGGCTGATGCCTACGCCAAAGCAAAGGATTTCGTTTCCCAATTGACTCTTCTCGAGAAGGTCAACTTGACCACCGGAGTCGGGTATGTATACTATCTATCCGTTGGCAAAACATGGCTAACGAGACTACAGATGGCAAGGAGATGTCTGCGTCGGAAACGTCGGTTCTGTTCCCCGCCTCGGCCTTCGCGGTCTTTGCATGCAAGATGGCCCCGTTGGCATTCGTTTCACCGACTACAACTCCGTCTTCCCCTCCGGCCAGACTGTCGCCGCGACCTGGGACCGAAGCTTGATCTACCGCAGAGCCGAGGCCATCGGTTTTGAACACCGCTCGAAGGGCATCGACGTTGTCCTCGCCCCTGTTGCCGGACCCATCGGTCGTGCACCAACTGGAGGCCGCAACTGGGAGGGGTTCTCCGTGGACCCTTACCTGACAGGTATCGCCATGGCCGAGTCGGTCAAGGGCATCCAGCAGCACGCTATTGCTTGCGCCAAGCATTTCGTTGGCAACGAACAGGAGCACTTCAGACAGGCTCCGGAAGCTATTGGCTACGGATACAACATCACAGAGTCCATTTCGTCCAACATTGACGACAGGACTATGCACGAGCTCTACATGTGGCCCTTTGCTGATGCCATTCGCGCCGGTGTTGGTTCCATCATGTGCTCTTACAACCAGGTCAACAACTCGTACGGTTGCCAGAACTCGAAGCTTCTCAACGGTCTTCTCAAGGAAGAGCTCGGCTTCCAAGGGTTCATCATGTCTGATTGGCGAGTGGCTCCCATTCCCGCATTGGATGTGCAAAGACAGCGGCTAACATGATCACAGGCAAGCTCAACACGTACGTGTCCCCGTAATGACCGAAGCGAGATTTGGCTTCTCTCCCCTATCTCCTATCCCAGCTAGCAAAGAAGTACCATACTGACTTCTCAATAGGCCGGTGCTGCTACCGCTGTTGCAGGTCTCGACATGGCCATGCCGGGTGATGTTCTCTTCAATACCGGAACTACCTTTTGGGGAACCAACTTGACCGTTGCTGTCCTCAATGGCACCGTTCCCGAATACCGCCTTGACGATATGGCTCTGCGTATCATGGCTGCCTTCTTCAAGGTCGGCTTCGAAGTTGAATCAGTCCCCGAACTCACATTTTCCTCGTGGACCAAGGATACTGTCGGACCCGTTCAATACTATGCCAAGGAGAACACCCAGGTCATCAACCAGCACGTCGATGTTCGCAAAGGCAGAGACCACGCCAACCTTATTCGTGAGATTGCCGCCAAGGCCACTATCCTGTTGAAGAACGAGGGCGCCTTGCCACTCAACAAGCCCAAGTTCTTGGCCGTCATTGGAGAGGATGCCGGACCCAACCTCAAGGGTCCCAACGGATGTGACAACAGAGGCTGCAACGATGGCACTCTTGGTGCTGCGTGGGGATCAGGAACGGCCGAATACCCCTACCTGGTCACGCCCGATCAGGGTCTGTCAGCCCGCGCCGTCGCTGATGGTTCCCGTTACGAGAGCATCTTGAGCAACTACGACTCTGCGGCTACCACTGCCCTGGTTTCTCAGGCCGACGCCACAGCTATCGTTTTCGTCAATGCCAACGGCGGTGAAGGTTTCATCAACGTAGGAGGCAACGAGGGCGATCGCCAGAACCTGACGCTTTGGAACGCCGGAGACGAGCTTGTGAAGAATGTTTCCGCCGTCAATAACAACACCATTGTTGTGATTCACTCCATTGGCCCAGTCCTGTTGACTGACATGGTCAACAACCCCAACATCACTGCCATTGTTTGGGCCGGCCTTCCCGGGCAAGAGTCGGGTAACTCCATCGCCGACGTCCTCTACGGAAATGTCAACCCGGGAGGCAAGTCTCCCTTCACGTGGGGTCCCAACCGCGAGAGCTACGGTGCCGATGTTTTGTACGAGCCCAACAATGGCGAGGCCGCTCCCCAGGACGACTTCACCGAGGGCGTCTTTATCGACTACCGCCACTTTGACCGTGCTACTGCTGGATCCAACAGCTCCGGTGTTGCACCCATCTACCCCTTTGGCTTTGGTCTGTCGTACACCACCTTTGAATACTCCAACCTGGCCGTGGCCAAGGGCAATGCCGGCGCGTATGCCCCGACAACTGGAGAGACGGCGGCAGCACCCACCTTCGGCAACTACAGCACGGACCCGGCCGAGTACGTCTTCCCCAGCAACGAGTTCCGGTACATCTACAACTTCATCTACCCCTACCTGAACACCTCGGACGTCAAGGAGTCTGCCAACGACCCGACCTACGGCAAGACTGCTGAGGAGTTCCTGCCTCCCAACGCGGTTGCAAGCACCCCTCAGCCCAAGCACCCCGCATCGGGAGCCCCTGGCGGCAACCCGCAACTTTGGGATGTCCTTTACACAGTGACTGCTACCGTGACCAACACGGGCAAGGTTGCTGGTGATGAGGTTGCTCAGCTGTACGTCTCGCTCGGCGGTCCGGAGGATCCCGTCAAGGTGCTCCGTGGATTTGAGCGCATCCCCATTGAGGCCGGCGCGTCGGCGACCTTCACGGCGGAGATTACCAGACGTGACCTCAGCAACTGGGACACGGCGAGCCAGAACTGGGTCATCAGCGAGTACCCGAAGAAGGTGTGGGTTGGAAGTTCGTCAAGAGACCTGCCTCTCAGCGCGTCTTTGTAGATGGCACGATGTTTGCGACTGGATTGTGGTGTGGATACGGCGACTTGAATAGTACCCAGTAGTTTCTAATCAATTATGTTTACTCACATTTTGGATGAATACTCTCCCATGCTTGATACTGCCTACATAGTATCTTCTCAAGGCCTCTGATATCACTCAGCGGGTCATGATAAATCTCTTTCGCGATCACGTTGTTTATGGCTATTGAATCGGCTCGGATCACGGGAAGAAATCAGGGATGAAGATGTGACTGACTCGAGCAGCAGCATTGAGTGACGCAACATGGGCCACATTTCGGTTCACGGAAGACGATGTGCCCTTGCAGGTTGCAATATGACGTGAGGGCAGAGCAATACTGAAAATTTTCTGATGGTTACAGAATGCGATGGCTCATCGAACTATATCCAGTATGCCGTCGATCTCGAGGTTTGAAAAACTGGTAGGTACTCTGTACACAGAGCACAGATGCATGAGAGGGAGAATGCTTATATCAGACCGAACGTGCTTACTCTCACCGATGCTCACCTTGCACCCCGCCCAGGTGACGACAGAGACTCTAAGGTGGAGGCATGGACCGTGCATTGTGTATCACCGAGCCAATCAGACCATGTCGTATTGCGTATGTAAGCAAAGTTGGTCTGGTGATGCAGTGACAGCGTAAAGGAAGGAAGAGAGTCTGGAAGGCGTCGAGGACTGGAACATTGGTCAAAAGTGGGGTAAGAAGAAGGAGCCAACCTCAATGGGTCTTGGCAGTTGACTGAATCTGGACCTTTCCTCATCAGGCCTTAGCGTGGGTGATCCGAGGCTCCTCCGGCCTCAAAGCGATCAGTGGGCAAGCACGAAGGCCACCCATAGTGTTTCCACTGCGGAATTCCTTCTATTTTTTGGTGATTGTTACTCATCACCAGACCCGGGTACCTCAATAACCTTAGGTAAGCAGCGAATTCCAAGGGTCCCGCGCAGCCGGAGGGGACAGCCAACTTGATGAGGGTTGAAGAAACACAGACAGACATTGGACCAACGCCTCTCAGCTTGACCCCGCTACATCTCTCGATTGCGCTCCTTGTGTCCCGTCGTCTGTATCCAGTGTGTTCCATTGACATCTTTCCCTTCTTTTCTTTCCTCTTCCGGTTCTCGTTTTCTCTACTAGAGATTTTTGACTCCCAGCGCCCGAGTCTCGCGTACAGTTTGCAATTCGCAATCCTGCTTCTTTAGCTTCGCCCGATTGCGCGCACTGCGTTACCTTGCAGCTGTCATCGTCTCTACTCCTGCGAACCCATCTGCGAACCCCCATCTCGCCGTCGCTTCGGGATCTCGGCATTCAGTCTTCAGTAGGCTGTAGCTTCTTTGCTGGTCCCCTCATCACCTCCTCCTATCCTCCAATCCCCAACCTCCAAAGGCTATTACGCCCTCTCTTCAGGCAAAAAAAAAAAAGGGACTCCTCTTTCGCCAACGACGGAGCCGCATTGGAACGAACCATTGGGAACCACACACAGCCAGACCAGGCTCCGAACCGCAAACAGCACAAGCTCCATTTCTCGTTTCTCGTTTCCTCTCAACGGCCGGTAACGCACATCCGGGCGGCAGAGGGGAAAAAGAGAGAAGTGAGAATTGCAGAAGCAACCTTGTCTTGCCTTGCCTTACCTAAGGTACCTCTAACCGCCGCAATTGGGACCTCTCAAAGCCCGAATTGTCTTTCCCACATCCATTACCCGCCTCCGGCCACCAACACCGGCATCCCGAACGAGACAGAGAGACACACCCGACCACACGCCGCCAGCACCGTACTCCGAACGACGGTTTCCGCCTTGCTGCAGGAATCGCAACTTCCGAGTGTCCAGCCTGCCCGCCGTCTGCGAGCAAAAAAAACCCACGACGCACACGCTCATCGCCTCCGATCGGCCGCCCGGCTGGCCCCCGTCACTTCCGTGAACTGTAAATCCTTCCAAACCGGCGGACGGGCTTCGAAAGGGGGAGTTCCCACCTTTCTGTGCCTGTCCCATTCAGAGGATCAGAGGAAGCAGCTTTAGTCACCACGGCCTGCTGGATTCTCGGTACGCGACAAACACCGAGCTGCATCTGTCGCCGTGACCGTGTCCGTAACCTCCACCACTGCCACCGTTTTCACCTCCGCCGCCGCCGCCGACGACGACATCCGGGTCTGATGCAAGGCCCGTCGTCATCATGACCGAGTCGCAGACCACCCCGACCCCGGATCAGGCCTCCATCGATGATCTTACCCCCGAGGAGGCCAACCGCATCATCCACTCTCATCGCAAGGTCCGATATGGTGAGTGACTCTTCACTGCCCTCAGGGTTCTGACGATGTATTGTCTGCCCATCAACCCTCATCTCATTTCATCTCATAACCCCTAGGCAAGAAACATGAGATGAAATGCTCTTCACGTTCTCTTACCTTCATCTCAAGCCCATTTCATAAATCACTCATCTCACCATCCATTGACTCACACTAATACTTCCCGAAGGCACCGCTTGCTGGCCATGTCGCCAACGCAAGGTAAAGTGCGACAACAAACAACCATGCGAGAATTGCGTCAAGCGCGAACACCCACAACTATGCTCCTACAAACCAAATCGCACAGCCTCTCACGGCACCAACCATAAGCCCGCTGGCTCCGTCACAACCGAGGGCGGCAACAGCACCGCCGGCGGTAACGGTGTCGCCGCTACAACCGCGCCGACTACAGCAGGCAACGGCACCGCGTCATCAACGCTCAACCGCAAACGCCCACACTCGCCCGAAGATCCCGCCGCGGACGCCGCCGCGGGCCAACCTCCCCTAAAGCAGGAACCCGGCGGCGCGACCTGGCCACGCGCGGCTATCGGTAAGTTATCATCATCGTCTTCACTGCCGCAAGACCAGGACACCCACTCTGGCCTGAGGTCTTTTGCTTCTGCAGCATCATCGTCGTCGTTTATGGGAAACAACAACGGGTTGTATACTGATAAGCTCCCCCGGGGACCAGTAGCCGCAGGCGTGGTGGACGAGACCGAGGCCCCCGAGGCCGTGACGCGGTATTTGGGACAGAACAGCATCCCTTCCTTGCTGAGGGAGCAGTCCGGCGCCAACGAGCTGCAAGAGGGCGTCGATATACGGCAGGATATGCGGTCCATTCTCGGGCTTGATACCTCTGCGCCGTTCCCGCTCATGTCATCGAAGCATCTCGATAGTCTGACGAGAGAGATTTCGGCGGAGCTGCCCTCGGACCGGGAAGTTATGAAGTGAGTGTTTTCTCCTCCTCCTGACACAGGATCATTATGGATAATGGGAAGACTAACAAAACAAGACTGTTCCGCACATACAAAGAAACACCCCAACAATTCTGGGGCTTCGTCGTCGACATTGACGACCTAGAGTCCAAGCTCATGGTCTACCTCGAAGACCGCGCCCGCAACGCAAGCAATGCCGCCCGCACACCGAAACCCGTGTCCGCCTCGTGGCTCGCCATCCTCTTTGCATTGCTGGCCGTCGGTTCACAGTACCACGACTCACCGTATCATATCCGCACGCGGGATTCCCAAAAGTACATACAAATATCGTTCCATTTCTTGCGGCTCGGCAACTTTTTACTGCGGTTAGTCATCCTTCTTTTCATATTCTGCTCACCCCCCCTAATCCTATGGAAATGGGTCCCACTCCGGCTATTCGGATCATGGCCGTGAAATGTAAATAAAATAAAACATCCACTGACCCGAGACCCCATATCGGCCTCAAGACCCACATTCGACTCCATACAAGCTCTTTTGCTTACCAGCTTCGTCCTCCTCAACGATATGAAGGCCGAAGCCTCGTGGGCCCTGCTCGGCCTCACTTGCAGACTGGCCCAGTCTCTCGGCCTGCACCGGCCGAACCCCTCCGACGGTCGGGACAGCGCACGGAACGACGGGCAGTCCAAGGAGATGATCCGCCGGAAGCTGTGGTGGACATGTGTGTGGCACGATACCCTCACATCACTATCGTTTGATCGGTAAGACTCAAAGGCTCGGCAAGCTACCTTACCTGACGCAGGCTAACATGAACAGTCCACCCATGACAAACATTCCCTGCTGCCCGATCCCAACAGTAGCAACCACCATCGCCGGCGAATACGGCTACCTAGACACAATGTACCACCTCTGCGAAATCATCTCCCGGCGCCTCAACCCAGACGTCGCAACGACAGTAAGCTACGAGCAAATGGTTGAAAACTGCGAGGCGGTAGAAAACCTCCGCAACATGGTCGCCCCCAACATCCGCATCAAAGAACAGTGCAAACGCGCCATCGACCGCCTCCAGCACTACGCCGTCCGCCTCCACACCTCCTTCGTCATCTCCGTCTGCTGCCGCCCCGCCCTCCGCCGCGACTGCACGAAGCTCACCCCCGAGCAGAAGCGCCACCTCTCGGACAAGTGCCAGCATAACCTCGCCGAGACGGTCCGCATGTTCCTCGCCATGCACCAGCTCTCTGTCATCCCCACCCGCAGCTGGGCGTTTACGTATCACGGCCTCTCATCAGCTCTGCTCCTCGGTATACTGGGTGAGACCAAGAACAGTCCGGAGGTCCGTCAATTACAAGGCGACCTCATCGCCGCGCTGTCCGCGACGGCCGCGAAGGAGGCCACCTCGCCCACGGCCCACATCCCCAAGACGGACAAGGATATCGAGCTGTCTGGGCCGTTATGGAGAGCGCTGACGGCGCTGCGCAACATTTACGAGCACGGCACCATTATGGGCATGTCACAGATGAAGGGGACCGACTCGAGCGGTACCGGAAGCGGGGCGAGGACGCCGTTACCGCCAATGCTCATGGGCCCGATGGGCAACAACGTCAACGGGAACAATGACGGGAAGCCGTTTGGTATGGACCCCCACCAGGACGCTGCTCTCGCCATGGCCGAGATGCAGAATGGTACAACAATGACGGAGTACACACCAAAGTATGTCACCTTTTGAGTTTCCTTGCGAGGAAGCTCTTGTTTCCCGGATCATGTGGACGACTGCTAACAAGCCACAGCATGGGATACCCACCCGTCAGCATGGATAACATTGCCAACCTGGACCCCTCAACATACATGTCGCCAATGGATCTCTACGAATCAATCTGGTGGGGTAAGTAGCGTTGCCGAATCTGTCCTCGGTTGAGAAGTATAAGGCTGACCTATCCTAGAATCGCCCGACCCCTGGAACAGTGGCGTAGACACGATGAACTTTGATTTCGTAGCCCAGCCCCCGCCGGGTCAGCCTCAGCAGCAATTCTATTTTTAAGTGAAGAAAAGCACAAAGCAAGTAAAGCATTGGAGGGAGAGAACAGACTAAAAACCTTTTTTCTGGATTCGCATCATCATATTCTTCTCGGAAAAATCATTTTCAACCAACCAACCAAATCGACATGACGCAGTATTGACTGATTGGGACATGAAAGCGGCGCTTCTCTTTTTTTGCTTTTTGGGGGAAACGAGGAAAGCATGAACCTAGGTTATCCCACGATTTGTTTTTGAGTTGGAAAATCGGAAAGGGGATGATGGATGAGTGGGTGGATGGTGCAAAGGCGAGAGGGGCGGCTGGCTTTGTTGTTATTTTTGGTTGAAAACTCTTTTCAATCTCGATAGACCCAGGCGCTCTTGATCTTGAATCTTGTTCGCTTCTTCCCACTAGCCTTTTTCTGGAGAGATGGTGTTGACGAGGTTGTCATCTATGATGTTTAATGAAGCTTTTTTTCCTTCTGCTTCTCCGGGGTTCCCACGTGTTACGATTCGGGGGTGGAAGTCAAGATGTCGTCCTGCTTCTTGGTTGCGGTCTACCTAGCGGATGTCTCAAGATAGGGGACGACGGTGCTCTTGTGCAGCTGTAGGATATAACAACTGGCGATGTAAAGAGGAAAGCCGTTCTCATCACTGTCACCCTCAACTGTGTGTGAACATCGAATTACCTTGGCCGCCGTGGATGAGGACTGTGAATCGGCATTTTCCTGGAATTTCGGCCCCACGTTTAGGCCCGGCCGATCTGAACCATCGGCGAAGGACGGCGATGGTGTAGAGCGGGGCCAATGCGACCGGAGGAATCTGGTGTAGTCTGCCCAAATCCCCCGCACGCAAGAATAGCTTAGCCTGTCTGTAGGCAAGCAAAACAGGGTCAAGAAGCAGCCACGCAGCCGATCAATTGGAGAAGAAAGCTCCGCCACAGTGCTGGGTGCGTGCTTCGACAGATTGGGCTCGGCGGCAGAATCCATTCTTCCGGATCGTGGACGCGCGGCTAGGGTGAACCCTTCAAACCCAAACTCAAGCCTCGACAACAGCTGCGACAGGCGATGGGTAGCCGGCACAACTCGAAACGAAGACTGCCATGTCCCGAATCGAGTGAGCAGTTTAAGGCGGGCTAAAATGTTGTTGGTGACGTATTGGTGGTGGCTCGTAGGGGAAAATGGTCAAAGTATTGGTAAGTACAGCCCAGGTAAATCACTGGCAATGCTCGTTGAACTCTGTGTCGAGGAGCATTCAATACCAAGGTTGGCACGTTGCCTGCCTCCAAGTTGTGACAGCCAAGAGTTGAGTTGAACAGCGGGATGGGCTGTGAAACCTGTACAGCTCGACCTAAACTCTGCTGCCGAAAGGAGAGGTCTTCGGGGTCCTGGCCATAGGCAACGACGATGGGATGATGGGATTATAACCTTGAATCAACCGCATGTGCCAATGCTGGGTTAAGATTCCTACATGCTTATGTTGTCGATATGAGCTCTGAGTCACATCTCGCGAGACTAGAATATCGTCCTCAAGTAAGATATGCCATGAGCAAAAACCCTACGACGGCCCAATTGCGGTTATTGGCACCGGGCCATCGGCATGTCGGAGAAACGCCCCGAGCTCATCTTGAAGATTGGGGGATTGAAGATTGAATGAGGGACGTCTGAGCTCAACCAACAAGCTAAGCCCAAACAGGCCTGGATGCAGCTTGCGATGCGCGTTGCGGTGTTCCAGTCTTGGGGATTGAGCAGTTATCTGTGCCGAAAGCTGGACGAAACCATCATCTCTGAAAAGTAGCGTCGAACGTGCTCTACGAATAGTCAATCACGGAAGCGTAGGACCCCTCCCCCACGAGTCAAGGGCAGATTCGGCATCTACAGTGTGGGAGGGAGTGAGCAAGAATTGCGTGTCGGTACGGATAGCCGTAGCCTTGTACGCGTCAAGCTTTTTGCATCCACGATCCCCTCATTATTTGTGCGAATAGGCCGCTCAGGAACCGGCCGACCAGATGCGCGGTCATGATGCTGACTGTCCGCGGAGGCCGCTTTCAACAGTCGCCAGGGGGCTGCTCTGGACGCTCTTGAGAGACAGGGATTGCTCTTTACTCCCGCGTATTGTCCCCATTCAGTGGAGTATCCGGGCATTAGCTGGTGGGTTTGGTGTGGTTGCTGACATCTCATTGCGATATTGACGGGAAGCTTGACATGCAAAGCGCTGGGATCTGGATCCAATCCAACGGGCCTTCATCTTTTTGGGGAGAAATCGCAGTCCCTAGGCAGCGAGATAGGCTTGTTTTTTCCTTCATTTGGTGTCGACGGCAGTGTGAAGTCTAGCAAGAGATGTTTACTCCGTCGCATGTATGTTTCCTGTATCCAGAAAATGGAGGTGGTTTCAGTATATGCCGTCATGTCTGAACACCAGCAGTTCGCAACGCCAAGACGGACGGATGCCGGTGTAAACGATTCCTCCTGTCTTCAGAAACGTTGTCCTGCTGGCGGCCTTTGACCATACGTTGCGTGCTGAGTGTTGTCGGGGTTAGAACTTGGGACGAAATACGGCAATAGGCATTGCTAAAATTTGCACCGGGCTGGCCGACCAGATGGGAAAATGTTGGTCAAGCCCTGTCGGGATGATACCTAGATGGCTGCCGCGAGTGCCCTGAACGATAGCGTCGATAGGCGACCTCTTGTGGCTGGTGCGAGTTCAAGGTGTGCAATGAGTCGCGTGCGAATTCTCTAGTCCCTTAGTTCTACGGATAGATTAGCTTGTGAATGGTTGATTCAGTCGATGGATAGGCGATACGACGGTGACGACCAAAATCCTCATTGCTGGCAGGGTGCTGACCACCGGTTCCATGTGGGGATGGTTGCGAGCACCTTAGCTTAGGCCTGGGCTTCACAGCGCCACTGCTTAAGCTTGTCAGTTGACTATGCCGATCCCAGATTGTGGTGGTCGCCGACTCGGGTCCGTCTAAGGAAATGGTGGCATGCTGAGATATTGTCTCAAGCTTGAATGGGGCCGGCGATCACATATGAGTTTGAAGAAACAAGCCGTTGGTCGGTCCCCGGCTCAGGATTCGTTTAATGGTGTCCTCGGCCATCCAGCCAGCAAAACCGGCGCATCGATTTCTGGTAGGAAGATAGTGGCAGTAGCAGTGCTGGTGTTGTTGTCGAACCGGGTGGGTGGTGAGCAGCAGCAGCAACATCGGACCAAACAAAGTCAGTCATCCGTTGACGTGCCGAATTGATGATGCGGTGACTCGTGAGTCGTGAGCAATACTAGAGCTGGCAGATTTGGATGAGGATCTGAATGCCGAAAACCTGTGCAGGATACAATTACCGTACTGAGGAAGGGCACTCCGTCATCAGCAGTTGAATGGACGGGAGGCTTGACGAATGATGGCTGTACAAGGGCTACGCCGTGATGGAAGGAGTGGACCACTGGGCATGGGGCATGGGGGGAAGGAGCGATGGACATGGAAGACGCCAAGACGCGTGGCCCCCAGGCCTCCAGGCGCAATGGGAAAGAGGAGGTACGAGTACCTGCTCTGAATCATGGCAGTCCAAGTACTCGCTCTTTCCTCAGCCTGACCTAACAATTCTCAGAACATGAATGTTCTACAAGATTAGGTAGTTGCGATCAACGACTGCATTTCTGGATATGAAGGAAGGTCCAGACAGAGTTGTGCCTCCCGCCACGAGGGCTCGGATACCGTCATAGAGGGAATCCAACTTGGAAGGCAGGTTTGAGGCTGCGAGAGTTTATAATGATGGGGGATGGGGAAAGGCCCGAGGAACGGCGAGCAGACACCTGAGATTCGCACTTGCCGCGTACCTTTATCCACATGACAACTTTCCCAAAACAGCACTTGGTTCCATCTTGATGGGGACGGATCGTGTATACGTACCTGAGCAGCACACACAGCAGGTGCGAATTGAGGTAGCTGCACGCGAGTCTGAGCCTCTGCAGGAAAGAGCCAAGAGCAATTGCCTGATTTGCACATGCCCAGTACTCTTTCTGTCCTCCAGAGTGTGATACGGGGCAGGTACGAATAGGATGTACCTTTCTACGTATTGCGTACCTACTCCGTATACTTCGTACTCCTAATGCGCAGTATGGAAGGTACGCAGCATGGCAGGTACGCAACGCAAAGCAGGCAGGGATGCAGCGCAAAAGATGAGAAACCCAAAAGTCTTGGCATCGCACCCACTGTTGCCGTGTGTTCCCACCTTCTTGTTACTCACTGGACAACTGCGTTGCCCGCGAGCCCCAAATCCGCCCTTTTTCTTCTTGCTTTGGCTGTGTTTCGCCCACCCGCCTAATGCTCGTACGGTCAACTCCTACCGAAAAAATGGTCCATCCGTTTAAATGAACGGCGGAGCCCGCTTCCTGACTACGCCGCTCGTGAGTCGCTGCTTGCACCCCCCGTCCGCCGATTCTTGTCCCCTTTCCTCAAGATCCTTCCTCTCGGTGCATCCACGTCTTGTGTGTTTTTCTTCCCGTCCGTCCCCTTTTCTCCCCGAGTCGGTCGCATCTTGTCCGTCGTCTTTGTCCTCTTGGTCGGCGCTCTTCAGCAGTGTTTGTCTATCTTCCGCTGTCTGACGTTATCACACGAGTCGGCTTTCCAGATTCCGCATCCCGTCCTCTCTAAATTGACGACCACCAATAAGTCCACGGCAGAGACGAATATTTGAACACGCGCGACGACATCATCACGACCAGCCACACGACTTCCCGATTGCATTGAATGTGCTTATTGTTTGGAGCGAATTATACTTTCCGACTCTAAGAACTACCCGACCTGATCCCCGACAATTGTCTTTGGCCGGCTCAAACCACCGTAGGACAAGCACACGGCACTCGAAGAGGAAAGCAAATCGAACTCCAACACCACTCGAGCCCCTCGCAAATCAGACATCATGGCCGACGTTAACCCCCCCAGCGGCAAGCTGCCCTATGGCACTCCCGAAGGCGGCTGGAAGGCAGTGCACACATGGAGGACTCCGGACTGGGTAGAACCAATTGTAAGGAACAACAACTTCGCTGCGGAACCACTGCGAATGTAGCTACTATCAGGCGAATCTTCGACGCTAACCAGCACTAGCTGATTGTATCCATCATGCTCATCGGCTTGTACGTCAGTCGTAGAAAGAACTACTCGATCCTCCGCCGCGGAAACGCGACGTACGAACCTCTGTTCGAAGAGCGAGGCGACTCTCCCCGCATCTCCGACGAATCCTACGATCCTATCCGTACCGATCCCTTCCCGCCCAAATACCGTACCATCTTTGGATGCTACCGCGTCAAGACCCCGAACTCGAGCCGTTTTGCGAAATACGTCCACTCGAGAATCCTGCAAAAGTTCCCTTTCCTCATCGAAATGTTCTACTGGGCCATCTCCTTCTTCTTCTACCGCATGACGGCGACCCTAGCTCAGAGCTACTACGGCAGCAGAAAGGCTGTCTGGGACGTCGCACAGGAGCACGGCCTGTTTCTGCTCGAGACCGAGGCCAAGTTCTTTGGCGAGGGCACCAGGACCGGTCCCGAACGCTGGGTTGAATGGCGCGTTTCCCATTGGTTCCTCGAGGGTGCCCAAATCGGCGACTTCCGTGGCATCTGGCTGACCATTTTGAACCGCGGTTACTCTCTGATCCATATTCCTGGTACCGTCGGCTTCATTGCCTACTACTTCGCCATGGCGCCCACCCACGCCCGCTTCTGCACCGTCCGTCGCACCATGACCTTGTTGAACATGTGTGCCTTCATCATCTTCATCTTCTACCCGTGCGCCCCACCCCGTCTGATGCCCTCCGAGTACGGCTTCGTCGACACGGTCAACCTGGAGAACGCCGAGAGTGTCTGGATGAGCGGCAAGTTCGTCAACAAGTTGGCTGCCATGCCCAGCATGCACTTTGGCTACGCTTTTGCCATCGGCTGTGTTTTCATCGCCGACTCGGCCATTCTCAACCTGCTCTTCGGTCGCCTGAGGAACTACCTGCTGCGCAACGATCTGGACAAGTCGCTAGATATCGATGACGTCGAGCTCAAGGAGATCCAGGAAAACCGCAAGCGCTGGAAGAGTTGGTTCATGTTCTGCTTCGGTGTCTTCTACCCGAGTTGGATTCTGTTGACGATTGTGGGAACCGCCAACCATTACCTCATGGACGCCTTCGTCGCCACCTTCTGCGCGTTGGTCGCGTACCTCTGCAATCGTGCTTTGCTGGTGTTCCTCCCCGCAGAGGACATGCTGCTCTGGGCCTTAAGACTCGAAAAGCCGGTGCCGACAACGGGCCGCATGAGGAACATTGCTGTCCGATAGAGGGTCGATTGTTTGAGAAAAGCGCGTCAAAAGACATGGAATAAAGATCTCTTCACGGAGTCATCCATTTAAAGCATCGCAGAGGCGTTGGGAAAGGAATAATGGCCACTTCTTATATCTTTGCACACTTGGCCCCTGGGTTAATCCCATGTGTGCCGAATTAGCCCTTATAATGAAAATCTATCCTGTTTTGTTTGTCTATTCTCCGAGACTCCGCCACACCCACAGTGATGAAATGTCCAATTTTTAAGCTCCTGCTACATGTCGCTTGTTCGTATCCGGTGGATCTAGGGAGATCTGATTCGATTGTCCGTAAAAAGATCAACTATCTGTACAACGTGTACAACACGTCATTGGTTTTTTGAATGAGTGTAGGCCACACCTCGGGGCATTGTTCGCTGACCCTGCAGGACTCTTTGGCGCCCGGCTGACCCTGGGAAATGGGAAAAAGGCTGTACCCGCTGCCCGACTTCATTTGCCAAGCCGAGATATCCGTGCGGCCTGTGGCTCTGTTTGCCTGCGGGTTTGTTACGGGTGGTGGTTGGCGGTGGCCGACGGAGCCGGGACCCGGTCTTTGAGGTGATGGATTCGGACTTTTTTTTTTGGGAGGTTCATCGAGATGAGCATACTAAGGCTCATCTCTTGGCAGGTCAAGTCATCAAACGCGTTTTGTCTTTGGGTTCCTGAAGAGATTGAGGATATTTCAAGGTGGCCGTGGACTGCATCGTCTGAAGGCCGAAAGCTGTGGCCGTTTCTTTGCGCCGCGGCGTTGTTGTTTTCGGTCTGGTAGTCCGGCTGGTTGAGTTCCTGGCTTCGCTTTCGCTTTTGGGTTCATCTCAGATCTTTGCCGAGTACTGACTCTCTGACACATCCAAAGTCCACGCAATCCGCGTATCTGTAATTGGCCCACGAGTCGGCCCGTTAGACGTAAAGAAGTAGCTATAGGCAGCAGTCTTTACTGTTCAGTCTTTAGGCAGCAGCATTTGTAGAAGCAAGGTCAGCATTGAAAGGAGGCTACGTCCTTAATCATTTTGTCGCTTGTTGTTGCTCCTTGCTTTCATCTAAGTTGTGGGTACACATTTGTCGAGTGGAAGATCGAATGATAGGCGGAAGTTGAAGGGGGGGGGGGGGGGGGGGGACTTTGTCAAGAGCCAAAATTTCGACCCAAAGGTAGCGATGTGCACATAAAGACTCAGCCTAAGCGCGGAATATTGGCGAGTGATTCATCCCAGAAGATCATTCGATTGTCTAGTGGCTACCTCTTAGCTCAATTGAAAGTCACACGTTGTGGTACTTTAGTTTGTATGTCTGCCAGCAATGACGGATAACAGAGCCTGGTATGTCGAGCCTGGTATACACGGGTATCGAGTTATGGCGGAAACCGTATTATTGGTCATATGTCAGGTGATCACGGCGACCAATCTGGTCGAGGACATGCACCATGGAGCCCCTCCCGGATCCGCAGTCCTACATTCTTGCGACCTGCCCAGCTCAACGGCCAGGCCAAGCGTTGGACTATTGTTCTGGTATCTCCTTGCGTTGCGAGTCGAAACACCGAGTTCTCCTTCTTGCTTCAAGGCCTGTTCCTTGCTCTTGAATAGTATGGTCTGAAAGGCGACAGATTTGTTCGCAGCCTTGCTTTGGGACAGTGGACCTTGGAGCGCCTCTAGTGATTCCGGTACGACAGCCTTGCTTCCGGCGACTCTTTCAAGATGGTCACTGAGTAACTCGCAGCTGCAGGATCGGCAACAAGAATGACGACTCGAGTCACCCGACCGCACCCCAGCTTGCAGCTGGCAGTAAGAAGCGTCGAAGAAGGAAAGTATCATTTCCGACGACGACGGCGAGGAGTACCACACCATCGAAACAGAGCGGGCGGGGTATTACCTCAACCAGCTCCTGAAAAGGAGACTCAAACGTGAAGTGCGAGGGCCCAAAGTCAGGTTAGAACACAGGAATTACAAGGTTGGCTGGGTAGCAGCTCTCTACACCGAGCTGGCTGCTGCACAGGCTATGCTCGATAATGTCCACGAGCCACTGCCCATGAACGAAAATGATACCAACCTGTATGTGTTTGGCGAAATCGGCGCTCACAACATTGTCATCGCGTGCCTACCCTCGGGACAAAATGGCACCGCCAAAGCAGCTCTGGTAGCGAACAATATGCGCTGGAGTTTTCCTTCCATAACTATCAGGTTGATGGTTGGCATCGGCGGTGGCGCACCGCGTGAGCAGGTCGATCTACGCCTTGGCGATGTCGTTGTCAGCAACCCAACGGCAGGGTCACCCGGAGTCATTCAGTATGACTTCGGCAAGACCGAACAGGAAGGCTTCTCCCACAATACAGGTGTCTTGAACAAGCCTTGCGAGGCGCTTCTCAAAGCGGTGACCAAGCTAAGAGCCAGTCACGAGTCGCAGCCTAGTCAGATGCCCACGATTCTCGCGCAGATGAAGAGCTTAAACAGTAATATGGGTACATACGTCTACCAGGGAGCTGGAAAAGACCGCCTTTACGATGCTACGTATGACCACCCAAAGGACAAATCTAGCTGCGATAAGTGCGACAGCTCAAGATTGATTGATCGCCCAATTAGGCCTGATAACGACCCCAGGGGTTTTTACGGAACTATAGCATCCGCAGATCAAGTCATGAAGCACGGAAAGACGCGCGATCGTGTTGCACAACATGGCGTTCTTTGCTTTGAGATGGAGGCAGCCGGCCTGATGGATAATTTTCCATGCTTAATTATCAGAGGAATCTGCGACTATTCCGACTCGTACAAACTGAAAGGATGGCAGCCATACGCTGCAGCAACTGCCGAGGCATATGCAAAGGAGCTCCTGATGACTATTCCATCGCAGGAGGGCCAGATCCCAGCGCCAAGGACAATCGAGATCCGACAAGGTTGGTAGCTGACCTCTGAGAAAAAGTCTTTTGTACTAGGCAGTGTCAATACCGCGTTGCTATCTGTCATGCAGACCAGAGTTCACTTGAAAGGCGAAAAAAGATACTCACCTCTCTCAAATTCGATCAAATCGATAACAGACATGCTTCTATCAAAAAGGCACATGGCAAAACCTGTCACTGGCTTACGAAACACCCCAAGTTTGTCAAATGGCTGGACTCCGGATCTGTTGCCCACCACCATGGTTTTCTCTGGATTAGTGGGAAGCCTGGCGTCGGCAAGTCAACAACCATGAAGTTCGCCTACGATCGCGCACAAAGATCGTCGGGCCATAACGCGGCTGTCCTGTCGTTCTTTTTCAACGCTAGAGGTGGAGCATTAGAGAGAACTGCTGAGGGAATGCACAGGTCTCTCCTTGTACAGCTTCTTGCGAAGATCCCCAGGCTACAAGGCGTTCTTGAAGATCATGAAATCCGGGACCATCTCGATATCAACTCGGAAACAGAAAATTGGAGCCTTCCCTTGTTGAGGGATGTCTTCGAGAGAGCTATATCAAAATTAGGTTCAGACCAGATTACCTGTTTTATCGATGCGCTCGATGAATGCGCAGAATACGAAGCTCAGCAGATGCTCAACTTCTTTGAGGATCTCGGCCAATGCGCTGTTCAAAACAACACGAAACTGTTTGTCTGCTTTTCTAGTCGACATTACCCTTCGTTAGATATCCGATACAAAGTTAAGTTCACATTAGAAGATCATCGCGGCCACGACAAGGACTTGGAAGCTTACGTTCAAAACGCTTTGAGTCCCACCACACCTCAGCAAGAGACCGAAAGTACGGCACAGATCCTACATAAGGCTTCGGGAGTCTTCATGTGGGTCGTGCTGGTTGTCGAAATCCTTATCAAGGTGATCCGAACAGGTCGGATCCATGAGATTGAAGAGACACTAGAATGGCTACCGCCGGAATTAAGCAAGCTTTTTGCAGAAATGCTTGGAAAGGATGATGAATATATGGGAGACTTACTACTTTCTGTTCAATGGCTTCTGTTTGGAACACGTCCGTTGACGGCAGACGAATAATATGCAGCCCTAGTATCTGGCCTGAAACCCGGTTTCCTTCCTCAGTTGGACCCTGAACGCGTCATGAAGCAAGACATCGAAAACTTTGTGGTTAACTCCTCAAAGGGCCTTGCCGAAACTACGAAAACGAAAAACAAGCCTGCCATAGTCCAATTCATCCACGAGTCCGTCAGAGACTTTTTTCTCAAGGATAATGGCCTTGCAACCACTTTCCCTGAACGGGTGATAACCGAGGGCGAATTTCACGAGCAACTTAAGGAATGTTGCTACGCATACATAAAAGCATGCAGTTTATCAATCATCTCGAGCAAGGAATCGGTTCTTCGGAAAGCTGACCAGTTTCCGAAGGCCTTGGGTGCTTCAATGATCGCCAAATTTCCTTTTCTGGGGTACGCCACGACGCAGGTTCTGTACCACTCCAATGCTGCAGCAAATATGGCAATACCGCAAGACCAGTTTCTGGAAGAATTTGCGGCTTCACTTGAAAATTTGATCAAGCTCAATAATCTCTTTGAGCGATATAAGACCTGCCATTACACGTCAATGGCCTCTCTGACGTATATCCTTGCAAATCGCGGTCTGGATTCTTTACTCGAAGCCAACATTCGCCGCGACCCTCTCATCGAGACATCTGTAGAAGAGCAACACGGAAGCCCCGTAGCTGCAGCTATCCACAGAGGCCATCTCAGAGCAGCCAAAGTTTTGTTGCTTCATTTGGACAAGAAGATGGTCAACAAACACCTGAAAACCAAGAGAGGCAGCACGTTACTTTACGGAGCTGTCAAGAAGGGATTGGCCGAGGTTGTAAAATTGCTTCTCGTGGCAGGAGCGGACCCTAACGATTCTGAGGCCATGGAAGATCCGCTCCATTACGCCATCGTTCAAGGAAACGAGGCTATGGTAAAACTCCTCCTTTTTCGAACGTGTTGCATCAGAACGTCCAAGGCATCTATGGATTCCCAAGGTATTGCAACGACCTCGACTAGCTGCGAAACTCCAGATCAGCAACAGCTCCGCTTGGAGGCGGACTACGAGCATGACGATCCAGGACGCCCGAACCCACTTCACATAGCTGTTGGTTATGGACATGCAAGAATAGCGAATCTACTCCTGGAAAAAGGTGCCAATGCCGACCGCCTCATAGCTGGTAAACCTGCGCTGCACATAGCTGTCAGCAACGGCGACAGAAACTGTATGAACGTTCTTCTCGAGAATGGTGCAAATCCCGATCAGTGTGATTCATACGGATTCAACGTCTTACGCCAAGCTGTGGACAACTACGACGTGCCTCACGCCCGTTTCATAATCGAGAAGGGGGCTGATGTTAATCAACGTATGAATGGCATTCCAGTTTTGCACCGAGCCATATCCGCCTCCCTTTATGGCACAGATATTTTCAAAATCCTGCTCGAGAATGGTGCCGACGTTGAGATTGCGGACTGTGATGGTGTCACTACGCTCCATCGTGTCGCCCGCGACGGCGATCATAGCATTTTGGAGATGATACTCAGAGCCAGGCCAGATGTCAATCGCACCGATTACTATGGTCGAACTCCTGTTATCTTCGCATGTAAAAACTACAGCCTCCATCCCACAGCCATCATCGCCTTGTTCGATCAAGGCGCGGACATCAATTTACCAGACCTGGAAGGAAACACCCCAATGTTTGTCAGTATTGATGCACGCAGACCGCCCCAACTCGAATGCGTACTTCAACTCGGCGCCAACATCAACGACGTCAACAAGCAGGGGCAGACTGCCCTGTTCATGGGCTGCCAAACCGGAAGACTCGAAATTGTAGAGGTATTATCCAGAAACAGCACTATTCAACTAGGCTTTACAAATCCAGCAGGCGAAACAGCTTTGTTTGGTGTCTTTCCCGGGCACGAGGAAGCCCCGTTGATAGTTAAGTTGCTATTAGAGGCAGGCCTTGATCCCATGCACACGAATTCCGCAGGCGAAACTTTCTCTGAATCATCGACTTGGTTTCCGAAGCTTGACAAGAATCTTCGAGAATCCATTTTCAGAGCAATTTCAGAGAGGGAAATCAACCAAACTGACGAGATTGGTCGAACGATTCTGATGCAAGTGCCACTTCATTTTTATTGAAGGTCGAGGCCGATCCCAACATATCGGACAGGCGAGGATACACGCCACTCTTTGCAGTAATAGAGGCATCACAATCGGAACATCATGACCTTGTTGTTGACGCTCTTTTACGGAGCGGCGCCGAAGCACGTAAACCAGGCCCAAACTCCGAAACTCCTCTGCAAATGGCTCAACGACTCGGAAAAAACAGATTGCTTCTAGGTTGCGTTATATAGCATGATTGGTACGCGCTGTAGTTCCGAAATGTGTTTTTTGTTTTGGCGCATGGGAAGGCTTATTTCTAGGCATACAATTGATTTCTCATCTTGACTTCACTGACCAACGTCATCGCATTGAGATCGTGCAGGTTCCACCCTGATCATTAATCATTGAGACGCAAGCTTTAAAATGCGCAATTCTTCCATCTGGCGTGTGGTAGGTCGGTGATCATTACAAATAATACGACACGGGACAAATTATGTCAGTCCTGCTAAGTCATCTGGGGTGTGCCTCAATGACCGCCGTTCATGAAGTAATTAAGCAGTTTGACAAACGGTGACGCTACTAATGACTTTAGTCATCTTCCGAATTGTCTCTCAAGAAGAGACTGTATGGTAAATCCCGCTTGCTAATCACTCATGTTTTCTCCACCGTCAGGTGAGTCCGAGGCATGGAAGTTTAGCGGAGACGCACGTATATAAGAAGCCACGCTTGCCATATCACTCGGACCTGCTATGAGTATGCGGATTAGGTAACGTAGCTTAACTTAACTTAGGTATGTCAGACTCGAAAGAAATTCTCGTCATCGGGGGCACTGGTGCCCAAGGAAGACCAGTTGTTAAGGGTAAGATTATCATACTCGACAAGGCAAGACTCTCGCGTCTCTCTAATAATTCAGTAGCTCTCGCAGAGACCAATCGGTATCGTGTCAGGGTCCTCACCCGAAACGCTGAGAACCCTCGCGCAAAGCAGCTTGCCGCTCTGCCGAACGTCACCCTTATCCAGGGCAAACAAGACAGCCAGCAGGATCTCCACCGCGCATTCAAGGGTGTCTACGGCGCGTGGGTGAACACGGACGGATTCACTCTGGGCCAGAAGAATGAGCTCTTTTACGGCATCCGCGCGTATGAGATTGCCAGGCATGAAGGTGTCCAGCATTACGTCTGGGCTGGCACTGACTATGCGTTGAAGAAGTCAGGGTGTAAGCAAGAGACGTTACTTCTCTTTACCGTTCTCGTGATTAGATAACGTTGCTGACAGACGTGACTAGGGAACGAGAGGTACCATTGGGGCCACAACGATTCCAAGGGGAGAGTCACAGACTTCATCTTGGCTCAAGGCCAGGACGGAATGAAGAGTTCGGTCCTCACGACAGGCCCCTACATGGATATGCTTCTGGATGGAATGTTTCCACCCAAAGAACAGCCGGATGGATCTTTCCTCTGGGAAAACCCTGCCAGTGCGTCCCCACACAACATTACCTTTAGTCTTGGAAACCTGTCTAACCATATAGCAGAAAACGGCAAAATCCCGCTCATCGCCTTGGACGACGTCGGCATCTACAGCCTCTGGCTCTTTGACAACCTCAACGAGTCAGCAGGCCTGAACCTAGAAGTCACGACCGACGAAGTCAGCTTCGCCGACATCGCAAAGATCTTCACTGAGGTGACGGGTAAAAAGGGCGCCCACAAGCATGTGCCGTTTGACGAGTACGCGCCGCTCGCGGAGCCGTATCCAGGTGCCTACGTCAATTTCGGCGCCGGTCCGGAGGTTGTTCGTGATGAGTCAGACATGACCTGGCGACAGAACTTTCGGGCATGGTGGCGGTTTTGGGGTGAGGGTATCGTTAACAAAAGGGACCTGGAGTTGTTGGATCGCATTCACCCTGGTCGGATCCGGAGTTTGGCAGAGTGGATGCGGAAGACTGGGTATGATGGGAAGACGAGGCCTGTTCTCAAGGGGATTGAGGATTGGAAGAGTAAGCAGGGATCTAAGTTGGTTTGATGGTGAAAGTGCTTAGGCGGGTATTGGATCGAAGTGGTGTTCGAAGTCATCGGGCAGCTTTTGAAAGCCGTACAACCCATACTGGGCCCTTCAGTAGTACAATGCGTTTTTTTTGAAAGGAGGATCACTTCAGTCTTGTTTAAAGGGTGGTACAAAAGAAAAACTCAAAGACGATGGCGCTTCGCCAAATTGTTGGTCTTTGTTTTATCTCACCTCAGCGTTCGAAATCTTGTCAGTCTTATGGCTTTGTCCACTAACAATAAGTTGTGTAAAGAAGTAACAAAGATGAAATTTATGACATTTATCTCAGTCATCAGTTTATATAGCCGTAGGTAAGGAATAACCCTTGGTGGTTTCAATCATAGTCAACCAGGAAATCAATATCACATCAGCTCTCAGGACATCAACAATCCAACATACCAGAACCACTTCAGTCCCAAAGAATGTCCTCGCCACCATCTTCAGATAAGTCTACCACGCCAGATAACGAGTTTGTCTATAATCTAAAGCACCTGAACGAGTCACAGAATTACTTGCGTATCCCAGGTGTCATGTTCGACGGAATACCAGACCTCATCCCATCTGAACATTCTGCGGCCCTCTACTATCTCCAACCCAAAGAGTTCAACCTCAATCTCTCATGGGGTGAGTACTATAAAAAGTTGGAGCCCTTCGATTGTGTGGCCAAGAAACTAGTCGACATCTTTGACTATTCCATCCAAGAGCTCAAAGGAGGCATCGAACCCAAAGTCATGAGCGTGAGACAAACGACAATTGGACATGAAGATGATTCTGACCCTGAGCCAGATTCCTCCTTTTGGGACGAGTTTTTTGAGCGAGTGCTTGCTAACCTTGGAAACGAGGCTGAAAGGTTTGGCATGACTTCTTTAGACGTCATGTGGATTGTGTACTTATACACTAGAGCTTGGGAGAATACGCCTCTGTCGCTGAGGACCAAAAAGGCGGGGTATTGGCGCAATGCAAACCTCCATTATTTGCACGATTTGCTGCCGGAATGGGTTGAGATGTTGAAGACTAAGAAGCTAAAGTGGACGACTGTTTTTGGTGAACTGTTTGGATTTGGGCGATGATGGATGATAGCTGACGCGGAAGATACGGTAGAACGCTTGTTTGATACACTTTCTCTACGTTTCTCTTCTATATCAATGTGACCTATTTCAATGTCTAACGTACATGATAAGCGAGTGGGCCACCCAACCACGACCACATGACATGAAGGAGCAAATATCAACACCCACCTCATGGATTCAATCCAAACTATTCAGAGTCCTCTTCCTCAGACATTTCCTCATTGAATCGACATGTTCGCGTATTGTGACTAGTGTTCCCGCAGACGCCACATCGTCGTTGGACCGTCTCAGTCCTCGGTCGGCGACCACTACTCCGGCGTGTTTCCTCCTCTACCTGGGCTATAGCCTCTCTCTACGACTGAAGGTCCTCTCCCTCAGCTATAGTGAGGCTTCCTCCTTATCGGAGACGGTTTTTCTTAGCTCTCCGGCATCGACTAAATAGGTTGTTCTCCTCTCGAAGGATCTGGTTCTCGGATCTTAATAAGGCGATCTAGTATATAAATCTACGAGCCCCCTTAGATAGATGCTCTACAGCTTCGATAATTGAAGTTGGTGAGCTATTTTTATGACGGGAGATTCGATTCTTAATAAGTTCTGACTAAGAAGATGCTTCCGTTGGGTTGTTTGGTGTCTGAGAAGTCTATACCGGTGGTATTGTCGGGAGGGATCCTGGAGGCGTCGGAGTGCGTAACTTCACATCAAGCTTTGAGAGCATACTCTCTGCACTTAAAGGCACAATTCCTGCCCCTCTGAATCCTCCCTAGATATTTTTCTCTATAATCGCTTACATAAAAGCCCTATGAAACGCCGGGAAGAAGTCCTCCTTAGTAATATGTATATTGCCCCGACGCATCTTGTCCTCGATTTCTCGACCGTACGCCGTTTTTAGAGGCCCAAAACATCCAAAATCCAAGGGCTGGAGTAGATAAGACGAATAAGCCGGCATACATAGGGTAACGATGTTGTTCTTTTTATAAAAAATCTCGAAATCCGCAGAGTGGTGACTTTCGTGTCCGTCGACGACGAGGAGGCGGTATTGACCCTTTATATGCAGTCTTGTATACCGTTCGAAGTACCGAGCCCAGTCTAGACCTCTTTTATTTATTCTCTATCTATTTTTAGACGTTGCGATGACCCAGTCGTATGGGAGACCGGATTCCATATACTAGGTAGAGAGGTAATATTGGCCCGCAACGATAATGTACGGCGGAACGCTGTAGCCCGACGGGCTAATAGCCTGAATGACCGTAACCTATTCATGATTGCCAGGCTGTATCATTTTCGTGTTTGAACGCCTTTCGGTACTGGTCACGACCATGCCGGTTGAGATCTGGCCTATCATAAAGCCAGTCTCGTTAAAGTTATAGATGTCTAAGTCTATGATGCCGTACTTCGCGATTATGTTCGCTACAAGTAAGAACCACGCGTTAATCGCGCCCGGATCTTCGCATTAGGCCCTCTTATAGTCGTACTTGCAAAAACGACGCGTTCGCAACTCTGGTTGTCGCTTTACAAAGTTCGAAGCCCATCGCTTCCTAATATGGGGCGCGTCACGATCAGCGAGCAATCGATTCGCCATTTCTTCAACACCGCGAAGACGGGGAGGAAAACATCTGGCGTCCAGGTCGAGGATGTACTCAATCAGCTTCTTCTCTTCTAGTAGCGTCAAATTCCGTGAGTTGGGTATGCTATCACGTCGTGATAACGTTCCCTCTAATCTGCGGCCTAAGGTAATGCAACTGATATTATAGATCTTTACCGCGGCCCGAATACTGAGATTTCGGTCTTTCTGGGTAGTCTGAACCGCTAAGTTTAATTGGGTATCTTTGTTATGTACTGTTATTGTTTTCGATGGAGAAATGCGTGTTGTGATGATGTAGGTGGCACGATGGCGGTTGGGTGGCCCACTCGCTTGTCTGGCCCACTCGCTTATCATGTACGTTACTCCTAGATGATCTCCTCAGAGATGTACATAGGAAATGCCATGAGATTGACCACCCACGCCAGGAAGAAAGAGATCTAAACAACCGCCCGAAGGCGCTCTGCAAAGTCCTTGACTGTGGTTACCAGATCCCCATCCTGAGAGAGGCCGAGACCGAGGGCCTTGGAAACATCGAAATACGCCGGCCAACTCCCCACAAAGGCTTCGATCTGCGGGCTCCTCTCTTCACGAACTAGGTTTCTTGCTGTTGTTCCTCCTACAGCCTCTAATGCATTCAAGATGTCTGCCACAGTGACAGTGACGCCGGGAAAATTGAGGACCCTCGAAATCCCAAACTTCTCACGGGGAATGCCCTTGACGTCCACAAGATTTTTAACCACCGTCTTTGGTGAGCACACCCACATGGGCAGCTCCGGCCCCACAGGTAAGATATTTTCCTCGCCCTTGAGTGACTCTCTCACAATACCCGAAGCAAAGGAAGAAGCCGCAGCGCTCGGGGCGCCCGGACGGACGATGATGGTAGGCAGCCGCACGATCCGTCCGTCCAAGAGTCCACGGCGTGAGTAATCTCCCAGCAGCGTCTCAATTATCAGCTTCTGCGTGCCGTACGAGGACTGTGGTATCGGGCAAGTTGTCTAGGTGTTGATCTGGCCCGGGGCGGCGGGGCCGTAGACCGCCAATGAACTGGGGAATACCACAACAGTTCCGCGATGCGGCGATGTTTCTTGGCGCAAGGCGTCGAGGATGAGACGGTGGCTGTCGAGATTCACGGCAAGACCTAGTTCAAGATTTGTTTTCGCGCCTCCGGACATGATGCCATGAAGAAGGTAGATTGCGCTGAATCGCGGGCGGTTCGTAAGTAGGGAAGCAACGGCCTCCGGTGAAGTGAGGTCTGTTTGGAGTGACGTTATGCGGGATGTGTGAGAAAGGGCCTGGGGCGGAATCAGAGGGGCCGTGATATCTGTTGCTGTAAGATGAGACGACGGTGATGATAGAAGGAGGGCAGTGATGAGTTCCTGGCCTATGAGCCGGCGGCCCCGGTTATGAGGATGTGGTCTCCTTCAGACGCCATTTTGAGGGCTAAGTCTGATGGCTAAGTCTGATGGCTCGCGAAACCGTAGTGTAGTAGGAGTTCTTAGTTGTCGTTTAGACTCATAAATTCTCAGCGGCGGAGTTGCAATTTTCAAGTCTCAAGGGTTTCGAGATTGTCGTAATACCCAAGGAATCCGGAATGTGTTGTCTACTTTGGATAACAGACAATTTCTCAACCGATCCGCTTCTTTTCGAAGTGATCGGAATGCGACCACTTAGCAGGTAGCATAATCTTTATGTTATTCAAATCTGCCAGCTACAGCCCCAGTTCAAGTGCCTGAACGCGATCGTAGCATCGCGAGCTTACCTTCAACATGACCTTTCTCCGAATTCTGTCCGGGCAAAGATCTCCGCACCGGGAAGAAGTCCGGGTGGCAACGCTTGCAACCCCGCATGATCCACGGCCCCGCAGCGATGAGATGGATGATTCCCCAGCAGTAAGATTACGGGGAGTGTCGGACTTGTCACCGAATCAACGGTCTTCTCGGTCGATGTTCCAGCGGCTAGCGACTTGAAGGAAGTAAGACAGAAGTTGGTTCCTGTCTCTCCCGATCAACGTTTTCTGCCGGCTCATCATACAGCTCTTTGCCTGTCTTTCAAGTTCAAACTCAATCTTAATGGCCACGTCTGATGTGATTCCCGCAGTTGCTTCAATGGCCGATTTCACATAAGGGAACACTACGATCAGTGGGGAACTTTAAGAAGTGATGGCTTGAATGCTGCCAACGGCACGTGCTAGTTTCACTACACGTTCAGGTGCTGGGCATGATGTGGTTCTTTTGCTAGATGTAAAGAGAAGCCCGTAGGATCGTAATGGGCTCGTTGGCTCTCTGATAGAAATGGCCCTATCAAGCTTGAGGTCGTCTCTCGGCAAATTCATGAAGCTCCGCCTCTGGGCCGATTCCATTCTTCGCGTCCACATCCAGCTCTCCCAGGCGGTTAGTTGCAAGGTCATCTCCAAACAGCTCCGCAATTTCCTCCAAGGACTTTCCGGACTGCCAAGAGTTAGTGAGAGTCAGTGAACTGGTTGAGGACGTGACTTACAGTCTCTGGTAGGAAGAAGAAGTAGAAGACGGCGGCCGCCAGGTTAGTTGCGATAAAGAGCGAGTAGTACCTCCAGCTGACGGATGCAATTGCCAGCGGTGTAACTTGTGAGAGCACAATCGCAGTAACAGACTTGGCAGCGACGGCAAACGCCAGACCCTTGGTTCTCAGGAAGAAGGGGAACAGCTCCGAGGGCACGACCCAGATCATAGCGTTGAAGAATATCGCGTAGCACATGGAGTAGAGAAAGATGGCGCTGATGGCGGCCCTCGCTCCAGCCGCATTGTCATTGTCCTTATTGCCATAGACTGCGCTGAGAGCCATGCACAATGCAATCATGGCGCTCAGTACCAGAGAGCCGCTCCATAGAGTACGAGTTCGTGGCCAGCGGTCTGCGACGACGAAGAGGTAGATGACCTGGCCAAGAATCCCCATCATGCCGTAAGCACCGCTGATAAGCAACGCCGTTCTGCCAGTGAATCCGACGGTGGCGTAGAAAATATTCTGGAAGTTCTGAATGACAGAAGAGCCGCTGAGCTGTCCCATGGTGACAATGAAGGCGGCTGTAAGCGTGCGGCGGACATATTTTCGGGAAAATAGTGCACGTAGGGCTGTCATCCAGTCCATATTGCCCTGGGACCGCTCCAGTAGAATCTGCTCACGAATTTGTATGAGCTCGCGGCCAACCAGATCGTCATTGTCTCCAGCCCCGTGTAGGCTCGCCAAAACGGTCCTCGCTTCTTCGTATCGATCACGGAGTATAAGCCAACGAGGTGAGAACGGTACGTAGAAGACCATGACGGAGAGGAGAACCGGGATGGGGAGCTGCATTGCCAGTGGGATCCGCCATTGACCATCTCCCATTGCAAACACGCCCGCGTATCCAACCTGAAAGATGGTTAGTGTTTGAAGGAGGTGCTTGAACAAGTCGAGGAAGATACCCAATTAGCAATGCCAAAACCTATGGCTATCATCATACCCTGGAGTCCGACGAGGAAACCGCGGCGCGCTGGAGGTGCAACCTCGGCAAGATAGATGGGAACAACAGAGAGGAGTTGACCACAGCCGATGCCAGCCACAAGACGGCCTGCAATCATCATGCCAACTTGTACAGCTGCACACTGGAGTATAGACCCAACAATAGCTGATGGAAATATCAGAAACGCTTCCAATGTACTTTGCCACGTGTTGGGGGGAACCAACTCAAGATCGAAGCGAGAAGAATCGTGTACTTTCGGCTCAGCTTGTCGGCAAGGTAGCCTACTGTCATTCCGCCGATGGCCTGGCCAGCGTTGTAGACCGAGACGGTGGCACCTGTGAAGATGAAGAGTCAGTTTCGTGTCCATATCACATGAGATCGTCTAGGGTTGTGTGAGTCGTACCTTGATAGCTAGTGTTGACCATAGACGGTCCATACATCTTGAGCTTGAAACTGTCATGGCCAAAGGTTGTGGCGATAATCCCTGACTCTCATTAGTATTCTCTCATCAAGTACATCGAAGACATCGGAAACAAACCAGAATCAAACCCATAGATGAAGCCACCCTGAGCGGCGACAAGCGCCACAGCAACAATGAGGAAACCCATTCCAAAGTCACCGAACAACTAACAAGAAGGATGTGTGGAGTAGAGAAAAATCCGGGGAACTGCAGTTCCATTATGCAGGTTGAAATTTGGGGCATTAGTATCATCTATATCAAATCAGCCCTCTACCCTACCACATGGTCGGTGCAAAGGTACACCGATGAATTCGGCTCTCCGCTACAAAGATGTTGCCAGCCAGGAGGTCAGAACGCCGTAGTCATGACGAATCCGCCTAGCTAACGTATTTGCCCAGACTGATATCGGCAACCTCCATCAGGTCGCTCAAATGACTGGTGCTGTTGAGCGCTCGGCACGAGTTTCCTTCCCAGTTTACCTTTTATCCTTGCCCCTAGCTAGAGCATGCGGGGGCGCGGAGTCTCCGCTTCAACCTTGAGGTCCTACATCTCGAACGTCTCGTGAGTGGTCAATGACGGGCTTGGCTGCTTCGGAACCGCTGCCGATGCCGATACGTACATTCTAACCCTTGAGATACCGGCAGTTGGCCGCGCGGTGATGATCTTGAGCTCGTGCAAAACCGAAACCGATTCGGTGCCTCTTTGCACCGAAAGTTGCCAAGCACGGGGAACATTAAACCGCAGTGGTTTTATTGAGTCTATTTCACCTCTCGGAATCCAGACTCACTGAGGTGCATGGGCCGATGAATGTAGTGCTAGTTGCACACAACAAACCATGTCTTGTCCAGCAGTCACGAAGCCTGTCTTCGAACACCACCACAGTGGCCTGGGCGTCGCCACGTCTAAGCCAAGAGTCTCTTGGCGGTTCAAAACCACCGATGCTACTATCGCTGGCTGGGTGCAGACTTCCTACGAACTCGAGATCAAGTTCGCTTGTGACGAGAAGCCCCAAAGCTACAAAGAGGCCAGTGACCAGTCTGTGCTTGTGCCATGGCCGGCAAGGGGTCTGGCTTCTTGTGCAACTGCGACGGTTCGAGTACGGGTATACGGGAAGAGTCTGGGTGACGGATCTCATGCCAACAATGAGCCAAGCGCGTGGTCTGAGCCAGCAACGGTGGAAGCTGCTCTGCTGAACAGAGACGACTTTCGAGCCAATTTCATCAGAGCGGCTCAGCAAGTTGGACCCCATGGCCCTCTAAGACCTATTCGCTTCCGCAAAGAGTTCACATTACCCCAAGAGCTCGATCTCAGCTCAGCTTCAGCCCGTTTGTACATCACATCGCTGGGTGTTTTCGAAGCCTGGATCAACGGGAAGCCAGTCACGGACGAGTGCATGGCCCCGGGTTGGACCAGCTACAAGCATCGTCTTGTCTATCGTATTCTTGACGTGCAGAAGCTCCTGGTTCCGGGTGGGAAGAATACGATCTGCGTCGAAGTTGCGGAAGGGTGGTACGCTGGGCGGCTTGGGTTTAAGGGCGGAACTCGATTTCGATATGGCGACACTCTTGGACTATTCACGCAACTCGAAGTCAAGGAAGGATCTGGCACTCCCTGGAGCCTTCTTTCAGATGAATCCTGGTCTTGTGCCCCCAGTGCTCTTACCAGAAGCGAGATTTACGATGGCGAGGTGTACGATATGCGGGAAGAGGAGGGATATTGGAAGTCTGCCGAAGTTCCTGGGAACACCTCAGACACAAGGCTTCTTCCATGGCCTCAAGCAGCGATGGTGGCACCGGACGCACCGCCAGCTCGAGTCATCGAGACGAAGGCATGTATCAAAGTCTTCCAGAGCAAAACTGGGAAAACGATTCTTGATTTTGGCCAGAATCTTGTCGGAAAGCTCTTCGTCAAGTCGGTTCACCTCGAAAAGGGACAAGAGATCACGTTCCGCCACGCCGAAGTGATGGAAGACGACGAACTAGGCACCAGGCCCTTGAGAGATGCCAAGTGCTCTGATACTATCATTGGATCGGGCGAGCCTCTTTATGATTGGTCACCCAAGTTCACCTTCCACGGCTTCAGATATGTCCAAGTCGATGGATGGCCAGGTGGTGGCCCCTCCACAGACGACATCCAAGCTCTCGTGATACACACAGACATGAGGCGCAGAGGCTTCTTTGAGTGTTCGAACCCCTACGTCAACCAACTTCACAAGAACGTGGTTTGGTCTATGCGGGGCAACTTCCTGTCGATTCCAACAGACTGTCCTCAACGCGACGAGAGGCTTGGATGGACCGGAGATTTGCAGGTGTTCTGCCCGACAGCAACGTTCCTATACGATACGTTAGGCATCCTAGGCAACTGGCTTGAGGATGTGGCGGCTGAACAACTGGAAGAGGGAAAAGGAGGCATTCCGCCCTTGGTTGTTCCCCTGGCGATCTCGCCCAACTGGCCACACATTGCCCAGGCTGTATGGGACGACGTGACTGTTCTCGCCCCAGACGCGCTGTACCAATACAGTTCTGACAAGGGGTTGCTTGAGAAGCAGTTCGCTAGCATGCAAACATGGCTTGACGAAGGAGTCGACAGAGCTTCCGACGGTCTTTGGAACCTGGACAAGTGGCAGCTAGCTGACTGGCTTGACCCGAGTGCACCTCCTGATGATCCCGGGAACGGTCGGACTGACAGCATTCTTGTTGCGAATGCCTATTTGGTACACACGACTCTGGTCTTCTCACGCCTCTGTGCGGCGGTCGGAAAGGTTGATTTAGCTGCCAAGTATGCCAGTGATGGCGAGAGATTAAAACAGCTATTCCAGAGGCGTTACATCACACCCGAAGGTAATCTGATGTCGAGCTCTCAGACTGGGTTATCCCTCGCTTTTCAGTTTGGTCTGTATCCCGACGACGTATCCCAACGCCAGACTGCTGCAAAGGCTCTCGAGAAGTTGGTACGGACTGCGCGCTTCCATATCAGTACGGGCTTCGCTGGAACGCCGGTGATATCGCATGCTCTCACCAAGATTGGACGCCCACAACTGGCGTATCGAATGCTTCTCGAGACAACTTGCCCAAGCTGGCTGTACCCTGTCGTATCAAAGGGGGCAACAACGATATGGGAGCGATGGGATAGCATGCTGCCAGATGGGCGAATCAACCCAGGGCAGATGACCAGCTTCAATCATTACGCCCTTGGCGCGGTGGCAGACTGGCTTCACGGGTCTGTCGGTGGTATCTCACCCCAAGAGCCTGGCTGGAGGGTGATTCGTGTAGAACCTGTTCCAGGCGGGAATTTGACGAACGCTTCGGTCTCTTTTGACGGTCCTTACGGAAAGGTGGCTTGCGAATGGGTGCTGGATGGCACGAACTTCAAGATGAGGCTAGAAGTCCCGCCAAGCTGCTCCGCGGCAGTGTTTCTACCTTCAGGGTTGCCAAAATTCTTTGCCGCAGAGACAGAGAAACAACGTGCTGCAGTTATGGTGCAGTCAGGGGTTCATGAGTTTGAGGATACCTTTGACCCGGGCGAGTGGCCGCCTCTGCCCTTGGTAGCCGCTAACCAGCCACTGCCATCGAACACAATCGCTGGTTAGGCTTGATTCTCTCACGTTCCTCGAGGTCTTACACGAAATTGATTTCACGGGAATTTTGTTATGCACTCATGTATGCATTGTCATCGTTGGATAGTTCTCATTGTTGTTGGGTATCATTCAAGACTATCTCATACTTCGCAAGTTCGCACTGCAACCCTTCGTTCTAGAAACATTCTGAGGTATATAACAAAGTTGGAATGAAATAGTAGTCAAGCAGAATTTGATCGGGTAATTGTGGAGTAATATCTCTCAAATAAAGGAAACAGTCGCTGAGTCGCTATGCATTTGATCCAAATCGCGGTGTCATTTGGACCTTCATGTAGCCTTCGTGACCTTTCTTGGGGTATGTGTTCAAATAACGAAATCCATCTGCCCTATCCATCTTTTCGTTCCATAATGAAATATTGAAGTTGTAAATGAGAAATGCGACTGTTTTGCGTAGGACTCGGTGAGCAATACTGGTGAAGCATTTGTGTTAGTTGAAGCATATCTTCGGGGTGAACAGATAACACCTACTGTTGTCCTAGGCATGTTCTTGTGCCAGTACCAAATGAGACGGAATGACCCTTGATTGTCTTTGATTCTTGATTGAAACCAAGCCATCTTTCAGGCTTGAAAGTATTCGGGTCCGGGAAGAGGATGGCATCGCGCTCGAGTAGACGTAAGGTGAAGCTCATACTCGTCTGCGAATTGTCAGATACAGCCAGAGTGCAAGTGACTAAGATTCTCTCATCATTGGAGGTATGATCGCTCCTTGGTATTCCACCGGAGTGTCACTCTGTCGTGGTTGTCGATGCCAGCTGGGCGAGCTCAAGCGGGATGACTCCCTGCATACAGCACCCTGAGAAAGCATCAGCGCCAAATTCTATTGATTTTAGGCCAACATCAATGTTGCACATACCAAATATCTTATTTGAGTGGTTTTTGGGTCCCTCCAGATTCGGTGCCCGTATGTGCCAATATCCAGAGTATCCAGTTCGGCTCGAATTTTCTTGATGCAATCCGGATTTTGGATGAGATGGTGAAGTACGAAAGTCAAGTTGCTGAGAAGGGATTCACTGCCAATGAAAATAGCTTGTGATGACTCGCGCACGGTTTGGGTCTCGTTCCCTATCTCGTTGAAGACCCGAGCCAACACACTCTGATGACTATTCTCGTCGTCCCAAGACTTGACCATAGGTCTGACGTGAGAGCTAACCAACTGCGAAGAGGTTAGTAATCTTGATGTTGTATCCGGAGAGGGTCGATCCAATGAGCTTACGTTATCAAGCCACCCCAAAGGTGAAAAGGATCGAAGAGCTGGAACATAATCAAACATGATCTTGACCGGTGGCATACATCTTAGTACGGTGGCGAGGTCGATGGCGCTGAAGGCTCGTGTCGCATTGTGAGTGGCTTGCAAATCGTAGACCTTAAGAAAACCATAGTTCTCCTCGGTGAGATACGAAATCATGACGTCGTTGGTGGAAGCCCATAGGTAATGCGTCAAGTTGATAACTCCCTTATCTGAAGCAGCATCTGCAAGGCGTGAGTGAAGAGACTCTACATGCTTATCCAAAGTCTTGAAGTATTCAGCCAAAGTCTGGCCAGAGAAGATTGGCCGCATGACTGCTGCTCTCTGCGCATGCTTCGTAGGACTGGCCAGTCCGCCAAGAAGTTTGTTGAGAAGACCGTAGTAGTTATCGCACTTGAAGAGGTCGGGGCGCCGGTGATGGTCGAGGTTGAACTTGTTGTCGACGAAGTGCAGATCGTTGGGCCCAATTCTAACAACAGGCCCTATCATGACATTCTCAGCTTGGTTCCCAGTGCAAAGTACAAGCAATGGGCGCACAACGTACCGTATTTTTCGTGGAGTGAGACGATATTCTCAAGCCAATCGTTCTTTAGCAGGACGTGATAGGCTTCGTAGAGTTTAGTCATACCAGCAATCCTCGGCCCGGGAAAACTGGCAATAGGAGACAAGAACATCCGGTACGTGTACTTGATGACGAGGTAGAAGAAAACCAGATAAACCATCTTGACTGTAAAGTCATTCAGGGCACCGGAGACCGTGAATGCAGCGAACCACGTCATGACAAGGATGATTTCTGGAGTTGTTTGTGACTGCGGGATTGGTCGCTTGGAACGCAATTGCCTAACGGTCGGCGACACAGCTGCTTGTGATATCAGTCACCCCGTCATGTCATGTCTCTTTTCCAGAATGGGGGCATAGCATTACCGTTTCCACTCACATGTACACTCTGCAAGCAGTGAGGAACAGTATGAGGCATTTCCCAATTTGATTTTGCCAGGCCAAATGGGCAGGTCTGGACTCTACCCAACGTCTGTTGGCTGCAAGGAGAACTATGCGCCATCACGGAAAGGGTTCCCAATCGGTCCCGGTGCGAATTCTTGAGTAGAGAAGACCAATCACTTTGCGCCGGTTCGTATTGGATAGGATCAGAGCCCCAGGAAGAAGCTGTATTATCGATTGCCGACGGTTCAAATGTAAGTATTGTTTTTGATACGTCGTTTGGTATCATTGACTGGAATAGATTAGTCCCTGCGAACTACACGAGACGAGGATTCATACCACGGCAACAGGGTACGGCGGCAGCTCCGCACTCACAGAACAGCTCGGTTGATGCAAGTGGACGTTGAGCGGCTGCAGGCCCGGATCACAACCCCTTGGAACCACATGCCTGGAGGTTGGTTCGGCCTGTGGGCAAGAACAAGGAGGAAGCGGCCCGGATAGTGGCAATTGCTGCTGCAGGAAGTGGCTCACAAGGGTCATCGCACCCGGTGCATTGCGGATCTGACGTTTGGAGTATGTCAGCAAGGAGCTGTACTATCGAACGAAAGACACGGGGGCCAAAATGCCGTTTTCGCGATGGTCGATGTTCGTTGGCGAGGGTGGATGTCTAGCTGAATATTTTTTATCGTGGACTCCGGTATATTTGGGACTTTGGAGATGCAATGCAACGTCAAATAAGCAGAGGTTCCACCACCATCTTATCTAAACGCCCGCTTGGCACCGGGGGCATCTAGAATCCATCGTGATCCGACGAACCAGGACCAGCAGGTGGGCGTGGCTTCGATCGGGTATGCCGTTGACAGAATGCCAAGATCACCGTTTCCCATTCAGTCGTCACCAATGTCTGAACTATGCCGCTTATACTTTTGCGACGGCAGCTTATCTTGGGATTTCTTTGCTATCGGTGCTCGCAAGTCGGGACTTCGGCACCATAATCGAAAGAACCGTGGGAGTGCGGCACACAGGTCGAAAGAGCTGCACTACCCACATGCTCTGTGCAATGCTAGGGCTGATCATTCGGGCAGACAGCTTCACTCCCGGATTGCGGGAGCTAGGTTGGCAGGAACCTTGTCGCTTGTTCGATGCAATCCGTGGAAGCTGTAGCCAACAGGAATTAGAGAAACAATTCTTGTCGGACTTTAGAGAAGAATTTTACTTTGAACAAGGTTTCGATGCCCGCTTCTTGGAGTTTCTCTGGCCAATTCGCACCGCGGGACATTTTGAACGTTTTTGTTTCACTAAACAAATCTAAACCTTCTTCCAAACTCTAGAGACATTGCCTTTTGGCGCCGTCGCACCAACTTATACGAAGAGCCACTTAGAGACTTTGCCCCCGCTTCCGCGAAAACCCCGAAGTCATCGGACAAACAACGGGGAAATCTAGAGTAGGGTGATCAAAGGGAGCATGCCAATTCGCAACAAGGACAGCCATACGACCCCAGATTGATAATCATGACGGACAGTTCCAAAGGTTTGGTCGGGTCGCACCATCCTGGGGCTCCACGCGTTAACGCGCAAGGTTCTACTTCCCGGTAGTAATGATCGCTCGGAACCAAGACAACCAATATGTCACTAGTAAGGGCGGCTGGTCTCTGCATACCATTATCGCTCACGTGCAAGCACTCTACAAGGCATTGATGCATGCATCCATTTTAACAAGAGGCCATGGCAGATCGTGAGATGGGTACTGATACGGGAATTTGCAAATAAAGTCATGTCTCATTGTACGTCTCTCAAAGTGGGCTCTTCCAGGAAGATTGTTGGTATTACCTCGGTCGGCCTACCCCAACTACAATTGTGCATCAGTCTCGCGAGAGCCGCTCCATCTGCCGCGTGTCATGGAACATGCTACAGACAGAAATTCGAAGTCGCGCTTCAAGATTGAGGGGTTGCGCGGAAATTTGGGCAGCGTTGATTCAGACTTGTCTCAAGACGTCCCATTCGGACGACTTCTAGTCCAGGACTCTTGATCTTTGGCGACACAATACTGACACCATGTGCTTGAGCTTCGTCGCGAGCAAATGTGCAAACCTGAGGGAAGAGAAGTCGGTAGCTGCGGGCTTCCAATGCTACTCTAGCCGCCGATCTGCCAGAATTACGAAAGTTTCATTGAGCAGCATGCCGAGAATTATGAGACCTGGCGGAGTACGTGGCGAAGAGTCTTCCAGTACTTTGTAGTCTGAGGCCTAGATCTTACTTAGCATGATCTGGTATAGCTGTCTCTCTTCTAACAAGCCCAGATTACAGTTGCAGTTTGTTCAATAGACTTGAAAAATCTTTGCGCTCGTTTTTGTAAAGGCCAGTAGAGTGATCAAGATGATAGCTCAGAGAACCCAGGCATGCTTGGCCTCTGGCTCCTTCATTAATTAGGCACTTGCGCTTACGCACATTTGACAGCATGATCATTTGTTCTTCTCACTAGAATCATATATAGCCCACTCGTCTTACAGACTCCTTCGGGTTGCCGAGATACTTAAGTGCCGCTTTATTCCAGAGGAGCCAGGCATAGAGTCGCTTCGACCCAGGGGAACGATCATGAAGCTTCAACGGAGAACGAGACCGAGACTGCCGGATTTGAAACCTCAAATTCGTCTTCCCCGACCAGGGTCGCCTAATTTACATTATCCGAGGCTTGACTCAAGTCGAAAGATGCAATGGCCATCAGCTCGCTGCTCCCCCGCCACATCTTGTGGTTTCACTCTACTATTCATGGTCTAGCGTTACCGCGAGGCTTCTTGCGGGCGAAGAGGCGATTAAACCGGCACTCGAACTCCTTGTTTAGTCTTTCCATGAGAAGAAGCCTCGTGATCCTGAGAGCAGTTGACCCATGCGCTGACTTGTGTGAGCGATTGGTTCCGCTTACACAGGGACAATTGGACTTCTGTCCAGAGAGGCAGGAGCTTACCCAAAAAGGAAATGGCTCAGTGAACTTCAGATGACACTAGGATCAAGTCGGCAAGCTTTCATAGCAATATAGGTAAATGTGGCACTGGCATGGACTTTTGGTAGGATCAACCTGGTTCATGGGACTCTTCTTATTGGTGAACACGAAAGAGTTGGGCAAGTCGACTCCAACAACGTCGAACTCCATCGAGCACACGTCGTGGAGAATTATCTCGTTTGTGAATCTACGATACAGATTGCTTTACAGAGCAAGCGAATACTGCAGCATTTACTATGGAGTTGATTTCTGGAAGCACTACAGAGTGTGGCAAAGACAAAGTGCAACAGGCGGCATTACTTATTCGCTCAAGTTTGTAGAACTGGCACATAAATATGAGCAACGGTTCCTGAGATGTGGTCCATATGGTACCTCGATTGATCAAGTCTATCATTTCCATTCGTTATCGAGATTCAAGTCCGAGTTGCTTAAAATGATTTCTGTAACTTGCAAGGCAGCCTTAATTGCGGCAATGATCAGCACTTCGGCCGCAGTCGACGCTTGGGGCGGCTCCGTGTCTCTTGGTCCAATGACTTCAACCATCAAGGCCGTGACAACAATTATCCCCGGCGCCGCGCCTCCCACGCAGAACGGGGTACTGGCTTTAGCCCACACATATCGAATGGAACCGGCTATCATGTCCAAACGACCCTCGAGTCCTGGCCGGACAACTTTTGGTGCGGCGCCATGAAGGGCCAATGGTGCGTCCGGGCCTCACTTTTCGGGTCCTTTGGGCAACTCAGCGGCGACGCTTCTGCCGTATCGGGCACCCAGAAAGTCAAGATCGACTATGAGCTCCTCTCTAACAATAATACCTGGCGCCAGACCGTCACCCATGCCGATACCGATGCAAAGCTCAGCTCATTCGAGCATAAGTCTGGCTCCTTCATGAGAGGCTATGGCACTGGAACCGAATGCAATGCCAACTATAGCCCTACTGTCTCTGCGCACAAGTACATTGACACTGTCATCACTCTAACAGGTCCTGATACTGGTTTTGGAAAGACGATTGCCACCGCTCAGAAAGCTACGTACTCCAGTCTCTCAAGCAGCCAGAGCGGAAAGATTCGGACGATCAACGCGATCAACGTCCCTGCAATGAAATGAGGGAACTGAGGTTTCCATTCGCTATTGAAGAAGCGGAGGGATCTCCCAGGATTTATTCAATTCTTTGTAAATATTAATGGTATCAAATAGCCGTATAAATAGCGATTCTACAGAATCAAAGACATGTAGGGACTCCGAAGCCTCCATTTTTCTTCGGAATACTTTCTATGTAGTGCTGTTCATCGACTCTGTAGAAGAGTAGAGGGAGGATCCCGGAAACTCCCGGTGTCTGTCTTTTATTTCGTGATAGAAAATCTTTGACAGAAAAGGTTTCTTCGACGGCTCGTCAGGGTGGTGTTTGCAGCCTCCAGTGCGTAAATACCAAACGGGCCCTAAGCAAACTGAATAGGGGAATCCGTCATCGCAGCCCATGAAGGGAAACTCATTCGCCACTGTATCCAACCATCCTGTGTATATTTTCTTGCAACAAGTTGTCTCGGGGAGAACTTGCTCAGAAGGGGTAGTTGGGAGATTAGACGACATTGAATCCAAAGCTTTCCCTGAGCAACATATTTCATGACAATCGTACCTTACTAGGTAAAAGGTTTGAGTGAAAGATGCAGCGTAATGATTCGATCGAAACAATAAAACAGCAATCGATCCTTCGGAACGGTCTGCCCGGAAAACATCAGAAGAAAAGAAACGTGGAAAACAGGAAGCGGCTCCGCCCAGACGTTTGCGTCGTTGGAGGTTGAATGGCGATCCCCTGCCACTGATTCGAGGTTTTGCTTTTTCATCACCGTCAGCCAATCCCCAATTGACAACATCCTGTTTGGTTTCCCTTCCCGCGGGAGTCGATCCAGCTCGGTACGCGCATCTCGCTAGGGGAGACAGGCTCAAGTCATCCGACACCGGCAGAGACCACTCTTCCTCCCCCACCTGCATGATCCCGAAAAGTCCACAGTCAGGTTTCCTCACCTGCGTCGGAGACGGCAATGATCTAATCTCGATTCGGATCGAAAGTATCTGGGTCAACGAGATCCTCTGCACATTAATTAGTCAGTCCTACTATAGGAGGATCGCATCTTTCGCCCAGCTCACTGGAACGGCAGCCTCCCGCCGCTCACCAGTGTCTAAATTGTCATGTCCCAAGGGCAAATCTGTAATGTCCCCATGGTCATTGGAAGTTCGAGACATGATCCCTGGGATTTGCTGCGACGAGCCGCGGGTGCGACCTCGTCCCAACGGGTCCCGACTTATGACAGGTCTCAAAACACATGCGGCGGAGGTTTCTTTCTGGGCGGGCTATCTCCCACTAGAGACCAGCTGTTCCTGCGAGTATGGTGCGAACAAGTGTCATACAGATCTTGGCTCCGGGTTTCCTCCTTTTTTCATCGTCTTCCTCAGTTGAGATTAGTGCGTCTGAGACGTCCCGTAGCAACAGGTCCAACACCCATGTCAATTGTCCCCTTGTCAGTCATGCAGCGTATGCAGACTGCAACGTACGCCACCAAGATTTGTGTTGCAGAAAACTACGACTGACAGCCGGGCAGACAGTCCGGCTTGATGGCTCTTGGGAGAGGACAGCGTTTGAAGATGGGCAGAAGTTTGAGGTTTGAGGAAACGTGCGAGAACAGGGTTTCAACGGTTCGTCCGTAAGGCATGCGAGTCGTCGTTTCTTCTTCTTTTCCATTTCGTGAGATGTTGGTCATGCACGTATATGCAGACTATGCAGGCATACGTGCGAGCTCAAGAACCTGCATGCTTAACAGCTCATATATTCTGCAGAGCGCAGACAAACGACCGGTGAGCAGTACATGAACACCTCCATGAAGACAGAGGGAGGGGTCTCTGTCTGCTCACCGATGGCCTCAGTTGCAGTTCGGCTTTGAAAATCTTCAGCAAAAGCCATGTTTCACCTCTGGGTACAACTGCAAACAAACTATTACCAGAGTACCGGCCGGCAAGGCCGTCGCAGTGGCAACGAACCCCGATTTTCTCCATCAAGATCAATCCGCTATTCGGTTTAGCTCCCGACTCAACATTACAAACCGCAAGATGAGAGTCATCTCGATTGTATCCCAGCAGGCGAACTTCCATCTTGATTTAGTGATCTATCACTTACCCCTCATTTAGGAGATGGATGCTTCTCTCACGTTTCGGCCGTTGATGGGGGGTTTGCTTACCGACACACCCACATGAATACAAGATGACATGCGTGGACACACTCAACGACAGATCTATCCAGCACTTGAAGCCCCACGCATCCTGCAAGCCTCTCCTGCACGTTCCCTTCTAGACAGATTCGGTCCAGGCTGGGTGGAGTCCCTGGTCGGCAAAACGGGGTCCGGGGCCGATACCATATTGCCGGTATGCAGCATGCTGAGAAAGGAACCGCTGGCTGATATTTCAGCCCTGTCATGGCACCGGGGAAGGGAGGGTTGTGGACCGACATCCACGAAGTCTCTGAGTCCGAAGAGAGACGAGTTGACGATGCCGTTTTCGTTATCTCCCACGTGGACATATTTTTCTGCGCCGATCTTTTCTCACATTCACATTGTTGCCCCCATTGTTGACTTTGCTTCTTCTAGCTTTCTGATCTCCTTCTGCTTTCGTCTCGCAAGGGTCCTTGTAGAAGAACATGCAAACTTCGCAGTGACGTGTCAAGCCAAGTACACTTCCGTGATCCCCACTCTCCGCAGCCCGTGATCTAGATCTCGGCATGCACGATTTTCTAGACCCCCTAAGACGTAGTAGGAAGACTCATACCACAACTGTGCTTGTGTTATGTATCTCTGCGTAGCCCAGATCGAACCAGACCCAGCTCCAGACCTTAACCCGGGCCTCCGCCAGTCTAAACTTCACTTGTTGAGGAGGAACGGGCGAGAGTCTTCCTGCATGAGCCCGGTTACCTCACGAGCCAGGGCCCAAGGAGCCGGGATCAGTAGGTCAGCATCGAATGGCAAGGATCCCGGTCTGCCAACCGCATACGACAGACGACAGGCCGTTGCAATGATCAAACGCCTACAGCGGAAACGCCACTCTGGCCGGCAGTACCTCCGCGATCTTCCTCTGGATCCAGATTCCCATGACCCCCCTTTGTCTCAGTAAACACACGCCGAAATGGTACCTGCCCCCTGGTCGTGGGAGAGACCTAGGCTCGTGGCTTTTTGCACGGGGACGATCCTACAGGGATACCGTCCAGGGTACGAGTGTTGCTGCAAGTCGGTACCCGGGAGCGATGGCGGTTCCAAATCGTTGACGATGAGTGTGGGCCTCGCAACCTGGTGATGCGCGATCGAGCCCTAGTGGTGTAATCCAAGCTATCCGTCTGCAGATGAGCACACTGGCTGTCCTGATCCCTGAGCCCACGCACAAATACAACCCATCCTGTCATCCACGCGCCGAAGATGTACCCGGGCCGTAGGCACCGCCCGAGAAGTAGAATGATACCCTGCAGTTTGGTGGGGGACACTTCGAAGGAGGCTGAATTCCGACAGCTTTGAACGGCCCAGTAGAATGAAAGGAGGTATTCTCGACCTTCCAAACCTCTATGGAATGTCCTAGCTGATGATCATCAGTGTTGGCGGAGGCGGCTCAGAAGCCGGCCTGGACAAATAAAGCGGCTTCGGATACGCACGATACCCAAAAGGTAGAGGAGACCTCATGTATGAAGCTCTTCTGGGTGAAATACTCGAGAGGAAACGGGATAATTAGTAGTCGAAAAGCGCTTCCATCATCCCGTAGAATCTTTGAATGAAACCAAACCCGGGGTCTGCGGAAGGAACAGCCGAAATTCGACTTCGTACTTGAAGAGGCCATCCTCCCGTCAAACCGACGATGGCACGAGCCGGCGTCAACGGTTAATCACCCTTATTTCATCATTTTTATCTCAACAATCAGTCCTCGTCGAATTGACTGTTTCTCTTCATCGAATACAGCTCGCCTCGTGGCCATTAATGTTTATTGCTTCACAAGTCCTTGTCCTTACGTATTGACCCCTGAGCTCGAGCCTCCTCCTCCTTCTCCTCCTGATATCCGCCACGAGTGACTGGACGATTTCAACCGTCTGCTCAACCGTCTGCTCATTGGCTATCGGCATCAAAGAGCCAAAACGTCTTCCCCCTGACGTCCAGCCACGAGAGAGAACTGGTTCGTCTCGCCACCGCTCCCGCTGGTATCCGTGGATCACCCCCTATACCGCTCTTCTCCCGTCGAAGCGAACGCCATTTCTTGCTCTTGTAGGCATCCGTGGGAACACCTGGCGGGATCCCACGCTTGCATCTTGCATCAACCGCTCTAAAATTCTTCACTGACCGCCGAAACCAACCACCCACAACCTTATCCTTCTTCAACGCACAGCCGGAAGACGACATCATTGCTTGCGAGTTGAAACCCACACAGAAGACACCGATAGAAATTCAGCAGAAGGAGCGGTGAGAAGCTCGGCTTACTTCAACTTCGCTTCTTGGTCCACCCGACGGTCCGTCTACTCAAGATGTTTAAGGTCGCTGCCCCTTGGGGCTTCCATGGCTCGGACATCTTTGCCTTTGAGCAGGATATGAAAGTCAAGGCACAGCAACGCTCCAACATCCGACGCCAGAGGAAACTGTTCGCACGCAACACACACAAGATTCCTTTCAACTTCAGATCCACCCAGCAACCGGGCGTCATGTCGAGTGAGGATTGGTCTTTGGCCGTCATTCCAGACGGGGTCCAAGACAGTTTCGAGGTGCGTTGGCTCTTGGTTCCCATCTCTCCTCCTTTCTTCCGTTCGCTCAAAACTCCTCATCATCGCCATCAACATCTGAGATGTGATCAAGGACATTGCTGACTTCCATCCTCTTGCCTCAGGCCCAGCAGCTTCGGAACAGATACCTAGCTGGCACCGCGGGCAGCCCGTACGTTGACCCTGATCATGGCATATTCTTTGCGAGAATGCAACGGCTTGATGGTTCTATGAACGGCAAACGACAAGTCATGGATCAGAATCAAACATGGCAGCCCTTTGAGGTGGCCGATACCACCGACGTCCAGTCCATGTTCGCTCCGATGCCGTATCAATACGATGTCTCGTCTATTGATGGCCTTCCACTGTCGAACTCCAACGCCTTATGCCATGGCATGTCCACATCCTCTCCCGTCTTCACGGCATCGGACGCAGGCACTAGCTTCGGCAGCTTCTCTTCTGCTGGTGCTCCTCCCATCTTGCTCGACTCTTCTTCCTTCAGCTCGGCGGACGGCAGCGCCATCATCACCAGTCCTTCAGACCAGTTCGAGTATGCCAATTCGCCCTTCGCCTCTTCATCCATGGTAACTGAAGACTTCAACGGCATCGAGGCGGCTCCCCCATCACCACCACCATTCTCCGAGCCAAACTCCATCCTCTTCTTCCCTACGCCGCAGGAGCAGCTCGTCGAGCACCAGCACCAGGTGGATAGCCAACAGGTGGCCATGAACACAGCCGTCCTGGAAGGTGGCCATGGCAGCTTCAGGGGTATCAAAGCCGAGCAACAAGTCTTGATGTCGAGGCCTAGGAAGGAGCTCCCCGAGAAGCCGCGCTCATCGCGAAACGATACCAGTAGTTCCTCCCGTCGCAGGGCCTCTCCGGTTCGCAAGCCTGTTCCCTCTACGCACAAGACTGAGCTTCGCCCGAAGCAGCCGAAGCCTTGTCCGGCACAGCCTGCTACAGTTGATCTCGCAGAGCGTTCGGCCAAGGACGAATACCTTCTCAAGGCCAAGCAAGAGGGCCTGACGTACCGCGAGATCCGGGTCAAGGGAAACTTCAGCGAGGCTGAGTCGACTCTTCGTGGACGTTATCGCACCCTTACCAAGAGCAAGGAGGCACGGGTTCGCAAGCCTGAGTGGACCGACAAGGACGTGAGTTTTCCCCAGCCCGGCTTCCCATGATGACTATTTTTCTTGGCATCCAGCTGACTTATACATCGCAGGTCCACCTGCTTCAGAGAGCCGTCCGCAAGTTCGCCAAGGGTAGTGATCCCTCTTCCACCAAAATCCCCTGGAAGCAAGTCGCCGAATACATCCAAAGGAACGGCGGCTCCTATCTCTTTGGCAACGCCACTTGCCGCAAGAAGTGGGACGAACTTGTGCTGGTTGCTTCGGGCCACCAGATAGGTGTATACGGCGCGATGGAGTGATGAAGTCGATTGCATAGAGAGTGTGAGTATAGTCCGAGAAGGCACGGGACAATGCGATCGGCTTTGGTTCTTGGGGCAACGATGTGATGGACAGCGGAATAGTAATTTTTGACAAGTGACATGTCGATTGATGGTGGACCATCGGTGGTTGTATTCGTATGGAAATCTCGGTATCGGGTGGTATGTGGCTGACTTATCATGTTTGCTTTTTATTAGTTAGAGTCCTGCCGCTGGGCCAATGTTTGCTTGCATCGCATCTGCAATGTGTGTTTGCCCCCTCTTCCTTTTCTCCATGGACGTGCATGATGTGTATGTGCCTTCACAGCTTTTTAATGTGGCCTCCGCCGCCATCCTTGGGAACGCCGATTTTTGACAAAACTTCCAGTAATTGGACGCCGTCACCGTTGCCTCCTGACCTTAGCGCATCCCATTCGGCCTCATTTTTAACCAGAGCCGTGCCCGCCAAGACGGTGCCGTTGAGAGCGAGGTTTCCTACGGCCGTACCGTCCTTGAAGATGGTCGCGCCCTCGGCAAGTCGCGGCAGTACGGCCAACCGGTCACTCGTCATAGCAAGATTGTAGCTGATGCGTGCGCCGCCATTCCCAGAATCGTTCACAGCGCCGGTGTGAGCCTCCACTGCATCAACCGCCGACCTGAAAAGTGATAGATAGATGCCGTGAAGTTCATCCGGCGTCATGTCGCGATGTATCGTCTCCGCAAAGGTCAAGAACGGCAGGCCGGAAATGTGCTGCGGGCCAAGCTGTTTCGCCAGCACATCCCATTCCGCGCCGTCGGGGAGACCGTCCATCATCCGCGCCACCGGAAGCAGCTGGATGTGCCGATGAGGCTGACTTGCACCCGAGTGCGAGCCGCTGTTGAAGAAGGCATAGAGCTCGCCATTATGCCCCTGATGTTGTTCGCCGTACTGTCTGTAAGCCTCTATGCAAGAGTAGGTTGCCGCCAGATCATCGCGCTCCAGAGGATCGGTCTGCTGTTTGAACTCTTTGGTAGCCAGGATAAAGTGCTCCGGAACGATGGCGAACTTGTTCAGCACCAAGTTGTGGCCCGAAGACGATGGGATGTCGGCGATGAACAGCAGCCCCTTCTCGGGACTCTCAAAAGGATCAAAAGGCTTGCGTGGCTCATCTGTCTTCTTGGGCTTCTGCGCGACCGGCTTGTTTGCTAACGCGGGGGAGAAGCGTAGTTGAAACTGAGCGGAGGAGTTAATCGAGTTCCTGTTCAAGTTCATGCGAGAGATATGTGATGCAACGCAGACAGACTCACCGGGGTTGAGTTGGCGTTGAGCACTGTGACTTGGGTTGCATAGTAGGTCAAGTCGCCATTGGAGCGAGCCTTGTTGAAAGCTGCTTTGACAAGCTCCGGCAGGTTGACTGGGGCCTTGATTGGAGACATTCGTCTATCTGGTACGGGTCAGAGGGGCTGAAGTAGAGTGTGTTGTCGTTGCAACGTTGGAGATAAAGAGGAAGCGGGAGGACGGAGGATGAGGTCACTTTGAGACGGGACGGGGGGAGCTACGGGCATCCCTGGACCCCACCTCGGCCCCCACATTCACCATCCTCACCTCCTTCACCGAGATTCTCACCGACCAAGGTCTACACCGAGGAGGCATCAGTCACAGAGACACAATCACTTGGGGCAAAACAGTAGTCTATGAACGGATTATTGAGTGGTCGGAATGGTGTGGTTCGCTCCGGCTCTGGGAGTATTGCAATTCACTTGACGAGCTGATTATTAGTGGGCCGACCACACGAATCGAGATCAATATCGACGTTACTTTCGAGTGGAATGTATGTTTCTTTTATTATTGAGGCGTAAATGCCCGTTTTCGACTGATTTTCTTCTATGTGATATCCCGGCTGGCCTATATGCCAGGCAGACCGACGACTTGTCGTATAACAGGGACGAACCGAGGGAGAACGTATACGCCATACAACGCGGTAAGAGCGGTAATGAGACCGGTGACCTAGGTTATACGTTAATGAGGTTGTACAAGAGCATAAAATTTGGCACTGTACCTTTTCAAACCACGTGTGGAAGTAGATGGCAGTCATCAGGAGCATCCAAGAGCTCAGCATGATAATGGCAGCGGCAAACTTGCCACCCAAGCCCAAAGCATCTCCAGAGATAGGTTCTCCCTTTAAACCCTGTGCCTCGACCGTTGCAGTCTTTGTAGCGCCGTCCGTCATCACAACGCTGCGCTCTTCTCTCCTTGAGCCTCTCCAGCGCATCACCACCCATCCAACCTCGGACAATAAGAAGCCAGTGCCGAGAACCAGGAGGAAGACATGTCCAGAGATGTCGTGGCCGCCGCGCCAGCGTCCGCCAGATGCCTTACATGCGACCGCGGTGAAGACCTCCTTGGCATCTCCTTCGCCCATCTCGACCTTCTCTTCAATCATCTCGCACTTTCCACCCGTCCAACGGAAGCCACGATCAATAATGGCCGGGCCGAAGAACCATTGTGTGACAAAGAACCACCAGCTCGTGACCAGCGCCCAACGCAATGTGCCCTGTACGCGCGCGGTCGCTTGTGCAGTCGCGGGGTGTGTAAGGATGAAGCCGAAGAAGGCTGCCGTGATCCAGAACCAGCCTCGCTTGACGAAGATGACGTTGAATAGGTTTGACTTTTGCGCAAAGTACGACGGCGCAGAGTCTTGTGCGTGGGCTTGTGCTGCGGGGTCGTAGGTCGACGAGCGGACGTCGGGAGAGAGAAGCGAGAAGACGGTGCCGAAGAAGAGAATGACGGGGAAAGCGGCCAACACGATCGTCTCGATTGGCGTGGGCAGATAGGGGCTGTTTCGCGTCGTCTTGAGGGGTGTCGAGGGCGGCGACGTCGTTGCACCGTTGAGGTCGTCAAGTGCCCGCCTGGTCTTTGACCGCAGGTTTGCTGCTGGTGGCGTGTCCATCGCGATGGTTTTTAGTGTATGGAAGGGAATTCGGAGGGTGTGTTATCGCATAAAGGGCAGAGGAAGCCGAGAACGAGCGGGATCGTGAGTGACGACCGTCTTTAAATCGGTGGGAGGAATGGCGCCAGAGCTTGGAATTGGAAGAAATCGATGCACAGAGTATGACGTTGCTGCCACCTCAAGCGAGGTACCGGAGAAAGGTACGTACCCTGCTTGGGTCACGGTGGCTGAACGCGGACAGTCGGCCATTGGGAAACGCCGACCGGCGAACCATCGCCTCTCCTTTTCGGTGAAGGTCACTCGCCGCCTCACACCGAGGATCAAGGTGAGGATTACAAGGTGAGGACACATTGCGAGAGAACTTGAAAGATGCCAAAAGAAGATGGGGGGGGGGGCAAGTCACGATGCCAAATCCTGACTCTATCATGACACCTTCATTGTGTTCTGGCCCATCCTTGTTGGTGAGCACAATGAGAGGATCAAATCTCACAAGTTCGCAATCACGGAAGAACGAGGCGATATTTTGTAAAACGTTGTTTCATTGAATGGTATCAAAATGCCCTTGGGCAAAACAAGAATGTCAATCCCGCCGTAGAAAACCCTCGTGTTCTCACGATCCACGGCTTAATCCCGTTTTCTGGAAACCTTAAAACTCCCTTGATGCAAGTATGCCTCCTGCCAAAACCCATAGCATGAAAAGGGGGTTGGTGGTAAGGACATGTAGCGACACACCACTGGAGCGGCCGACTACATCCGAAAGAAAGTAAACAAAGTCACGATCCTAGACAATAGGCTCGTGAACGTGATCATGGACATGATGGACGTGGTTGGCTCGGTGATCGGTAATTCCCTTGGGGATAGGAAAAGCTTCACCTGGCACGTACGCATCCGCGTATCTTGGAGCGTACGAGAGCGGCTCAATCTTGTGCGGATAACGACGCGCCTCTCGGGGCACGTAAGCTCTCTTCTAGAGGGATCCAGCAACCGCCTCGACACTGTACACCGCCACGTCCTTGATGTTGTCCCTCTCCTAGAGGGGAGCCTGGAACATGGCCACGGTGGCGCAGAAGTTGTTGCGGTTGTCGGCGTCGAGGGCGGCGCCCTTGCCGTTGACAGTAACCATGTTGATGGAGGCCTTGGTGCTGAGACCAAAGAACTTGACGTCCGAGTTCTCGAGAGAGACCATGTGGTCCTGGCAGTTGTTCTCGCCGACGCAGACCTGGTCGTAGTTGTTGAAGAAGCTGTACAGGCCGGCACCGTAGATGAGAATGTCCTTGGAGTTGATGGCGCGGACACCCCAGGTACGGGCGCACTTGTCGTCCTGGCCGGTGCAGAAGGTCTCAAAGTTGGGGTCGAGGATGGCGTTGTTGACCGTGAAGGGCGTCTTGGCATCGGGGTTACCCTGGAAGTAGGCCGTCTCGGTCTGGATGTGAGCCATGTAGACGTTGGAAGCGTTGTTGAACTGATAGTTGTAGAGAACGCTGTGCTCCGAGGCGGTACCCCAGAACCAGGTGCCCTTGGTAGCCTCGCAGAGAACACCACGGCCGTTGTAGATGTTGATCTGGGCCTTACGGTCGGGGAGGTCGAGCTCGTGGTCGGCAACCCACCACCAGGTGTTCTCGAAGTAGCCAGAGGACTCGGCGGTCATGTGAGTGAGAAGGTAGGCGCCGATGCACTCGGGGTTGGCGGTCGTGGTAACGTTGGGGTTCTTGGCGCACTTGTCGGACTGAAGCTGGGTACCGGCACTGCCTCCAATGCGGAAGTGGACATCCCAGAGACCGGCGGCACCAGGAGTAGAGCCAGCGATGTTGTACTCCATAAGGATGGCACCAGCCTGGGGACCCTGGGTCTGGACGATGATATCGCTCATCTCAAAGGTGCCAACATCGCCAGTCTTACCGATGCGAAGCATGACCTTGGGGTTGGCCTGATCCTTGAAGGCGGCACCGTTGGCCATGAGAAGAGGCCAAACCTCGCCGGTAATCTTGAGGTCCTTGGGAACATCGATAGTGTCGGAGATGATGTAGGCACCGTGGTCAAAGTAGACAATGTCGTTGGGACCGGCCTTGTTGAACAGAGCCTGGATGGCAGCGGTATCGTCGCTCTTGCCGTCACCCTTGCAGCCGTTGGCCTTGGCGCTGAGGAACGAGCTGGCGGGAATGTTGGAATACGAGGGCTTGCTGCGGGTAACAACCTTGCCATCAGAAGCGAGAAGACCGGCGGGCTTGACAATGGCATCCTGGGCAGCTTGGACAGCCTTACCCTGACCGGCAGTGCCAGTGTAGGTCTTGCCCTGGATGAAGGATCCGACCTTCTGGTTACCAGCGAGGACGGTGGCCTTGGTGTCGACGATCTGGACGGCGACGGGGACGTTGGAAGTCATGTCGACGTTGTCGAGGATCAAGCTGCCGTTGGTGGACGAAGACGCGGGGTTGTAGGCAGTCAGAACGCCGACAGGGGTGTTGCTAATGACGCTGTCGAGCAGGAGAACGGAGCCGACGGTCTGCGCGCTGGCACCACCGTTGGACATGTCGATACCGACACCGCAGTTGTTGATCTTCAAGTCCTGGAAGGTCCAGAGCCAGTTCCAGTTCATGTAGACGGCCGTCTTGCAGTTGTTGAATGTCATGTTGCGGGTAGTGAACTGCTGCGAGCCCATGAAGGCGCCGTACTTGCCTCCGTTGAAGGTCAGGTCGGTCATGAAACCTCCGGAGCCGTTGTCGATGAAGATACCCTGCTGGACGTTGGCGTCGCCACCATCGGTACGCATGTTGAAGACGATGTTCTGGAGACTGGTAGCCTGGGCAACCTGCCAGTGAATGCCAGCACCAGAGGTGAAGGGCATGCCGGTCAAGTCGATGTTGAAGTTGCGGACAAGCTTCCAGAAGTCTAGAAGAGGTTAGCAACGTGAAATCTCAAAATACTTAGGGGGATAACTCACTGTTCTGGTTGGTATGGGCGTTGTTGCCCTGATCGTCGTACGGGTTGGCATCGATGACGGCCATACCGGTGAAGCTTGCAGCGGCCTTGATGGTGGGAAGCTGGGTGGCATCTCCAACCATGTGAGTGTAGTACTTCATGACAATAGGCTTGGAGACAACGTAGGTGCCGGCGGGGAAATAGACGAGAGCAGGAGTGGTAGTCTGAGAGTCACAGCCAAAGCCGCAGCGGTTTCCCTCGTCCATAGCTAGTATCAAGTCAGCAAATTATTATTTTTCCTCAAGAGAGAGGGAATCACGTACCAGCCTGGATGGCGACAGTGTCGTCGGAGGAGCCATCACCCTTCGCGCCGAAGTCCTTAACGTTGCGGAAGATCTTGTAGTTGGGGTCACCGAAGGCAGAGACACCACGGCGCTCGATCGAGGCGACCCAGAAGCCGGCGGCGGCATCAGGAGTGGCAGCCTGGGGGACAGGAGCCGGGGCAGGAGCGGCGAGGACGTCCGCCGAGAACAGGCGCAAGGCCAGGACGGCGGCCGTAAAGACCGTAGAGAGACCCATTGCGAGGAAGCACAGCCAGCTGTATGATGTTCTCTTGTTGTGTTTGGAAGGTTGTAATGAGGGTGAAGACTGAGAAGAAGGTTGGCGGTTAGCTCTCAAGTCTCAACTGAAGTGATGTTGAAGGTATCGATGATGAAGGAAGAAAATTCCAAACAAAACGCAACTTCGAGGTAATGTGGAAGAAGCTCGAGACTGCTCGAGCAAAGTTGTTTCAAAGAAAGGAAAGAGTTGAATATTTGTGTTTTCTTTGACCAGGCCGGGGTACTTGAAAAGTGTGATAGGGCTTAGAAGCTGATGACCCTCGATATCGACATCACGAACCATCCACACCTTAAGTATGAAGGGCGCGTGAGTGTCAGTGACTAACCGACAGTCGACTCGCACCGGCCCGCTCTCCACGAACAGCATTGTTGTCAGTGACTAAAAGGACCGCTGTGCATCACAAGCCTGGATCATGTCCTATTGTTCGCCCTTCAGACGAGACAAGGTCTCTTTCACTCGGCGGGACCCCCTCGACGCAGACTCGCCCGGACTCAGATGACAGGTCCCACGTCACGGTACTCTTGGAGAAAGATACCATTGCCACCAACCCAAGAAGCCAAGAGGAACCAGATATTAAGAGCCGAGACAATAGGCCGGTGGTTCGGGAGGGTGTAGGGAAAAGGGAGACGAGCCACGGGACCGGAATTGAAGAAGAACGGCGCACAACACTCACCAGAGAGGTTGAAAAAGTGACAACGGATGGCGGCCGATCGAGGCTCGGTTCTTGGTGCAAAGAGTGACTTGGAACGAATCGAAACAGCAGAGAGTGGTATATTAACCCTCTTGGCTTTGGATATACGCAACGAAAAGAAAGAACGTCGATGGAGAGGACGAGGGTGTGAGGTCGAGACAACAGCAGAGGGAAGGGAGGGACCATAAACTTAAAAGAGGTTGACGGCGAGATGATCGTCTTATATCGACCTTACCTTTTGGGCAGTCCCCTGCCTCGCCAGACGATTTATCGCCATGGTGGCGGCGGCAGTCAGACCTCTCCTCTCAGTCTGAGGCAAAGCAGGGCCCTGGATCCCGGTTCACAACCCCAAGAGCCGTCCGTCAAAGAAAGGTACGGATCCTCAACGACTGGATCTCGGCCTTCTGGGCAGCCAAGCAGGGCCAGTAGGGTTGTATCAACTTGTGTGACCGGCAAAGGGAAACTGAATGATTGAGTACCAGTGAAAGGGGGGGGGGGGGGGATATTGGACGTCCGTGGCCCGCCCGAGCTCGACAAAAACCTACGAATCCTAAGCCAACAACAGCTAACCTTAGTCCTTTCTTTACCACCACCCCTCGTCCAGCCGACTTGCCGCGCTGGGTAGGTAATCCTGGCAGAGCACAAAAATGCGATGAAACAAGAATCCAGAGGGCGGCGCTATTGGTTGGGAGGGGATATAGCTTCAAACAGAGCTAGGATGGGGGTGTGGTACGCTGTGAGGTGTTGCCAGCAGCAGACAGAGTAAGTCAAGCGACGTGCGCGCGAGGCGAGAGAGAGTGAGAAAGAGAATGAGAGAGAGATGCAGGAGACACAGAGAGAGAAGCACACGCAAGTAGTTCGGACGAAAAGGCCCTGTCCGGAGGCAGTTCAGGGGGTTGGTCAATGCGATGCGACAGCAGCCCCTAGTCCAGTAGTCCGGGTTGGGCCAGTTGGACCACCGGACCCCCCTTCAACCTGACGATCTGTCGGCATGCTTCTGGAATATCCACCGTTGGTGGTGTTCTTGTGGTGAGAGGTTGATTGAATCGCATGCAGGAAAAGGTAAACGGCCCAAGGTTTGGTTTCCCACGGGACTGTCATGATCCCTGCAGCGCCTCCGTTTCCCGCATGAAAATGATCTTCCGGGCGAGATCTGTCGGTCCTTGAGGCCTCGCCTTGATGATGGGATGCAGGAACCTGGCCACTTGGGCAGCCGATTCAAGGAAAAAAGGAGACTCCACGTGCAGGGAGAGAGAGCAAGCAAGCGAAGGCGGAGGATCATCGAGCCCGCCCCCAAGGAGACTGTGGACATGTTGACGACTCATCCACGTGCCATGCTGTGGCTGGAAGAAACGCATCGAAGCTGGCTACTGGGAAACAGGCAGAGAGAGAGAGAGAGAGAGGGGAGTCAACTCTACTCCGAGACGGACAGCTGGTTGAACAGTCAAAGATGAGAAGAAGCAAGGTCAAAGACAAGACGGAATCATGTCCTCTAGTTGCAGAGAGGTCTTTGATCTCCGAGTACTGCATGCATTCTGTATGGCTCTTGGAGTTTACCTTCTACCCCCGTCTTGTCCAATGTCTCGTGCACAAAGGGGGTAAAGTACTGCTGTGTAATACTCCGTACCAATGTCGAGAGGGGGAACAAAACAAGACGCCGGCGGCTGTTCTCCCTATTTCGAGGTCCTCCCATCCCTTTTTTCGCCTCTTGTGCCCCTGGCTTGGCCACTTTGTGTTCTCTTCCCCACCAAAGCCGCCCCTCCAGGGATGAGCAGCAGCAAGGATCATTTCTCTTCGATGAGCAGGCACAGCAAGGACAAGGGTAGGATCAAGAGGCAGCGAAAACCAGCCAGAGTCACCAAAAGAGCCAAAAGAAGTTCTGGACAGCCGACATGGAGTGGCCGGGGTAGCTGAGGATCGGGCATAGCGCCGTTTCAAGCCAGTACACCCTCCACCAGCGGCAGACGCCTTCAGCGAGCACAGCAAGGGCTCAAAGAGAAATGGTTTGATGGGGTTCGCGTCACAGAGCTGGGCGCGTTGCGACCCGATCCCGCAGCGGCACTGGCTGTGGTTGTGCGTTGGTGGCCGTTGGTTGGATGGCAGTTGTTCCCGCGGGAGATGATGAGGAGGGGAGGGTCCCCAGATGGGCGAGGCGCTTGTGACTCTGTCTTGTCTTTTGACTCTTGACTATGAATATCTCCCTCTCATGTCCTACAATGTCATTTTACTGCGGTGACTAGACTCAGAAAGTTGGACGGCCCGGTTGTCTGGAACTGTTCTATGACGGCATCGAAGCGCTCACAAAGAGGTCTCCCATGAAGTAGCTGGGTTCCATGGAGTGGCTGGCCGGGCATTGACTCTGTACGACCTGTCAACTGAAGCCACGCCACACAAGTGACAAGACGATGGCCTCCCACAATGGTACATGGCGTTCTGTAAGCATGGGCTACCATCGGGCCCCCTTCTCAACGACTGGAGTTTTCACCCGTGATGCTGCTCCTTGCGACCCTGGAGCTCGTGATGAGAGACGGCCACTCGGGTCTGCTGTCTGCCTCCAGTAATCATTTCTTCACCAGCGACTTGCCTGATTCTCTTCTCAATATTGGAAGCTACTGCACTACCACCCCGCAAGGCTCGATATTCTCGGCCCTTCTCCAGAGTCAAGCGCTGTCACATGAGAAGAGGTTTAGAAAACAGTAACCTGCTCCGTTCGGCGCGTCACTTTCACTTTGAGAAGGTTAATGGTTTGTGGGGAAGAGGCATCGCTTCGAGTCTTACAAAACCCGTCTTGCCCAAAAGGGATGCTAAGGGATTCGATCAAAGAGTAGGGTATTTGAGTCGCATCTATTGATGGGTTATAGTACCACTTCGCCATCAGCGACGGCCCTCGGCACGTCAGGCGGAGGGGATATCCCGTCCATCGAGCCCGAATGTATCCAGGATCCGTCTGACGATGCCGGCGGTTTACATGCCCCTTGCAGGAATCATGTCCGCTATCAACCCGCCAGGACAGGCCCGTGAGAAGTACCTTTGTCGCATCGCTACCAAGTCCGACTACGACTACGAGTCTACGAGGGTTGTCGACGACCAGACATCAGCTGCGCGCAAGAGCTCGTGCAGGAAACGGCCCCAGCTGGACATCAAGTTACTGGACCGCATGCAACCGCTGGATCGCCGTACCTGAATACACCCATGCCTAATGCAACGTTGAAGCCTCGAGAGCACATCACTTGCATCGCGTGCACTAGGCAGTCGATATGCTTACTCTTGCCAAGTTGTCATGACCTTGCGGGCCTAGTCTGAGTTCGTGGATTTGGTTTCTGGAATTGCGGATCGTAGATACACTTTCCATTACGCTTTGCTGAGACATATCCGCACTGCATAGATGCGCAACCTTGGTATGTCTATTGAGTCTCTACCTATCGACGCAGGAGTCGACAATGGTTCCAAACAGGCGCAGCTTCACAACATCCCATCTTTGCCAGTGCAGCCGTTTCGAAACGTTCGCATTACCTTTCCTGTTCACAGTACACCAATGTCGCTTTGTGATTCACTCTTCCCTGGTTGTTCATGTGCCCCCCAAACTCTGAATCCTTCCATGAGTGCCCCGTAATACTATGTAGTTGAAGAACGTTGGTACTATTGATGCTCAAACCTCTATTCTTACGAATTCGCCAGAGTCATGCCCTCTTCACGGGCCCCCAAACCCACCCGTCAAAACTTGATCGTCCCGCGCACTCTATCTGCGCATCGATGATCCTATTCCTGGCCTCTTGACATGTCCATCGCCAAGCTGTTACACCCTGCGCCTTAATCCCCCAAATTTCCCCCATCAAAAACAGCGAGCATAGCAGAAGCTGAGCACTCATAGGACACTTGCGACTCGCGGGTACAAAAATACAAGCGACTCTTGTCCGCCGCCCCCTTTTAGACTTTTAGCTGCATGTCACTAGAGTCTAGAGACAGCTTTAGCAAACCCAGGACCACCATGTGCCGCTTGCCGCTACACCACACCCGTCCCCCGTATTTCTGACGGAAATTAACCTTCATGAGTGAAGGCTAAAGGGACGATTCTGGACCCAGAAAGTTCAGAAACCTCTCCCTCCTCCCCCAAAAGGGACACAAACGGTTGGCGACATCCCTCCGGTTGAAAGCCTGCCTTTGCCTGGCTTGGCTTTGGGTTCCTTCACAGCGTAGCTTCAATACTCAAAATCATCTCTAAACCGGGTACATCCCAAAATAAGATCTACGACTGCCGCCTCTAGCCTTCTTTCTCAGGGGTTAGTTATTGCTCGTTCTCGCGGTCAGGTGGCGTTGTCCATGTTCCCCATGTCCACATGGCCTGGGCACCTTGTGAGTGTTCGTTCTATCGACTAAGGTATTGTAACGTGTGGTGGGCTCTCTCGCGAATCGAATCGTGGAGTCGTGAGACCTGGGGTGAACCCCAACCTCTTCCCCCTTCGAATCCCATTATCCCTCCTGTGTCCATCCATCCACCCCATGTCCTCGTGGCAGTTTTGCGCGCTCATCCACCTCTTCCTAGTAAGTCGTGACCTTTCCTACCTCGCAGATCCTCCGCGTCGGTCGGCGGGTTGGTAGCGCAGATCATCCCCACGGGACACTCGAACAAGTCTAATTTCCCCAACTGCGTCAAAGCCGCGTGGTCTAGGCCGGCTTCTCTACGGCGTCATTTAATTCTGCGGTGCGGTGATTTCTTGAGGCGCTGGAGGCCTTGAGGTATTGGAGAGGGAGTCCGGGGTTGAATTACTTGGCATGCGCGGGAGGCAGGATATTCAAGCCACGGAAACATGAGACCGAGGCGCTTTCGGGGCCATAGTTCGATCCGGCGGGGTGAACAAAAATACCTCCCTACCGGGCACTGCGGCGGATCTACATTCCGGCGGCAGGCATCGTGAGATGAAGACAAGAATACACCAAGCAACATGAGACGAACACATGTAAATGAACTCCCTCACCTCAGGTTCTGTACTGCCCATCCGGCCCGACCAAACAACGTCGCATCCGGCACCATCACGGCGGCTCTTGTGTATGTTCAATGTCTAATATATACGGACTATGTGTTCCTCCTCAATTTGCCCCCAGCCATACTCAAACCTGATGTCTGGGGCCGTGGATGCTGAGGGGGAATGGGGTCCGGGGAAGGACAGAAATGGAAGGTCGGTTTGTGATACTCGCAACGATCCCTGCTCTACGGCCCTGTTTCAGCTTTCATCTTGACTCTTGGGGGATTTGGGGGTTCTTGGAACCAAAGCCTCTCACTCGAATTTGGCCCGAAACAACTGCTCAAGACAATTTGCGGATAATCCAGCTGAAGCGACTTTTGGTGTTCTTCAACGCATGTGACTTTTGGCGATACTTGGCGAGTGCATGTGAGATGCTACGGATATTCGGTCGATGGCTCTTTCAACCTCGGTGTCCGCGAGACAGCTACACACGATATTCTGGTCCTCCTACTCAGTCGCCTACGCACCAGCCTTAGCATCTTCATGACGATGCCTCATGGACAAGACTGGAAGCTGGATCGGCAGCCCAGAGCCTTGAACCATCGAAGGAACTGATCTAAACATACTGCTTGTTTGATTCACTCTGTCCAAATGGCGGCTGAACGATCCCAATTCATCCGAGTCTCTGTGCACCCCTCGCCACCAGCTGTTGGTATCGTTGAGATGAACGCCGTCCCACCGTTGACTGAACGACACTGATTCTGATTATCACTGATATCGCGCACTCCCACCCTCATAGTCAGATCACCAGCTTGAGGTCAACCACAACCATGATCAAGGACCCATCGAGGTCAACCCTAACAAACATGCGTACTTTCTCAATGCCCAAGCACGCTGCATCCTCGCGGCGCCTCGCGGTTACCGGAAGGCACGGTCCGTGATCTGTCCAACCCCGTCAGTCGCCCTTTGACCACGAACTTCTCCGTGTGTCAGGTCCGCATTAGGCTGATCTCAATCATCCAGTTCCCGCCAACGTGCTCTCGGACCGTGGGCGGGACGTGGGCAAGTTCAAGATGAGATTGGCTCCCGGGCTCGAGTCCGAAGTATAGACGGATCGAGTCTCAATATCCTCTTCGACTTTACTCCGTAGATTGCGCAGCTTCCCGGGGCTGTAAGCATGGAGCCAGGCGTGGAGAGAGTCTCCACCATGGACTCTACTTTGCATGCGTGGGCTTGATGCTGATCGTTGTTGTGAACCGGACACCCTTTGCATCACATCTCGCTTGCATTTAGACGCATACTACATCCCCCAATTCTCACGGAATCTACACCTGCAGCAGACAGCACAAGAAACAAGCACCTGTACCAAAGCATCTCAGTCCGGCGGAACGAACAGAGAAGACGGTCAAGCGCAGTACAGTACTTCAAACTTGAGCCTAACATCCCCATCTCCATCCCAATTCAAGGCCTCACAAGTAGCACAGACTCATCCGTTCTCACCACGCCGATAATCAACCCAAGACGCGCGGTAACCCCCCACCACACCAACCTCGAAACAAAAACCCATGCAAAGTTGCAAATGAGGCCCGGCCGACCGGCCTTCAGATAATAAAATCTTGTGAGTCGAAACGAAATGGAACGTCTGATCTTGCCGCACACGTTCTGAAACTCGAATGGACAGGAAGTAAATTGCTACACCGACCGCGCTAGTTTGGTAACGAGGCTCACCCCCGTACGACCTGTCTTTTTCCCGCCTCGTTCGCCCATTGACTTTTTGTCTGGCATGAAACGGCTGTTTTCTCCGCATTCTATACCATGAACCCGTCGTCTCATAGCATGACAGTGAAGAGTGGTAGATCAGTGGCAAAAGTGTCACCACACGGGACATCGGAATCATTGGTCACGCAAGCGGCAGATGATGAACAGTCATGGACAAGGACAATATAAGTGATGGCGAAACAGAGTCTATAATGCTTCTATCCAGTAGCCGTCTATGCAACAAAGCCCAGGATGCCATGCAAAAAGAAGAAAGTCCAGTCCAAATGCTTGAAAGGATCCCAACCCGAACGAAAAGAAACCAAATCTTGACCAGACACCCGCAATCCCAATGCAAGCGGTTGAGTATCCATCATCATCCAATGCGCCTCCGTGAGGGTTCTGTTCTTTCCAGAAATCGCCTCATCTTTTTTTCCGTATAACTTCTAATACCCCGGATCGCCATCGAGTCATGATGGTTGAATAAAAGGAAGAAAAAAGTCGTAAGTGAGGGCGGTCCAGCCTTGCCGCTCTCGGTATTAGGTTATTATGTAGGTTGTATGCGTCTTTCATGCGTCTAGATGTATCCGCCCTCTATTTCGCAGGTACCGCCACTGCTCTCCAGAGCCTCGATGCCGGGAACATCGGCGCCAAAGTCCATGATGAGAATCTTGGGATCTTGTCCTGTGCTGACGATTCGTCGGTAGTCGCTCTTCGCGCTCAACACCCAGCTAGCGTGCCATCTTGGGAAGTCGAGCAACTGGCGACCGGTCTCCATGTCAAAGACCTTGATATCAGTGTCGTAGCTGCCGCTGATGAGACGTCCGCTGACCGAGTCGATGTGCAGGCTGCGCACGAGGTTATCGTGGGCCTTCATCTCGCGAAGACACTCGCCCGTGTTGGCGTCCCAGATGCGGATGACCTTGTCATTGCCAGCCGAGGCGACATATCGACCGTCTTCAGAAAACTGAGAGCATGCCAGGCCCTTGGTGTGACCCTGGAATTCCCGAATGTTTTTGCCAGTATCAATGTTCCAAAGCTTGACGCGGAAGTCGCCAGAGCAGGACACAATGGTGTTGCCGCGCATCTGGACCGCATTGACTGGGCCAGAATGTCCGCGAAGCTGGCGAAGAAGAGTGCCGGTCGCGCGATCCCACACGCAGATGCTGATGTCCTTGCTGCAAGTGATGATGTGCTTGTCATCGAACGCAAGATCCAGCACCGCCGCAGTGTGATGCTGAAGACGACGTACGGGTCTGTAGCCGGAGCGAACGTTGTACACAATGCAGCTCGAGTCGGATGATCCCGTGACAAGCATTCGGTCGTCGTATTGTAAACACAGAATCGATGCCTTGTGATGGGTGGGGAAAGAGACCATGGCAGGCATCGAGGGATTGGCGCGCTGGTTATCGGGGAGAGTTGCGTAGTGGACCGGCTGTCCATCCTCGTCAAGAAGCAGAGAAACGTCGTTTACGACTTCTGGCGGGCCAATGACCAAACGACACTCGAATGTCCGCATATCCCAGACTCGGATCGTCTTGTCGCGAGAACCGGTGATGATCTTCGTTCTGTGCAATCGTTAGTTGAACACGTTCGCCTAAAAGAAGCCTTGATACTCACTCATCAAACTGAAGGCAATAGATACTGTCCAGGTGCCCGTTCAGATAGACGGGCTTAGCCTTGCCCTCCTTCCATCGCTGGTCGAGCTCTTCCTTGGCCTTGTATATCTGTTTCCAGTTAACGTCCGGGTTGATGGGCGGGACGCCCTGTCCGGTTCCAGGTTGGACAGGTAGACTGGTAGCGTAGGTTCCAGTCTTCTCGCGCAAGAATGACTCTCTCCAGACGTGTTGGTTCTTGACCATCTGCTGCCATTCCCGCGAAACTCTACTTGCAGCGCCGAGAGCCGTTGCATCCAAATGGGCGAGAACCTGGATCGCTAGCTCGACGGGGAGCTGCGAGATGAAGTTGATTCGGCTGATGTTCGCGTCTTCCACCTCCGCGTCTACATCTGACTCGGCGCCAGTGACAGTGATGCCGATGCCGCTCTCGCGATCAGTGAAGTCATCAGAGGAAGCGCGAAGCCATTTGTTCTGGAAGGCCTGGTTCGAGGCCGCGGCAGAAGCCTTGGCTGCAGCGCCTGTGTGGAAAGGGATAACAGGCGGCGCGATTCCATTCCCGGGGAGTGGCAGGCAGGGGAAGCAGTGGTCAGACGTGGAGGCGTCGCTTTGTGTGTCGGGGCCGTGGGATGTCTTGGAGTGACGGAAGCTGGTGGCCTGGCGAAGGCGGTGCCAGTGTGAGTTGGCATGAGCAGTGCCGGGACGCTGGTGATGTTGAGGCTCCTCCAGGCCGTGGGCACCTCCGATCGAATGTCTTTTGTGGTGGTGGACAATGCCCTTCAACGAGATGGACGCCCTACGGAACATGCCCTTGATGCTGCCATTGCCGTTACCACCCGCATGTGTTCCGTGACCGTGCTTCAGAGCGTTCTCGTCGCTAGGGCCGGCGTGGCTTCGAGATCGCTCGAGGGAGAGTTCTTCGAGATGGCTTGACAGTTCTGGTTCGATGTGGAAGATGGAGGACTTGCGGCGCCATGGGAGAGAAAGACTCATGCTACGAAGGCGATGCTGCTGGAAAGAAGGTCTGGCGTTGGCGTGCCCGTCAAAAGCATCTTCCTGAACGGCGGAAGTGGATGAGGGCTCGTCGTAAATGGCCTCCTGGGTCGGAGCCCAATCGGAGAGGTTGTGGATGCGTGCAGACATGGTGTAGATGCGTACGTCGACGTCGGCGGCAGTCGCCCAAGGACTGGAACTAGAAATCGAGATTGATCTTCTCTAGCTGGCCTTCTAGACGAGACGACAAGGAGGTATCCGGGGACGTTGAAGAGAAAGGGGAGGTCGAAACGGATTCGTGGGGCAGCGAAGCGAACACAGCACGAACACCTGGGGATCATCACATGGTCAGTGGGAGGCTTGAAGGGTTTAAAGGGAATAGGCAAGAGAGGGAGATTGTTCGAGGAGGGTCTTGTCTCGGTCCCATACCTTCAGTCCTAGCTTCTTCTCCCTTTTTTGCTTCTTTTCCCCCTTCCTAAACCTGACTCTGTCTGGCGCGGCCGAAAGTTGCACACTTGCAGGACGGGAATGTCTCGGACTTCCCAGCAGAAGGCTTGGGGCCACTGCAGGGTGGACAATGGGTGGATAACGAGGTGGCGGCCAGTAAGGAGACGGTTGGGCGGAAGTTTTTGGAGATTTTCGGGTGTGGTTCAAAAGATATTGAGACAAAGAGCGAGATGGGCTGCAGCAGCCGTCGACGGGGTTGAGTTGCAGTGCAGGCGGAGGCGGCAGTGGAAAGCTGAACCACGGAAGTCGGCCGCTGGCTCCTGGGGAGTCAAAGGCAGGGCGAGCGAACCGCGACAGGAAGAGTTGATGAGGGTCCCGGGGACGGTTTGTTTGGGGGGTTGCTGGAGACGACCTATTCAGGCCTAGGGGCGTCGAAATGTCAGGGTCGAAGGGTGTTCGTCTCCCCCGGCTGGCCCTTTTTCTCTATGGATTTTCAAGGGTCCGTCCTCCTTGAGTGCTGGGAAGAGGGATCGGCTTCCTGGGGTTACCGGATCGGGGCTGGATTCGGCTGCGGGAAATAGGGTGGTGGACACACTACCGGGCAGAACGCGCAGCCACCCAGCGAGTATTCAGTGCCAGGTCTCTTTTCGAAGTAGAGGTGGAAGATGAGGACGAGGATGGTGACGGTGACACGAAGCCAGAGACTGATGTGGGAGGTCCAAGTTGGCAGACAGGTCCGATGACCTTGGAACAGTTGGGCAGAGGTGTAGGTATTCGTGCAATGCCTAAGCAACTGAGCATCTGCCCGTTGTGTTTGTGCTGTGGGTGTCTTGCCGTGTCGTGTTGTGAGCCCTGGAGTAGGGACGAGAAGGGAAGGGAAAAAAAGGGCGCCAATGCAGATCCCCAGCCAAGTGCGAGCCTCGGGTTGTGTGGTGACTGGCGGCTGGTTTTGTTGTTGTTGGGCGACGGTTTCGAGTAATGTTGATGTCAATCCCGTCTCCCAGGCTGGCGATGGAAAAGGGCAAAGAAAGTCCCGGTCCTTCCTCTCCGGTATCGTACGTGGTACGTACTTGTTTCCGGGTGATTTCTGGTAAATTCGCCAGGAGATACGTACTTACACACATACACCACTTGAATGGTTCTCAGGGCTTTGTTCTCAAGGAAGAAGCAGCAGTGTGAGAGAAATACAAAACAAGTCGACGGGTCGTTGAGAAGAACAACAATGGAAGCCAGATCGTCAGGTTGGCGCTGACAGGTGGAAGGCCGGTGAAAAGAAGAGATGGAAACCAAGAGCCGACGAGGTAGACACACCCAGGAACAAGAAAGGATGAAAGATGGCCTGACCGACCGGCTTTCCACCATCAGACTTCAGTAGGTATACTGTGAAGGTACTAGTGCTGGCGACAAGCAGTTGGACGTGCGCCACGCTTGTTGCAGATTGCACGGGGTAGCCGGGGGAACCGAGTCGTCTTTGTGTGATCAAGATGGGTATTGTAAATGTACGGGCAGGTATCCGTAGGTGTCCAAAGGATCAAACGGTGGGATTGATGACCTATATCTGCAACTTGTATGGGCTTCACAGCAGAAGAGTGCATCCCGTGACAGCTCAGTATCATGTGGGAGGTGGATGGGGAATGACCGCGATGAGCCAGTTTTGCAGTTGACCATATTACCCGACTCTTGATCATCAACATGCACAATTGTTGCTGTTGACATTCATCACACAGCGTCGCAATGTTTACATTCCGGTGGAAAGCCAGTACCAGAAACCCCGAACCGCCGCCTCAACTCGTAAGGTTGGTTGCAACCACAATGAAATTGCAGTGTGGCAGATGTCGCGGGGGGCGCCGTGGTGGGTGTCAGGGCTGTCAAACAATGGAAGGGGGGCAGATGTATCGGTACTTGGTGTTTCGGATATCTGAGTCGCGGAGCACAGAAACTTGCCTTTGTTCCGGCCTCTAGAGATGTGTGTGATACTTCCCGTAAGAGAAGATATAGGCCTCGACGTCAATTTTCGCTGCCCTCCATCACCATTCTCCCATCGCAAAATCCCATTTCCACTTGTAAAACTTAGCACTGTTGGCAGCCAACTGGCAACATTGATTTTCTACTCGCAGGCGGCATGTCTCTCGATTATGTGCAACTTCCCAGGGTCTCGGTCCCTGAATGCAGACACCCTGGAAATCCCACCCTTCCCGCAGCGCATCCTTCAAGCTAGGCCGACTGCAACCCTGTAAGCGGAGATCCAAAGTCCATTTCCGATGTTTCCTCTGAAGTCTCCGGTCTGCTCAACGGTTCTTTATGGCAAGCCTGGTGTAAGAGATGGGGGCATCGACATGTGCTCGGTTCTTGAATTTCGCAATATGGCGACAATTCAAAGACATATACGGATAGTTGAAGACCAGCTTCAGCAAGTGCCCTTGCTCATTCCAGCCCAGAGACGACTCAGCTATTGATTCATCCTGTGGCGGACGTCGCTGGCAACCAGGCTTTGAGAAATTGAGACCTTTGCAACGGGAAATTGGCTGCAACACTCTCATGCACCCGACAAATGAAGGGCGGCATTCCGGCCATCCACCACAGCATCTCACCAGCGCCTCACCGCCTGCTCCTCTTGTCAGCCTGTAACTGCCCCAGTGCCGTGTACTATGTACTCCGTAGTAGCCGAGTGTTCAGTGCCACTTGGACCAGTCGACCGCCGTGAAAGTCTCACTTCTACCATGGCGGTGGGCTCCCTATCACGAGCACTGCATTGTCATATGCGTTTGAAACAGACCAAAGGCGTCGAGGATAAGCGAGTGCCTGGGACCGCTTCCATGCCAAGCCTGAAGGTTTGCAAATGAGGGTGAATCACATCTATATTTTCCTCGTCAGGGATGGCTTTGAGTGACTTTTCGCTTCCCCAGATTCTCTCGACGTAAGCCTACCTTCTGCGTTAGACTGTGGGCCTTAAATGACAATATGTTAGCGCCTCGATTCGACGGCGTTGTGTGATGGCTGTAGAAGATGATGGTCACGGCGATTGGCGATATGTACGGATACTTTTACTCTAGACCTTGGAGCGGCAATGTTGCATCGTGAAATGGCAAATTCCCATCCCCGAATAGCGTTTGGGGCACGGGCCATTCACCGTTCGGCTCCGGCGCAACGGCGGCCCCCGGTCTTTCCGGAGCTCGAGTTTTTCCTTGCTCCTGCCGATGACGAGAGGCCCAGTCCATCAGGGTGCCCGTCACGCCAGGATCCCCAGCGATGAGACGAAACCGCCTTGACGTTCCCCCTCAATTCCTTCAGCTTCCCTCTCTACAATTTCTAACGAGAAGTCAATCTTCTTACCTTCTTGCCGACGACAAATCGTGCCGCAAAAACTGCCAAAATGCCTCCCAAACCCGCCCAGTTCGGTAGAATCGGCCTAGTCATTCCGCTCTTCTACCGCGTATTCTTCCTGGGCATCGAGCCCATCTCTGCTCTTGTCGGCGCCTATTTCGCCCATGTTCGACCCGACGAATACCTTCAACTCACTCACGCCGTCTCGAAACCCGAAATCATCCCTCAGGGAACCTCGATCGTCCTCTCCCAACTTGCAAACCTATACCTGCTATTTGCTCTCAATGAAGCTCTCGTTCTTCGCGCAACTTCGGACCTGCGCGTCTGGAAGACAGTTCTGTTCGTGCTCCTTGTAGCCGACTTTGGACACTTGTACACAGTTCGAAGCTTGGGGCCGGAAGTGTACTACAACGTTGCCAAGTGGAATGCTATCGACTGGGGGAACGTCCCGTTCGTCTACTTTGGTGCCTCGATGAGGATTGCGTTTTTGGCCGGCGTCGGATTAAGCGGTCCACCGGCGCCTGCGAGAAAGCATCAATAGAGCATGGGAGAGTTCGCCAAGCTCAAATAGCCTACCCGGCTGGGATGTTGCTTCAGCGCCGGAGGACCGTCCGATCATTGCACCGAGCCCGAGTCGCCGATGTTCGGTCTACCCGGAACCGCTACCGAATGTACAAGTTAGCGGGGAGAACTAAAGAAAAGGCGTCCCTGGCAAGAAAGGAAAAAAGGAAATGCTAGCTGCCGGAGGAGAAAATCAAAATGAAGGCTGGGACAACCCCGAGCCAGTACCGACATGTTGGCCTGGTCACCCGCTCGAGCGGCGTCACGCATACCTCGATGGGGTGCAGCGCAGTTAAAGGATCGACCCAGCACACACGACGGGATTAGATGGTTGGCTAGGGACATTTGCACGGCACACATGCACTCGGAGACATTTGCCGAGATACAGCGAAGAAGGGAGTCCAGACGTCCAATGCAGCGAGGTTGGCCCCTTGACGAAGATTTTTGGTCCAGGCCAAGCCCGGCGTTATCTGTGATCGTGGGTTTCCCATCCGGTGTTCAACGTTCAAGAGGGGAATCCTACAACTGTGAATGGTGGGAATTTCGGCAGCCGGTCTCGGAAAATCTTCCGGACAATTTCCCTCCCCCAACCCCCGGAGGAGCCACCTCGAATCGGGTGGATTACGGGGTGCAATTGGCGGGCAATGGTGGGGTATCATCGCGGGGCAGCGCGACAAGATGGATGAAGGGCGGGTGAATGTAAGAAAGTGACGGAGAAGGATGCGAGCTCAACAGGTCTTACAGCAGAGGCATTGAACGGCCAAGACGACAAGAACCGATTCGATTTCGGGAAACATACTCTATCTCATGCAGTGCCGTTACCAACACATCGATCTGCGACGGGCGGACAGATGAAGGAAGCCAATGGCGCAAACTCACGGGAGAATCGAATGAGAGAGCCATGGTTTCCTTCCAACAGGCGCCTAGCCTTGAGCAAGGGTCCCGCCCCCATCTAGCTCGCATGGGCAGACATTGCGGCGCGACATAAGCCCCTCCTCGTCCGAGCTGGGAGGTGCCCCTCACTCAAGGATAGATGTCCTACGCTCCACGCGCAGGGCCGCGACAAATGAGATGGTGGGGGGTTCGGGAGCACCTCTGAAATGGTCAGGGTATTTCATCCGGCGCGGTTCCCTCTGCCCGTCGTGAGCAGCTCCCGAATCCTTCGTTCTTCCTCCTTCTCTCCCTCTTCTTTCGTGCCATTCTACTGCTCCTGGTGTAAGACCAAAGCTGTATCTCGAAAATAGCCAGACGAATCTACAAGACCACTCCTCACTCGAACACATTCACCCATCATGTCGATTCCCGAGAAGTTCACCGGCTTCCAGGTCAACAGTGCCGAGGCCTGGCAAGACTTTAAGAAGCAGGAGTTTGACCCCAAGCCGTTTGGCGACTACGACGTCGATATCAAGATTGAGTGCTGCGGTGTCTGCGCCAGTGATGTTCACACGATCAAGGGTGACTGGGGTGCCCAGCCCTACCCTCTGGCCGTCGGTCACGGTGAGTTCATGATGGTTACTGTATATGCCTGACATGTAGACTAATACTCACCTGCTTAGAAATCGTCGGAAAGGCCCTGAGAGTCGGCTCCAAGGTCACCAAGATCAAGGAGGGCTCGCGTGTCGGTGTTGGAGCCCAGTCCTACGCTTGCCTCGAGTGCCGTCAGTGCAAGAATGACAACGAGACATACTGCAAGCACCAGCTTGACACCTACGGATCAACGTTCCCCGACTCCGGCGCCATCTCCCAGGGTGGCTACTCCTCCCACGTTCGCACACACGAGCACTGGTACGTGTATCGATACCTTTTAAGTGAGATGCATGCTAATAAAGCAACAGGGTCTTCCCCATTCCCGAGGCCCTTCCCAGCACTATGGCTGCTCCCATGCTTTGCGCTGGCCTGACAGCTTACAGCCCTCTGATCAGAAACGGCTGCGGCCCTGGCAAGAAGGTCGGCATTGTTGGTATTGGTGGCATCGGTCACTTTGGTGTCATGTTTGCCAAGGCTCTGGGCGCTGAGGTCTGGGCCATTTCCCGTTCGCGATCCAAGGAGGCGGACTCTCTGAAGATGGGCGCCGATGGCTACCTGGCGAGCGGCGAGAAGGGCTGGAACGAGCCCCACAAGATGACCTTTGACCTCATCCTCAACACGGCCAACTCATTCGAGGGCTTCGACCTGTCTGCCTACCTCAGCCTTCTTGATGTCCACGGCAAGTGGGTGTCTGTTGGTCTCCCTGGCGGCGGTGGTATCACCGTTCGCAACCAGGACTTCCTCCCCAACGGCTGCTTCATTGGCAGCTCCCACTTGGGCAGCAGACGCGAGACCTTGGAGATGTTGCAGCTCGCTGCCGATAAGGGCATCAAGACGTGGGTGCAGGAGGTTCCCATCAGCGCTGATGGTTTGAGGTCGGCGATGAACGGCATTGAGGATTCTAGCGTCCGCTACAGATACTGCCTGACCAACTACGAGGAGGCATTTGGCCAGTAGGCATGAGATGGACTGTGTGGGTGTGAGGTGAATAGCGAAGCAAAAGAATACCATTTAATGACCATTTGCAAATGCATATAATCTGGATCCTCATCTCAGCAGACGCACTGATCAAAGCTGTGAGATATCAAGTAACTCAACTCCAACGGCGGAATGCGACCGAATGGAGGAGCTCCGCCATTCCGGGCAGTCATTTTCCGGGCGCATTTGTAGGTAAAATCCCTTCCATCTTCTAAAGCTGGGGCCCGGTGCGCCCGGTGCGCCGGTCATCGGCGACGCAAACAATGTTCCGCGGAGAGACAAGCAGCGACAGGGGTCTGAGAAGCTCAACCATTGCGGCTGTGTGCGGTGACATCCCAAGCCGCCCGAAGAGACCGGGGTCTCGGCAAGGTGACATGACTGATCTGATCGGTTGATCTGGGGAAAACGTCTAGCGTCTTTCAATCCGACCTTAGCCATCTTCCACATTGTTTCTTGTTCACAAAAACTTCTCATTCGTTACACTGGGGAATTCCGCCGGACGGCAGAGGATGTTGAGTTTGGGTTGAACGGAACAGAGAGACACATTGACATGATGAGCGCTTTCCTGGATGCCAGTAATGGCCCGCCGGCGGATGATTCGATGCCCAGCTATGAGGAAGCGGTCGCAGGAGGGTGAGTTTCTTTGCGTGACATTTACGCACACGACACGCGACAATTTTCAAAATCACTCAAGATAAAATATTCAATAACTGACCATACTTACAGCGCGCAACGGGTTGCAGTAAGGACACAATCCGTCTCGGGATCAATACAGTCCCTCAACCTGCACGACGGCACCCTCCCACCATCAATCCTGCGCCTCAAGCACCTCGGCCGCACCATCCCCCACAACGGACCAGTCACCTCCATCGCCGTCAGTCCCAAAGGCTACGTCGCATCCTCCCAGGACAACACGGGCACCGCCTTACCCTCCAGCACCAAGATCTGGGACTTTTCCCAGAAACCCGGCGCCGTGGGCGCGCGGCTCGTGGCATCAGACATCAACAACGATGCGCCCGTGGTAGTCTTTAGCCCGGACGGGAAACTGACGGCCGTGGTGGAGAAGGATGCGGGATGGAAGCGGGAGTGGCGGGTGAAGCTTCGTGCCGGGGAGGAAGGGCGACATGTGCGGTGCGCATTGAATGGTGTCGGGCCGCCGGCGGCGTTTAGTCCCGACGGGAAGAAGCTTGCGGCGGCGGATCCGTCGGGGGTTGTGGTTGTGTTTGAGGCGGCGACGAGTCCGCCTGGGATGCCGCCTACGAAGAAGGTGGCGGGTGTGATGAACCATGCTGCGCCGACGCATCTTCTCTTCATGCCTAATGGCGCGGACCTCGTGACGCTGTCGAGAGATGGTACGGTGAGGATATCGGAGGCCAAGACGGCGAGGACGTTACGGCGGATGGAGGTGGATGGGGTTGTGACGGGGACGGGGACGGGTGCGCGGGCGTTGGGGGTGTCGCCGGATGGGAGGGTGGTTGTGTCGGTGTGGGCGAGGGCTGTGTATGTGTGGGAGCACGAGGCTGGGCGGGTGTCGAGCTGGGAGATGAATAAGGTGAGGAACAACGAGGGGTGGCCGCTGGCGGTGTCGCCTGATTGTCGGTTCCTGGCGTGTCGGACGGAGGAGGGCATGGATATCTCGGATGTGTACTCTGGGCAGGTCCTGGCTGAGGTGACGACGGCGGAGGGGATCGATGGGCTGGTTACGGCGGCGGCTTTCTCGATGGATGGGAAGATGATGGCTGTTGGGAGGCATAGTGGTGTTGTTGATGTGTGGAATCTGGCGCCCTATGAACGTTGATGGTGATGGTGTTTTTGTTTCCATCTGCTCATGAACATGAAGGGGCAAGTGTGGCTCAGTTGGATCAACCTGGGAAAACGGCGATGAACGAGGAGGGTCACATTTATGGACAAAAGTTACGGCAAATCAAGGCAAAAGCATGTTACCTAGTACTTATACCGGTTTTCACTTTGAATTGATAAGTAGCTTCATTATATCTTGTCTAAGGGGGCAGCATAATTCGAAGCTTCAACACAAGGGTATTGTGAGATGTAACTACTAGATGTGATATGCAAGAGAATTGGCCATAAGATTGAACTCTAGGGTCTAGTTTGAATTATGTCGTCCCTTGTTGCAGAAGTCTATTGTATCGGGATCAGCTTGTGCGGATGAAAATAGCGATCCTCCCCATCAATATCACTGCAGGATGGATACTATAGACCATTTAACTACATATGATACTAGCGAATACGTCAATTCTCTTGTTAAAGAGACGGTGAATTGATGTAAACAGTTAGGACTGCAAGTCGAGGGTGAGGTGAGTGGTGTGAGAGAGAGAACAGGAGAGTAAACATACTTCCCGCTTTCGACTAGACTGTGTCCTGTCGGCTCGTGTAACCAGCAACAAATACGTCCATTGCTGTCTGAGCGAACAAAGGTTGTGGAGGTGACACAGCTTGGCTGACTGAGTCAACTCTTGTCAAGACTAAGGTGAGGGCAAGACAACAAGGTACATCGATCGAAGGGAGTCATAAATTGAGGTCATAACTGGCCAACGGTAGGATATTTATGCGCTGGCCAGAAAGTCTGTTCAATGCGCCCAACGCTCCCTATTGTCATCACATCTTTGGAGGTATGATGACATTTGCCGGTTGTGAGATCTGAGGGAGACTAGTTGATGAGACATGGAAATTGAAGTCAATGGCAATTCACAGTGAGCACATGATAGATGTAGGCGCCTGGATAGGACAACGTGTTTCTTCTCAACATCGCTAGCTCATCACATAATTCATCTCATAACCATTGATGATCAAATTATCGAATGAGTGAGTGAGTACTGAGTGAGGAGTGAGAAGACTCGGCGATTGCGATTGAGAAATGGCCCAAGCTTTTCCACGGTGCCCCTCATCCCAAAAGGGGATAGTGCGGGGTCCAAGGCTCGCGCAACAATTCTGGGCAGAGTCAGTCACAGTTGGCAGTTGCCCTGGGCAGTGGGGGACGTACCTGACCGTGGGCGCAATTGTACCTTACGCTGTGCTGTGTGTGGCCGCCTCTGACTCCTTTCCCCGAGAAAGTCGGCATCTCCAGTTTCCATTCTTTCTTTTCCTTCCTCTCCTCTTCACACACAGCAAACACACACATCATGGCGCCGAATCCCATTCTGCCCGTCAAGGGCAAGAACAACGTTCTCATCACCTCCGCCCTTCCCTACGTCAACAACGTTCCTCATCTCGGCAACATCATTGGCAGTGTGCTGTCTGCCGATGTCTTTGCGCGGTACTCCCGTGCTCGCGGAAACCCCACCATCTACAGTATGTTGCGACTACACCTCTCTCTTGAGTCTTATCCAATACCGGCTGACTCCGTCTGTTACAGTCTGCGGTTCCGACGAGTATGGCACTGCCACCGAGACCAAGGCCCTTGAGGAGGGCGTAACCCCGTCCGAGCTGTGCGCAAAGTACCACGCCCTACACAAGGGCATCTACGACTACTTTGATATCTCTTTCGACATCTTCGGCCGAACCCCGACCGCCCAACAGACCGAGATTGTCCAGGATATCTTCTCCAAGCTGTGGAAGAACGGATACATTGAGGAGCGCGAGACCGTCCAGCCTTTCTGCCCCGTCGAGGCCCACCAGTCTTTCCTCGCTGACCGATTCGTCGAGGGTGTCTGCTCTATCTGTGCCTACGATGGCGCAAGAGGCGACCAGTGTGACAAGTGCGGCAACCTTCTCGACCCCCTCGAGCCCGAACCCGAAGCCAACGCTTCTGCCGACGATGACGTTGCCGCGAAACCCACCGGCTTCTTGATCAAGCCCCGCTGCAAGCTCGACGGAGCTACCCCGGAGAAGCGCAAGACAAAGCACTTGTTCCTCAAACTTGACGCACTCAAGGACGACCTGGTCAAGTGGTTCAAGGAGTCTAGCAAGAAGGGCTCATGGAGCAACAATGCCGAGCAGATTACCCAGGCCTGGATCGACAAGGGCCTCAAGCCCCGTGGTATCACCAGAGATCTCAAGTGGGGTGTCCCGATCCCGACTCACGAGGTCGGAGAGGAGTACGCCAGAAAGGTGTTTTACGTCTGGTTCGATGCCTGCATCGGATACGTCTCCATCACCAAGAACTACACCGACGGCGACAACCTCGAGGGCAAGAACTGGGAGCAGTGGTGGAAGAACCCCGATGACGTGAAGCTGTACCAATTCATGGGCAAGGACAACGTTCAGTTCCACACCATCATCTTCCCCGGATCTCAGCTCGGCACCGGCGAGAACTGGACCAAGCTGCACAAGATCTCCACCACCGAATACCTCAACTACGAGGGTGGCAAGTTCAGCAAGTCGAGAGGTGTTGGTGTCTTTGGCAACCAGGTCCAGCAGACTGGTGTGCCCGTCGATGTCTGGAGATACTACTTGCTGTCTCGCCGCCCCGAGACTTCCGATTCCGAGTTCATGTGGCAGGAGATGGTTGACGGCAATAACAACGAGCTCCTCAAGAACCTCGGTAACTTTTGCCAGAGAGTCAACAAGTTCTGCCAGGCCAAGACGGAAGGCGCAGTCCCCGACTACACAAAGTACAGCGACGACTACCTGAAGAAGCACGTCGAGGAGGTCAACGCCCTGCTCAAGGAGTACATCAGCAACATGGAGGCCACCAAGATGAGGGCTGGCCTTCAGAGCATCATGTCGATCTCTGCGTAAGTTGATCCATCATCTTTCCCTTCATTTGGTAATGCCAGTTAACAAGACCCATAGCCTCGGCAACAAGCTGCTTCAGGACAACAAGCTCGACAACAGACTTCTCACCGAAGAGCCCGACCGCTGCGCCGCCGTTATCGGTCTCGCGCTCAACCAGATCGACCTCTTGGCCTCTCTCGTTGCCCCGTACCTGCCCAATACCTCTACTGCTATCCTCAAGCAGCTCGGTGTTGAGCCCAAGCCGTTCATCCCCGACACCTGGGTCACTGACGCCATCAAGCCCGGTCACAAGCTTGGAACCCCCGAGCATCTCTTTACCCAGATTGCGGCATCCAGGATTGAGGAGTGGAAGGACGCCTTTGGCGGTGAGGAAGTTAGAAAGCAAAAGGAGGAGGCGGCGGCCAAGGCTGCTGCCAAGAAGGCGGCAAAGGACGCCGAGAAGGCCCGCAAGAAGGCCAAGAAGGAGGCGGAAAAGGCCAAGGCTGCCGGTGGTGAGCAGTCGGTGGAGTCCACCGAGAAGAAGGCGGAGGCTGACCCGGCCATTGAGGCGGTTACAGAGGCCATCTCCAAGACAGATGTCCACACATCATAGAGTAGAGCAAGACGAGTGGGCGTTTTATGATCATTGGCGTTGAAGAGAGGGTATGTTTGCAGCGGATGATTGATTGGTTGATTCCTAGGCATGAGAGATAGATGTCAACCATGGTTTTTGAAATAATCACCAAGTGCTCCCCTACTTTAGTTGACTGTGCGTCCTAATGTTTATTGTGACTTCCTATCTCACCATGGAGGGCCACCTTATAGATCCGATGGCCGCTGCTCGGCTTTTCATACTAACAAGAGTACCTATACCCAGCAGGATGTTCACTGATCTTCAACTTTCCCCCCTGAGCCAGAAAGTTGAAGCTGAAGACAATGTCGATGGCAGTCCTTGAAGTTGAGGGAAGAAGGAATCCTTCCCATGAGGCCTGGTCATGGCGATTACTTCATGGACACGTGATTTTCACCCTGTCATGGGTATAACACAATCACAGGCGAAGAAGGTACGACCCAGACGACTGCCTTCCTCTTCTCTACTGAAAGAGTACGTATCTCGGGTCTACCATCATCTGGCCGGGCAGGCACCTCTGCCTCGCACCTGCCTCAGGTGAGGCTATCTACGTACCTACCTACCTTAGGCACACAAGGGTATATATATCCCCCCAACGTCGATTTCTGTCACCAGCACAGCAGCGTCCGTCTAGGTCGGCGGGTCAGGTCAAGCTGTGTGCGAGGTGGCCGAATGGTTAAATTAAAAACAAATACTCCAATGAAGTCAGAGATTCTGGGTTGACTGAGGGGCGCGCTGTTCGATTCCGGGCAGGGGCGTGAGTTCCAGTTGAGTTATCCCCTCCATCCCTTTCTTCCTTTCTTTTTTGGCATTCAAGGGGCCTCTAATGGATTTGGTCCTTTTCATTAGTGTGGCGGACGGAATATTTGGCCCATCACTTGGCCGTATCCTTTTTATTATTTTCGTTCTATGCGCTTGCCTGCGACCCCTACCTGCGAGAACTATTATGAGAACTTCTCGATCGTTTAGCCGGCCACACTTCGCAGACGAGATTACTTACGCGGCGAGATCCTCGGAGCATAGGCTGATGAAGTACTCTTGATTGCGTACTCACGTTGTTGTAACTTGGTACGGCAGCTAGGCGGAATCGGATTGATTCCCTATCCTGATAATCTTGGAGCTTCTTGCCACTTTCTTCGTCGCAAGGCCGATTTTGAGTCTTCGCATCTGAATTCTAGTAGAGGGGACTCTTGGTCAGATAGTTCTACGTCCTGGTAATCAGGCCAAGATTGATGAGAAATCAGACCGAGGAGCACATGGAGTTGGCTACAGTAGGCATGGAATAGACAACATCGCGAAGAAGATGACGCGCTTACACGAAGTTCTTCGAAAAGAGGTTAAAATTTGATAATTACTCCAAGTTACTCGTTAATCGACATTCTCGATGCCCCTCTTGCACTTGACAGGGCCGCCCTCGGGAGGGTACACGACAATACGGTCGATATCAGCACCCTTAAAGTCAAAGCCGTTCCACAACCCACCAATGGTAATGGTGTTGTTCGCGTGCTTCTCCAGAGTCAACTGCAGAGGCGTCGACAGGATAATTCCCTTGTGGCTGTCACGCTGGAATAGCGTCTCAACCTGCTGCTCGTTGCCGTTCACAACAACCGACGCAACACGACGCAGCTGCCACTTCCCGCCGATGCGGTCGGGTGTGCCGCCGGGCTGGTCGCCGAAACCCATGTCGTCCGTGTTCTGGTAGTAGAACGAGACCCACTGCGGCTCGCCGGCGCCCTGGATGCCCGTGAACGTGACGGTGCTGTCGTTGCCGTAGATGCCCGTCACGATGGAGCCGCCGCTGGCAAAGGTCGCTTCCTGCTTGAAGGCTGCGCCGGCGGTGGTGGCGGAGTCGTGGGCGTAGTAGGGCGTGCCTTCGATCGGGGTGACGACGCCCGTCTTGACGTCGAGGTCGTAGACGTCGTGCCATTCTACGTGGACCGACTTCTTGTCGTCGTCGATGACGAGGGGGAGCCAGATGTAGCGGCTCTCCCAGAGGGAGTTAGAGTCCCACTGGTCGCCGAGGTAGAGGTAGGTAGTGACCTCGGAACCCTCGATCTTGAGGGAGAAGCCGGACTGGGAGTTGTACGTGCGGGTGTAGGCGTCGGAGATGAAGAAGGGCTGGGACCAGGGACCGGCGAGGGAGTCGGCGCGGAAGGCGACGACGTTGTTGGGACGGTAGCCCGTCTTGTGGGACATGAGGGCGTAGTAGCTCTTGTCGGTCTGGATGATGGTCGGGGCTTCGAGATCGTACTTGTCGAAGCGGTGGACGACCTCGGTCACGTTTGTGACGTCTTCGTTGAAGGCCGAGATGTAGACGTCGCGGCCCTCGCGGCGGTCGCCGTTGGAGTAGAGCGAGTAGGAGCGGCCGTCCTTGTAGTCGGTGAAGATGCCAAAGTCCTGGGACCAGTTGCCGAGGGGCGCGGTGGCGTCGACGAAGGTGTAGGGGCCAGAGATGTTGGGGGAGGTGGCCAGTCCTTGGAGGAGAAGGCCGTAGGTTGAGTTGTCGGCGTGCCACCACATCTGAGAAGAGTTAGTCGTGTCTTTCACGAAGATGTGAGTCCAAGGGAACCTACGTGATACTCTTTGGCTGGCTCGCTGTAGACGACCTTGGGACGCTGGATAATCATGTTGGTCGAGATGTACGGGTGGCCCTCGATGGGCTCGAGCGCCTTGCCGTGGAACTCCCACGTCGCGAGGTCATCGGAGCTGTAGACGGAGACGCCGCCGCCTTCCTCCTGGCCCTCGATCTTGTACTCGCCGAACCAGAAGAACTTGTCCGTGTCCTTGTCGAGTGTGACACCGCCGGCGTGGGCGTTGACGAGATTACCCTCGTTGTCACGCCATCTGCCGCCTGGGACGATCCACTTGGAGGCAACGAGGGAGGCGAACAGGAGGCCGGACGAGAAGAGCTTTGTGAGCGCCATGGTTGGAGAGGACTTTTGCTGGGACGAGAACGGTCTCAAGGTCTCGGTCTCTCTGGACTGTTTACACCATGGAGTTACAATGCGACTCAAGGTATTTATACCGTCTTCATGACTTCATGGAGACGCCGGCCGAGATGAGCCGGCTGGCATTGGCCCGAAAGCCGAAGCGTCTAAGCCGGGCCATTGAGAGGCGTTGGAAGTCGCGCAAGGCCAAGACCCTTCCAAGAACCACAAGAAAGACTTTTGGGGAGGAAGCAGATGATTGGCCAAGGCGAGATTCCAATTGGCAATGGCACGAGATGGGTGCGGACTGCAGAGAAGGAAGAAAGGGGTGGCTGGGCTAAGTAGAGTGCCAAGCTACAGGGCCAGGGGACGAGAATGAAAAAAACGTGGAGAAACTTCCGCCGTTGAGAATGAGTGAAAGTTGCGTTGGTGCGGGGGAAGCTCCAGAAAGCTTCACAAGTCTTGGGCAACTTCATATAACAACCCCAGTCCTTCCCACAGTTCAGAACTTCAGGCTAACCAAGATCGATGGGCGTGCGGGGTTTTAGCTCGTGTACCGTCGCATCCTTCTATCCCACCGCCTGGAGATTGCGCCTTTTCGGGGATACTTGTCCGCTGGCCATCGATGTCATTTGAGTGCGGTGAAGGCGAGCTGTTGCTAAAGTCTGAGAGAGAATCTTCCGTTGGACCGTTGACCGTTGGCATCGCTCATCTTGTCCTTGGTCCCAGCAGCTTGGCGAGGGTTGCGTTCGGCTCATCTTGACCGGCCGGGTATGCCATGATACGCGAGGCGGGTTGTGCAGACACGAGATGAACTGTGGGAGCCCAGAGAACATTAGCAAATGACAGATGCGACTTTGGTCCAACCAAGCTCATGACATGAGCATTCTGATGGGTCAATTGGTAGCGAGATCCCGAGAAAGAGACATAGAGAGAAGTTTGTTAATTGGAGTCACTGGCACTGGACTCTAGGGAAACATGGGACGATCCGCGCTCGCTAGAACAGTCAGTGACACTCATAATGCTTTGGAGTTTGGACCCTGGGTCTATTGGAGTCCTGGCCAGGGCGAAATGGCCGGGGGGGTCGGGTTCCCGCAGGCTTCTTCCTCACAAGAACATCCCTCACCGAAGAGCGAGTGCCCGTTGCGGGGATCACGTCTGGTCCACGCCAATATAATGGCTTGATGTCTTCTACTCCTCTGTCAAACATATTGGTTTTGTGAGATTTGAAGTGCTGATTCATCTTTCATCAAGGTTGCAAAAGCACCGCAGTTACTGGGAAGCTGGTCGATTGACAATGATACAATGCATCTCGGTGCTGTATCCAAGTCCCGCAACACCGAGGCGGAAATCTTCTGTCATGAACTACGGCTCCAAACATCTCTGTTCGCAAGCAATTCAAGTATACTTCATCAGTAGCCGCCTTGGAAAGCTCCTTGCGTGGCAGAGTTGATATTTATGAGGACGCGGGAGCAAATTCAAGTTGAGACCTCAAGCCGTTGTTGGATGGTATGGTGGGGCAGGGGACCCCTCGTTGGAATCGATGTCTCTACAGCCGAAGAGATGCGAAGTTGGGGCCGCTCGCGGAACACGCAGCAATCGGAAATACTAGATCGAGATCTTTCATGTTGTTTATGAAGATATATCCATCGGGAGGGGCACCTGTAGTAGCAGGTACTAAGTTTTCGGGATGCTGTAGGTCAGACTGATGATGGGGCGGACTGCGTGTTGGTGTGGTTTGTTTCGTCAAGTTGCTAGACCCAACTCTAGAGACTTGCAGCGTTGAGGCACGTCAAAAATTCTTGGACTGAACCGATTCGAAAGTACGCATAGCTCTTATCTATAAACTTGCCTTGTGCCGCTACATATAGGCCCTAGGTAGACAGACTGGAGATGATCTCTTTTGGGGTGGTGAAAGAGCAAGTCTTGGCTGCCCGACTCGTTGAGCTCAAGCTATGAGCCATAGAACGACTAATAGTACTGTTATGATAAACCACTCTCCAAATGAAGCAGACTGCAACGGCTTTAATAATGTTAATCGAGAGTTCAAGAGCCGGGTCGAGCGGGAGATCACCATTCCTCACCGACGAGGCTTAACATGATTCTCCGTAAAATTCTCCGGAACCTTGCCCTTACTGGCCCATTGCCGATGACGACTGATGGCGCCATTGCATCAACCCCAGATTTCATTCGACAGACTGCCATTGGCCTTGTCGAAAGTATGGGAAGCAATATAATCTTGGACGACACACTTTCCCGACGTGGACTTGCTCCGTTGCCTCGGAGTTGACCGCAATATCAATCGGCGAAATTGAGGCTCTCATCCAAGATGTCCTTTACGCGGACTGAATAGAATTGAGTTGATTATATAGCTTGTAGCGTCTCAATGCCATAATTCTATTGTCGGTTTTGCATTCCCGATTCTCGTCAGGAAGCCTACTCTCTACTAGCTCACCATCATGTTGCCTCACTTCACATTTCTCATGGCCTTGTGCCCCCTTATGGCACTGGCAGCCCCCTCAACTCCTGAACTTGATAAGAGAGCAATCACATGTTTGAAGGTCGGCGCAACGGCAACGGCAAAATGGACCAACAGTGCTGGTAAATCATGCACGTTCACCGGTGTAGTCGGAAGCAACTATGGCACCAACCTCGCAGGGTCTGGAGAGTCAGTCTTTTCTGCAATTCCATGCATCTCAACTCCTGCTAATGTAAACACCAGTTACTCCTGCAATGGCCGCTGCGGTGCGGGATGTACTGGAACTGCCGTTGGCAACGTCTACACACAAGATTGCTTCTCTCACGATATTTGCTCATACTTCAACAGCGCCAGTGGCGGTGCTAGGTAAGCAACATGAAATCTCCAAGCGTTATTCACTGGAATGATTGGAGTGGTTCTGACATCATGCTAACTTCATTGAAGTGACCCCAATTGTGGCGCCGCGTACAACGCTGCTGTCGACGATACTGCGTTGGGTGCCCTTAATGGCTGTGGACAAACAAACCCTTCAAATGCGGTATCGAAGCCTTCGACGCAACCAGTCTGCAGTTGAAACTTCAAATGAGAGAAGCGGGTAAAGCTAAGGGGTGTAGCTTACAACCAAGTTTTACACTTGATGACATTGGTGTACAAGTGTTGTAGTACATGTTCACAAATACTCTCTCAGTATTAAGCCATTAGAGTAACACCAATTGATTGAGATCTCAAATTTGAAGTTGATTTGTGGAAATATACAAGTCTGTAAAAGTCTGCGAAAGAGAGTATGGAAGAAGATCATGCCAAAACCAAGAAAAAAAAAAACAAGAAGCATACATGAAACCTTTTGTTTACGCCTTTTCCCCAAACCCCGTTGTAATCCAAGTCTAAGTCTCGCTAAATCAGAAAGAATGTCTATCAAGTCAAATCCATAACTCCACAAACACCAGCCCGCGCATCAAATCGACTTTGCTTAGTTGATGTAGATCGCGCGGAACTGAGTGTTGACGTGCCATCCGGTGCTGGCCAGGGACGGGTTGCCCTTGTTGTAGCAGGTCTTGGTGACAAAGTTGTACACAACCTTGGTGCATCCCGACCTCAAGCGGCACAGAGCGATGCAGGCAAGGTCGCTAGGGATGAAGTACCAGATATCCGTGGCAGGGTTGTTGGTGAAGTCACTGCTGGGGCAGACTTGATAAGTGGTGCCGAAGTAGTTGATGGTGTAAGTGGGAGCCAGACACTTGGTGAGAGCAGTGCCGTCAGCGACCTTGACTAGGGTCTGGAAGGGCGCGTTGACGTTCCAGTTGGAGGCGGCGACGCTGGGGCTGCCCTTCAGGTAGCAGATCTGAGTGGTGGGGTTGTAGACCGCCTTGGTGCAGTCAGACTGTGCCTCACAAGCAGTTGCACAATCAACGTTGGACTTGTAGCCGTAGTAGATCTGAGGGCTGGGGATCATGAAGTCGGTGTTGGCGCAGACAGCGTACAGGCCACCAGCAGAGCCAACGACATAGCTCAATGGGCTGGGGCAGGCGGTGATGGGCCCGCTAGAGACCGCTGTGCTGCTGGTTGTTGCGGCGGCGACGGAGAAAGAGGTGGAAGTCTTGATCGTGGAGGCAGATGAGCTGCTGGAGGTAGTCAGGGTTGAAGAGGTGGCAGCGCGCGAGGTGGTAGATGTGGAAAGAGTGGAAGGAGTGGCGATCTGCGACGTGGATGAAGTTGCGGATGTCGTAGAGGCGACGGCGGCGTTGCCTTGAGGGCAGGTCCATGTGCCCATATCAGCGGTGTAAGAGTACGAGTATGCGTATTGGATCGTGTAAACATCAGAGCCGGAGGTGTATCCCGTGTTGACGGCGTAGCTCTTGTCCCAAGTGCGCGAGTAAAGAGCACAAATCTGAGCCTGGACGACACCGTTCTTGACAAGCGAGTAGCTGGTGAAGAAGTGGCAGTACAGGCCGTTAAAGGGGTTTGTCTCCTGCCTCTGAGAGGCGCAGTCGGCAGCGCAGAGAGAAGGGTCGTACGCTCCGTCGGTGTGAGCCCTGTAAGTGATGTAGCTGTTGCAGTCGTTGGGAGCGTTGATGGTAGCCGTATCAGTGAAAGTCGAGTTGTAGCCAGTGACGGGGTAGTCAGGTGCTGCAAGCTGGTATCCGTTCGAGCCAGCAATGACAACGTGGAAGCTGTTTCTGTATTCACCGCTGTTGGTAGCAGTGGACGGGCCGATGCCAACACCCCAGAAGCTACATTTGATGACAGTGGTGCTTGAGGGGTTGGGGCAAGCCGTGCCGGGATCTTGGCTGGGATCTCTCTCGAAGAAAACGTTGAAAGCCGCGCATCCGGTCATTTGTTTGCAATCAGCTGCGCACAGCGCAGGACTGTAAGTGGCATAGGTCTTGTATCCCATGTAAGCTGAGGCGGAGGTCGCAGACTGGAGGTTCTGGAAGGTCTGGTACCATCCGGCCGGGGTGACGGCGGCCAAAGCTGCGTTGGACAGATCCGTGTCGGCGAGGAAAGCCGAGTCCGTGTCGTTGGTCGGAACCGGACCACTGCCAGCGGGGAGGGCACTGCAGTCGCCGCGAACAGCCAATTTGTTGACGTCCCTCTTTGTGGCTGCAACAGTCTGGTTGCCAACACCGATGGGAACAGCCTGCACAGCCGAGACTGGGATGCTGGCTAGCTCAGAAAGAGACAACAGCTGAGCTGAGGTGGTTGCCGTCAGGGCGGCGAGAACGGTGAATGAGCGCATCTTGAAAGTGGGAAAGATGAAGCTGTCGTTAGTATGCAACGTCAATGATTGTAAAGAAAGAAGAAGGAATGATTGTGAGGAAGGACTGTGATGCTGAGTGTGGAGGAATGAGTTGAATCGGTCGAATCTCTTCAGGGGTTATATACATCTTTCCGCCACGATCACCTCGCGCCAGAGAACCTTGGACTTCGGTTGTCCAACATCCATTTCTTTGAGCCACTGAGAAGCCTCATTCATCGTCTGATTCTCACTCTAGCGACCAGAGGCTAACGGCGTCGTTGCAGAATTAGGCGCACCTCGCTCTCGGTACTCGGGAAGAAATCTTTGACATTCGACCACCGACGCTGCGAACCTGGCTCTTGGGACTCTGGGCATCATACCAGAGCAAAAATAGCAACCATGCGTCAAACTGTAGCGCGGGTGTTTCCTCAAAGACTCCTTGTTTGTCCCGAAAAACGGGTGCTGTCTGAGGATTGTCTTTGACAAAGAAGTGGTCTGGTGTGGCTTGAACGTTCGCCTGTCGGGTATCGTTGATGCTAAGAAGCCTCTAATCCCTATCCCGCTAGCTCGCCGAGGCCCTGCTCGTATTTCACTCTCCGTTGACCTCCACCGAACTAGTAGTGTCATTGGCACAAAGTCTGCGATCCGAAGGCCGGAAGGCTTGCCTTTTTTGTCATGGAAGTCATAAAGTGATATTGACCACGACTATCAGGTAGATTGATCAAGACTAAGAGCGTGAGGTAGATATTGTGATCGATCGTCCAAGGGGAAGGTGGTTGCACGATAATCCTCAAAAACTATGGCATCCAAATTAGACTAAAGAGAGCGTATCCGGCTTGACATCGCGTCACGGGCATCAATGTATCGCTTGGGATCCAACGAGATCGAGGCCCGTCGATCTGGCGTGGCACTGACAGCACAGTATCCGAGTGCCTGGATTCCCGTCCGGCCCCGTCCGGCCTAGTGAACTCGGGCTCTGCTGCCGTATAGTCAACTCATGACAGGTGGGGCTTCCTTAGACTTTGACGGGAACGCCGCTGCACTGGGACATCAAGCTCCTTTCACGCTATTACAAGCGACTTAGTTGACTAACGATCAGCGATCTGCGCTACTGCAGGAGGGTCTTTGAAGAATCTGGATCTCAGCTGTGACTGCAAAGTCAAAATCTTCCGCCTGTTCTGATCATACCACTTTTGGAGAATTCAATAGATCGGTCGAATGATTTGTCTAAGTACTGCTCTTTTTCCCACGTGGTTTATAAATGCCAGATAGCTAGCAATGGCGGGTATAGCCTAGCAGTGCGAGGGGAAACAGACTTGTTGTTTATTCAGCTCAGGGCTGGACTTCCCGATCAATGAACATGATCTACAGACCTCATATAGAAGATTAAGCCTCCAGTCTCATGAATTTTGGCAGAATTCGGAATGGTCTAGCATCACCTCGATCACATCATGTAAGCCACTGATACCCTTCGTGGCAGGCACAGAAGGTTTGAGGGATTCAAGCTACATTCCCGGCCTCCAAGCACGCTTGGAAAATAGGTTGGAGCCATGAAGCTTGTGAGACTTGAAACTGCTCGTACTCCAGTCTTCCCATCTGGCCTGGTCATTCGCGTTTCGGGGCCTGACGTAAAGGAAGGTGAACGGTAAAATGTCAATCCCACGGCTCTTGAGCATATGTGCGAAATATTATTGTGCATGGAAAATGTTTTATTTATTATGATTCTAACAGATGTTCTTTCCAGTGCGGAAACAGAACATATTGATGGTCCGTCTGACTGCTCGCAACAAGTTGCGCCCAAGTCTTGCGCTGATCCTCCAAAGCAGTTGGGCTTGCAGTGGGCGCAAATGTTTTGACACTACAAAGAACACCCAAAGTCAGCATACATCCAACAGGGAAAGAACTTAGAAACATACGCTTTTCTTGGTTCCCTTATCAGCGGGACAGCTGCCATCGGCAGGAGCGCCAGCGCAGAAGATGAATGCGGCGGAAGCGGGAAGGGCAAATTGAAGCAGTGCTGCGATAGCGAGGGTAGGATGGAACAACATGGTGGCTAAAGTAGGTATATGGGGTATCTTCGGTACTAGAAAATGGACAGAAGCAGGAGGTTGACTTGTGTTTCGAAGAAGCTCTACTACTCGATGAATTATCAGAAGGGTGATCAGTAATCTGCAGAGGAGCAAGCTGCTATGTAAATATAGTGAATCTTTCGTCCTTATCTTCAAGCCTCTTTGTTCGGGATATATTGTCAACAAACTTAAATTTCGCATTCCGTGGATCGCGAACTCCATCCGTATGACCTGGTTCGTCCGGAACCAGTTGAGATGACTTGGCTTAAGTGACCGACCATGGGTGGCCTCGTCAAAGCTGTAACTCGTCCGATACATACATTACTCGCCATTCGACTGTTTCGCAGGGGCAGAGGAGAACTCCGTCAGATGAGGATCCTCGAGAGATCTCTGTATGAACCGTGCACCAGGTCATGATCCAACTCCCAAGGTTGGTAAACTTTCTGAGTTATGGAGGTTGTGGGCTATTTTCTCCTTGGATTAATGTATTTTTGACTTCCGCCTACCGTGCACCGATCGGGCTGCGTCACACTGCCGCACTCAATTTCCTGCGATAAGTTATCGCAGCAGCCAATCTGAGACATGTTGACGGCGGTCCCTCCGAACTTGCAAGTATTCATGGCAATCTTGGGTAGCCGTGACCCCGGCCTCCCATGCCCCGGACGCAATATAGTCGAATGGCCGAGACACGATGCGCCCATCTCGACTGCGAAAGCCAAAGTGCTGATGGGAGCTGAAGTTTTGCCTGTCATTGCTAGGCACAGGGCTGCAATCATTGACTAGACCTAAGTGCCTCCAGGCCGCTAAGCGCAGAGACCTATATTGCCCTGCCGCCGTTCAAGTAAAGTTGGGACATGTATCCTACTTTATCAACTAGATAGCGCCGCCATATGAATACGTGCTTTGTGAAGGGTAATAACGAGTATATTGATACGACCCTATTTACCTTGTATCCGCGTAAGATTAAGTCGGAATGAACTAGAGCAAAAGTGAAGAGAGACTGGAGACGCATGTACTGACGACATCTAGCAGTTGATGGGTTGAGAGATTCCGCGGTTTCAGATACTAGAATTACGATATGTAGGCACTTACCAGTCAGAAACAAGGATTAGGTGATTAAAGTCTTCAACTGGAACACTTAAAATAAAATAAAAAAGCGACTTAAGTAGCCGAGGAGTCTTGTTATTTTGAATCACCGCATCAATCATAGCGTTATCAAGTCCACGAGAAGCTTCCTGGAGATTTCTCAGCTATTGCGCCTTTCTTTGATTGAACTACAAGCTTCTATTGGTATCTGCTGGAATCTGCTTGAAGAATCATCTTGAATAACTCGATATCGTTCCTGGCATCTGCTGCACTCGTCTTCGGAGCCTTGCCATTGACGACGCAATCGTACAACTCAAGGAACTCATTGGTGTACGGATCCTGGTACGTCTTCCTGACTTTGCGCTCTTGAAAGCCATCATCCCCGATAAGTTCTCTGATAGTCATCGTAACTGGCAGACCCTTGACGTATGGCGTGTCGAAATCAACGCGGACAATCTTCTCGGGAGAGTACACCTCGATGTGTGCGTCGAACTGCGGAACTTTGCTGAAGCCGGACTCGTAGGTGACGGGGAAGTCATCGTACTTGAAGAGGACGCTGAAAATGCCAGGGAAGGTAAGACAAGCCCCCGCAACACTCTTCGGCATACCGATAATCTCTCTCATGGCAGATAGATCGTGTGTTCCGAGTCTAGTACTTTGTTAGCAGCGAGCCTTACTTTAGTTGACACAACGCCAACATACCCTCCGAGAAGTCGCAGCATCAGTTGAGAATCAGGGGTTACGGGAACTCCAAACTCCTTGGCAAGAGCCTGCTCAGAGATGTCCGACTCCCGCTTCAATCTGTCTTTGGTGTCTGCATCGCTGTAGTCGCTGAATTTCAGCGGGAACGTGCCGGACTGATCGACAAATGTTGAATTGGGTCCGATGATGTCTCTAACTCTTGCGTACTGAATCTTCTCCATGCCACCGACTTCCTTGACTGCGTCGGTGAAAGCAGTGGCGAAACGCCGCATTGTACCAACCATGACCTTCCCCTTGGACTTCTTCTCGGCTTCGATCAAGATATCCAGGTCCCGGAAACAAACAGAGGCCGGCTTCTCAATGAGGGTGTACTTGTCGTTTTTGAGCGCTAAGAGGCCGTGCTCGACGTGGTAAGCATCAGCGTTGGCAATGACCACCACGTCGACATCTGGAGAAGAGCAGAGTTCGGCTGCATCAGCGGTCGTCTTGGGCGGTCCACCCTGCACTTTTCGGGCGCAGTGCTCGAGAGCTTGTTGTGAAATGTCGCATAGGTACGTGGTTTGATAGCGATGAGAGAGGAAGTTTAGATTGGGAATGTGTGCTACCTGGGTGATCTCGCCGCACCCGATAATGCCAACCCTGAGGATGGGTGTTTGCTGCTGGGAGGACATGTCTGAAGACGTCTTTATTGATGTAGGCGCAAAGTTGTTGGGGCCTCTCGATCTAGATAGGCTGCGGATAAACCGGGACTTGAAACTTCAACGATTCTCGTCAACTTTGTTCAACTTTGTTCAACTTTGTTCAACTTTGTTGTTGCCTCAGATCTGCCTGCTCTTGCGATATTGAAAGGCGGTCGTGACGGCTTTTGTAATCTTCTTGAGCTCCTGTGGATACGGGTCCAGCAATGTCGTCAGCTTGGGCTGGATTGTTGAGCCCCAAATATCATTGGACACGTGAAGATGGATTTGAGACCACTTTTGCTTTGGTAGCTTTATCCAATGATGTCTCGAAAGAATTGGAGAAGCCACTGTATCTCAAGATGGACAAGCTCCGATACTCCCCGAGACCGTTTAGACCAGACTGAATGCCCGCGGAGTATCGGAATAACGCCAAAATTGTTAGTGTCAGGTCTAAGGTCACCTAGTTCGGTCAAGGACGCGTCCCAAAATGTTGCACACCGTGACGGTGCATTCTTCCCCGCACACTTCCCTGGTCTCCGACTCCCCGAGAATATCCATCCCGAGTTCCGGTCACACTTTTACCCCATGGGGATGGACCGGGGTCATGAAGCCGTGCAGAGCTACCGAGAATCTGGTCTGATCTGGACTCTAGGCGGGGGCTGGAAAACCTGGAGTTGGTTGCATGTGTTGTCGACGGCTCTTCCAAAATATATGAATAGCATGGTATCTCGTCGTATTCTCAGATTTGGGTCATCATTGATGCTTCAATCAGGAGCCTGCGACACCTCTGCCAGCAACCCAACGGCGACAACCTCGAAGATCACGCAGAAATTTCAACCTTCAAGATGGGCGTATTCTCGAAGAAAAAGGGAGCGGAGCTAGCCGTGGGGTCGGCTCTTGCAGCTGTCCGTAAATCTTTTTAGGATTGTTGAAGTTGAGAAATCATTGACACAAAGCACACAGGTTCTACCCGCGAATCCCAAGCCGTGGTACTTGACGCCTCACCTACTCAAATTGAATCTGCTGTTGCTGGTGCCTTTGTTCTCTTCTGCATCTGTAGGCTACGATGGTATGAAATCTGGACACAACTTGTTGATGCATTCAAACTGACTGAACAAAGGCTCGATGATGAACGGCTTGCAAACCCTTCCTCAATGGCGCCAATTTTTCGGAAATCCTGAGGGTGCTATTCTCGGTCTCATGAATGCTGTATATCCTCTCGGCAAAGTTGTAGCACTCTTCATCGTAACCTACATCTCGGACAGATATGGGCGGAAGCTCCCTCTGGTTCTAGGCTTAGTAGCTTGCATTGGATTTGCCATCTTGCAAGGCATGTCTAAAGACCTTCCTAGCTTTGTCATAGCAAGAGCTTTGCTGGGGTTCTTCACGACTTTCATCAGCCAGCCGAGCCCTATTCTGATTACTGAGTTGGCGTACCCTACCCACCGCGGCCGAATTACAGCTTTATACAACACATTCTTCGTACGTTGAGTCATCGTGAAGAACCCTGCGAAGTTGCCAATCCACTAACGACCGTACTGTGTAGTACTTTGGCTCCATATTTGCTGCATGGTGCACGTTTGGAACCTTCAAGATTGCGTCCACATGGAGCTGGCGAATTCCGTCTATACTGCAAGGGGCAGTCCCCATCATCCAACTCATGGGTGTTTACTTCATACCTGAGTCCCCTCGGTATGCCTTCTGACTCTAATCTCAAGTGTACATATCATAGACTTGCTAACCTGTCCCTGTAGCTGGCTGATGCGCCGTGGTCGGAAGGACGAGGCTAGAAAGGTTTTCGCCGATTGTCACGCTGGCGGCAACCTCAATGACCCTCTCGTCGACTTTGAGATGCGCGAAGTCGAACTTACTCTGGGAGAGGAGGCCGAAGCCATGTCCCAGTCATCTTGGCTCGAACTTGTGCGAACCCCTGCCAACCGAAAGCGAACACTCATCGCCTGTATTGTTGGCTTCAGCTCCCAGTGGAATGGGGTCGCAGTGGTCAGCTACTACTTGAGTCTCGTGCTCAACACTATCGGCATTACTGAAGTCAAGGACCAGACTTTGATCAATGGAATGCTGCAAATCTTCAACTGGATCATTTCAACCTTCCTCGGAGCGCTCATGGTAGACCGGCTGGGTCGACGACCATTATTCTTGATCTCCACGGCAGGCATGCTTGCGAGTTACATCGCTTGGACCGGATTGACGTCTCACTTTGTCGCCAGCCATAACGAAGCAACTGGAAGAGCAGTCGTAGCCTTCATTTTCATCTTCTACTTCTTCTACGACATTGCTTGGACGCCGCTCCTGCAAGCCTACCCTGTGGAGATTTTCCCATACACCCTTCGTGGTCGCGGCTTGTCGGTCACATACATCACTGCCTTCACTGGTCTGATCATCGGCAATCAGGTCAATCCGATTGCGATGAAGGCGATCGCATGGAAGTACTACATAGTCTTCTGCTGTATTCTCGGAGTCTTGTTTGTTGTGATCTGGTTCCTTTTCCCCGAAACCAAGGGTCACACACTGGAGGAAATTCGTGAGGTCTTCGAGGGCAAGTCTGCGAATGCCAAGGTCGAAGACGTCGAGGGCGGCGAGGATGAAGAGACTAAGAAAGATGGCAAGATCAAACAGGTTGAGCTGGCATAATTGATGACTGACATCTCATGATCTCAATCGGGCGCACGTATTTTTCAGGCTACAAGTCAAGTTAGGAAGTTTTCAACGGGAGAATACAGACAGTCCAGCTACAATGAAATGCAATTTAACTCCAGATCAACGAGCTCGAGGTTTCTATGGTAACCGTGAGTGATGTTCACAGTCGAAGACATCGGCCCATTTGCCAGCCGCAACTCAAGGCTTAGTTGCATCGGCGGCGTATCGGCGGCGTAGCAGTACTCGATGAGCCTGGGGGCAAGAATGTGAGAAAAGGAAAGAAATGATATGGTTTGAACAGGCGACAGCTGGAAACGTCGTCCCGCATTCCACACTATCGCAAAAGACGAGGGTGGAGGAGTCCCGCATTAGAAAAGGCCTCGTACAGGAGAAGCTGGAGGTAATGCCAAATGAGGCAAGTGTGTCAACCGATGGTGACCCAAAGCCAGCTTAGTATGCACGCCAACTCCGCCAACTCCGCTTCTACAAGGCCTTGTCGGGTGAGGTCAGGAAGCCGGAGACTGTCTTCTTCGGCATCCGAAAGCTTTCTTTGTTGAGTTAAATGTAGATGATCGAGTCTGATAGGAGACCTAAGATTTTGCTTACACCTCCCGAAGCCATGTCTTCCCTAGTCCAAGAACACGAACTGCGCTCTGCGAAGCCAGGTTCCTCAGAGCAACCATTGCAAGACAGCAATGCGACCCAACAAGAGCCACATCAGCACCATGTAGTGGACGTTGAACATCGGAACTCGGCGTGGGTCTGTGTGCTCGGATCATTCTTATTTCTCATGCCTTCTTTCGGTGAGCACATCCGCTTTCCGGGGCACCACCAACGTCTTTGGAAATGCGTGGGAATTGGTACTAATGCTCAACCTGCTAGGCTTTATGCAATCGTCCGGGGCAATACAGTCGTTCCTCTTAGAGAATCAATTAAGAGACTTTTCAGCCCGAGATGTTGGCTGGATTACAGGGGTTTACAGCTTTCTCACGATGTTTCTCGGTATTCAGGCAGGGCCACTGATGGACGTTTACGGGCCAGGGCTACTTGGACCAGTTGCAGCTGGTATCCTCGTTCTAATGTTCTTCTTACTCGCCGAATGCGCAAAGTTTTGGCAATTCTTACTCTGCTTAGGCGTCCTGGGAGGTATCGGTAATGCTATTGCTACAACTGTAGGCATTGCTGTGATTGGAAAACTCTTCAATCGTCGCAAGGGACTAGCACTCGGTATCGCCCTGTCTGGCTCCTCTACTGGCGGGATAATATTTCCGTTGGCTCTTCGACAGATGTTCCCCATGTGGGGATGGGAGTGGTCGATGAGAGCCATGGGAGTTTTAGCTATCCTTATCATGATCTTAGGCATTGTTTGCCTCCTTCCTTTCGAGAGGCTGCATGCTATAGTAAAGAACGAGGGAGTCGCCACGGAAAGGAGTAGAAAGAAGGCTGTGATGGACTTCTCTGCTTTCAAGTCGGTACCTTTCTCGCTCATCTGCGGCGCCATAGCGCTTCTCGAGTTTGTCATCTTTGGTGCGACGGCAATACTTCCAACCTTGGTGGCTTTGTCGGGGTTCTCAATGGAGCATGGATTCAACATGCTAGCTATCCTCAACGGATTTTCGTCTCTTGGACGTATTCTTCCAGGGCTGGTAGGGGATCGCCTTGGACATTACAATATCCTCCTAGTCATGATCATTTTCACAATTGTTTGCACTGCCGCAACGCTCACCGCATTTGGATCGACCCGGATCGACGCCTTATATGCTTTCTCGACTCTATGGGGCTTCGGTACTGGATCGTTCTTGTCACTTGCGCCTGGTAAGTTCAAGTTGTTGGCTACTTGGACAAGTTGTTCTAGTCTATCGGCAACTGACCGTGGATACCAGCCTGCGTGGCCAAAACTTGTGAGCCGAAAGACTATGGAAGATCCTATGGTACGTTATACTCTCTTCGTGACCATGCTTGGTGTCTTCTGACAGGCCTAGGGACGATGAACTTCGTCATCAGCTTCTCACTTCTCTTGACGATGCCTATTGGCGGTCAGATGCTAGAATCTCTTGGATCTACTGCCTTATCAGGACTCTATCTTGCAGTTGTGTTTGCTGGAGGTACACTAGTCTATGCAGGACGCTCTGTTGTAGTGGGCTCTTGGGCCAACTTTAGAGAAAGGATATAGATATTAGATATCTCTAAGTCATGTATTGCATTTTGAGATTGGTGCAGCGAGAGGTGGGTAGTCAAGCCCAACTCATTGAGTATCTTCATCGTGTTGCAACGTGAGAGTCTATACGGGTACTAATTTACGTACACATCAATTCCATGACGGCCACTTAAGAGATATCGAGTATTCCAAAGTCGATTCTTCTGGTATCTAATATTCTTTTACCTCTTCACATGACCATTCTACTGCTCATCTTGAGGGAACTTGGCACCACCTTGTCTCCTAATCTCATCCAAAATCTCCATAACACGGACAGTCTCTGCCCAGGGCATGATCTCGCTTTCTGTGCGTCCAGCAGTAATATCCAGTGCCACCGCGTCCGCCTCCCAGTAAAAGCCCTTGCCTGGTCTCTCAAAGTCGAACTTCTTTGACTTCAGACCCTCCGTCGTGGATTCGACCCATCCCTCGCCAGAAGCCTTGGAGGAGTGAACGGTAAAAGAGCCGGGAACTGAAGTGGCGATGCCTTCGACAATGACGTATCCATCGCTTCCCTCAATCCTGCAGAATCCTGGTGGTGTCTTGACTTGCGTCGAAGCTGTCAGGATGCCTTGCTTGCCGCTGGAGTAGAGAAGAAGAGCTGATGTTGCGATATCGATATCGTCTGAAAGTGTTTGGGTCGCAGAGATCTTGGGCTTTTCAGCTTTATCTCCTACACCGGGGTCCAGACCAAGAATCGTAAAGGTCAAGCTGTACACGCCAATATCGAGAAGACTTCCTGCCCCAAGAGCCGGGTTCTTCAGACGTGAGTCTGGACCCAGTGATGCGAGGTTCATGTTCATGGCAAAGTCGCAGAAAACGCGGTGGATTTTACCAATCAGCTTTTCCGAGTGCAAGACGTTTAGCAGAGACCTCGTGAGGGGGAAGAAACGAGTCCACATGGCCTCCATGACGAAAACGCCCTTCTTCCTCGCGGCCTCAAACACCTCCCGCGCCTCCCTAGCTGTGATGGCGAAGGCCTTTTCGCAGAGGACATGCTTGCCCGCGTTGATGGCGTCAAGGCAGTTTTGCTTGTGGAATGCGTGTGGTGTGCCGATATAGATGACGTCGACGCTGGGATCGTTATAGACCTCCGCATAGCTACCGTAAACTGTCGGTGTTTTTCCAGGGAGGTGCTTCTCAACAAACGCCTTGCCCTTCTCAAGCGACGATGATCCGACGGACTGAACAATGTGCTTGGCCCTGGCATTCGAGCGCTCAAGTACTAGATCCTCGACGAACCATGAGGAGATGAGGCCGGTGGCGATGATGCCCCAGCGAAGGGTTGGGATCTCGGAAGACATGGTTGAGATGGTGATAAAGTGTTCAGCGCTGATAGCTGCTGTCAAGGCTTGTATGAAGGAGAGGAGCATGAACAGCAGTCAAGGGGTCACTCGATGTATTTATGAGATCTGGAGGCTGATAAATCACTCATGGCAATGACGCGGAATCGCGGGCCGCCCCAACCATGAAGGAACAGATGCGTAGAATCCGCCCTAGGGATGAAAACACCATTGAGCAAGCCGTTCTGCCAATCCTGCACTAGGAAGCACTGAAGAAGTCACAGACTCGACTCCACAAGTTGTCACGATGTTGATGCAGTGGGGGAAGTGGAGAATGGGACGTGAACGACTTGTCCGACACTCCCCGGCTGACACTGGCTTTTGGGAGGGTTTGTGTTGGTATACACGTCAGCAGGGCAACCGTACGGTTGGAACGAAGTGTCAATAATGGTCTATTATTGCTGCGTCTTGAGGTGGAAGGAGGAGGTTGTGGGCAGAGCCCACGGCCTCTCAGAAGTGGTATGTAAGGGGTCGTTTGTAAGTGCCCATACCGCCTTCCAGATCCACCTTTTCTGCCGACTGCTCAGAGATCCAACAGTTTGTCTCCGCGTTCCGGCCGGTTCACCTCGAGGCTCATGCACAACAAGCGCTGGTCAAGTGGCCGCTGCTTTTGTAACCACTTGGTCGGGAAAGGGATTCTGCAGGTTGACCAGCATTCGCTGGGCAATCTGTAAGTGTAGACAAAGAGGAGAGGCTAATCAAATCGGTGATTTCTATTGTAAAGGCTCTGTATTGTAAACACTTCAAGTCTTAACAATAGGTCGAGTGCTTCACGTGGCTGCGACAACACAGTCGTAAATACGAGTAGAAAGGACCCATCGACCGGCTTTTGACCTTCGTCGCCGTCTCCGTACAGCCTAACACCTCGCCCCGTCGGGCCAATTGAATCGGGACTCGGCACGCAATTCAAAACTTCAAGTCTGATAAGTTAAGTCATTTTGGGTTCTTCAGAAACAGCAGTCTTTAAGTCTCGAGATGTCAGATTCTCTGAGCACTCTGTCATAGCATCTTGAAGCATTTCTGTTATGCCATGGCCCACCTCAGGGGCCGATGTTACGTTGAGGATGCTGGCAAAACCTCCTGCCATTTTCGACATCTCAATCCTGGTCGAATACGAGCTTTTACTGCTCGATTAGGGCATTCATATCTTGTCTATCCCGGCAATACACATGAATACGGGCTTCTAGCCAAGGTTGATATAGGGGATTTGCAGAGATGCATATGATATGCCCTTGGGCTCTTGGGTTCTTGGCCATCTCGCATCAATTGATAACTTAAAGGGACCTTAACACCACATGCAATGATAATTTTTGTTAAACTCGTTTCTCTTGAGCCGCTGCAAGTCTCAAGATGTTGTGGCGCAAGGTCCTTGCATTCGCGCCTTTGGCTGCCTTCGCTGGCGCCCATCCCAACGCTCACGGCATCCGATACTCAAAGCGGGATTCCACGCTCGAAGTAATCCTCGCCCCGGAGGTGTCTGAATCTGGCGCCGTGGTTTCCGCCACCATCAAGAACACCGGCAGCTTGGACCTCAACCTGCTCAAGGTTGGCACCATCTTGGACGACAAGCTTCCTGTCCAGCGTGTGTCCGTCCTTGACGAGTCAGGTCAGTAGCGCCACGGTGACGAAATTTGCCCGTAGCTCACGCGCCAACAGGGAACGCGGTCTCTTTTAGGGGAATTGAGCCGAGCATTCAGTACGATGCCCTGAAGCCGAGGCATTTTGAGTCGCTTCCAGCTGGAAGTTCAGTGACAGTATCGATCGATCCAGCAAAGGTTCATCAGTTTGCAGAGTCTGGCACCTACTCTATCACTGCTGAAGGCATAATCCCTATTGCTTTAGCGCCGTCTACGGACTTTTCTCAGCCTGCCGTTACTTTCAAGTCAAACACCATCCAGGTCGACGTGAATGCAGACGCTGCTGCAAAGTCTTTGGTAACTGCGGCACTCAAGGAGCGCACCAACTTGCAGCCAGGATGCAACGCGACAACGTTGGACGCCAGCACCAAAGCCCTGGCCAACTGTCAGGTCCTCGCCCTCGCTGCGGCAGCGGACGCAGCTGACCCGTCTTCTAAGCGATTTGTCGAGTATTTCGGCACCAATTCATCAGAAACCCGCAACATCGTCGTCACTCGGTTACAGAATGTCGCGCAGGAGTGTAGCTCAACAACTTCGGGAGTGTCTCGGTACTTCTGCTATGATTACTACGGCGTTTGCGAGCTCGACGGTCCTCTCAATGCTTACACAGCCTGGGATGTCAACACAATGGTCATGTGCCCGCTCTTCTATGGCCTGCCGCCGCTCCCTGTAGGATGCCACCGACAGTGTCAAGCTACGACTACGATCCACGAGACCACACACTGCGAGGCAGTTTATGCCCCTCATACGGACGACTACGCTTATGCTTACAACGCCAGCGTTGCGTTGCCTTCTGAACGGGCTCTGCAAAATGCTGATAATTATTCACTCTATGCCAATGGTATGCTCCCTCAATTCTTTTCAATCTAATTGTGCGGGACGATGAAGATTAATCTTTGGTCACGAATAGCTGTTTATATGGGTTGTTGAGGTGGAAACACGCCTGGAAAGTGAGACGGAGCCAGAAAAACTCATCTAGCAATCTCTTTCTTCCACAGCATGGGCAAGCTTGACTACAGGCTGGGCCAGAGATGGCATTTTCAACAAGAAAATCATTATCCTTCTGCAACTCGATTCAAGGTAGAATGATATAATGTAGACTAACCGAATAAGATGATCACTGAACCATCTCAACTTGAAGTACCAACGCGATCACTCATATGAACGTGGCCGAACTCGGGCCGGCGTGCTTCGCTCTCGCGTCGAACTTCGCAACTTGGACATATAAACGACCGAACTATGGTCCATGACATCCGCCTACCGCCCAGGTGCTACCATTAAGGTTGATGAATCAGGAATCAGAGCTTGTCGGCCACCTCCGATGATAATTACTAGCAAAATCTTCTCTCAAGCCAATGACATGAAGCCCAGCCCCCCGCCTCTGTCTCTGCCATTTTTCTTATCGCCTGTATCGCCCCGCATACTTTAGCTGTTAAATCGCCGGAATTATCCTTTTGGTCTCATTAAATCATCTCTTGACTTTGAGGACGGACTTGATCTCCTCTGACTCGACGTCTCTGTTTTCTGCCCAGTGCCAATGCTCAAGTGTTCACTAATTAGCCCACAATGACTACCACAGCTCTGACATCTGACTCGGGGACGACCCTCCTGCGTTTCGCGTCCGGAAACGGACCGGTAACCCGCCGCATCCTTCGGACTCCGCTCCGCGATGCTCTTCCTACCGAGATCCCAGTCATCGACGTCTCGCTGGCATTTAGCCCCGAACTTACAGACCGGAAAACTGTAGCACAGCAGATCCGTAACGCTGCTACGACGTCCGGCTTCTTCTACTTGACCAACCATGGCATTGCGTCTTCAGTCACCGACTCAGCTCATGCAGCCTGCCTAGAATATTTCCGCCAGGATGAAGAGACCAAGATGCGCTCGTGGGTTGGGAAGAGTCGCTACTTCAATGGCTACAAGCCGCCTGGATCTCAGCGGATCAATAAGTCAGAGAGCGTCGATGTCCGCGAGTCATTCAGCTGGACGTACGACCCTCGCCACGACCCCGATGTGGCCGACGTCGATGCTATTCCCGAGGAGGCGAGAAAGCTTTTACGGATTGAGGACTTTCACTGGGATGGCACGGCCAACCAGCCGCACTTCAAAGCAGCCATCATCCAGTACTGGCAATCCTGCCTGAAGCTCGCTCGCGTCCTGGTTCGCTCCTTTGCGCTATCGCTTGATCTCCCCGAGGATCACTTCGATGCAAAGTTCGCGTACCCTGACGCTGCGCTGGCGCTCAACTACTACCCGCCTCTGAGTTCCTCGGCCGCCGTTGACTCAGACACCAACAAAACAGTTTCCATAGGATCGCACACGGACTTTCAGCTCTTCACCATCCTGTGGCAAGACACGGTCGGGGGCTTGCAGGTGTTGAATCGCCAGGGGCAATGGATCAAGGCAGCACCTATCCCTGGAACGTTTGTCGTCAACATTGCCGACTACTTGCAGCGCATCACAAATGACCTCTACGTCAGCACAGTACATCGGGCCCAGAACTTGAGTGGAGAGGAACGCATCAGCATGCCCTTCTTCTTTGGCTTTGGCCTGCATGAAAGCTGCGGTGTTATCGACACCTGCGTCAAGGAGGGGGAGAAGCCAAAGTACGAAGAGATCGGCTGCGAAGCTTGGGTCCAACGAAGAGCTCGGGCGATGCACCAGGTGGAATCTGATGACGAAAACGACAGTGCTCAGTGAGCAAACAAAGCCTTGACGAGGTTTCAAATTGCCGTTTGCTTCGATGATCTCTTCGTTTGCTTCTCTCCATTTTAATTAACAACAGGGGCTTGTCGAGGTCGGAAGTTTGGAACCCCTTTGTGGCTAAGCTTTAGATATTACCTGAACCGGGACAAACAAAATTTGACAGATAAAGACACTGAAACCCCCTTACTTGAACAAACGATTTCATGGTGCAACTCGCACATACGTGACCTTACTCTGAATTATCCAGAGCTATGGATCGGCTCAAAGTCTCAGTTCCTAGCGAACAAGTGACTGAGCATTCGGCGGGAGGTCTTTCGCCTGGCAGCAACAACACAACGATGAAGCCGGATATTGACAGCTCGCGATCCTCACAAACCGAGCCAACTAAACCGGCTAGGGCATATCGTTCCAGTTCCATTTTTCAAAAGTGCATCAAGTCTGCACAACGACTACGGCCTCGAGAGCCATCACTCCTACGAGAGCTGCTCTTTTTGGGAGCGTCAGCAACCATTGCATCTTCTGTACTCATGTAGGCTTCCAGTGATAATTCACCATTTCTATAATGAAGGTTACTCATCCTTATAGCACTCTACTATACGTCTCCATCTTTGTTCTACAGCCTCAAGCTCTGAATGACGCAGCCTCCCAAAACTTCATCTCCAACAACCCCATCATGACGGATGGCCAGCCGGTCGATGGCTTATCGAGATGGCTGGAGGATTTCTCACGCTCAGTCATTCCAATCATGTGTCACTCTCACAACGATTACTGGAGGCCATACCCCCTTTACTCGGCTCTCGCAGCGGGCTGTACCGGGGTGGAAGCAGACATTTGGTTGAGTGACGATGGATCCGACCTGCTTATCGGCCACGATAAACATGAATTGTCTCCCACGAAAACTTTGCGATCCATGTATCTTGATCCCTTGTTGAACATTCTCGACACCATGAATCCCACGGAGCAATGGTCGAACTTCAACCGGGCAGATCGCCCGCAGGGGGTTTTCAGGAGTCAACCGAATATCACGGTAGTTCTGCTCCTGGATGTCAAGAGTGATCCGTACAAGACGTGGCCAGTGGTGATGGAGCAGCTTGGACCCCTTCGAGAAAACCTCTTCCTCACACGCTTCGAGGTAGTAAATACCGAGCCAGGCTTCAGGCTCAGGCAAGATATGTGGCCAGGCCCTGTGACCATCGTGGGTACTGGTAATATCATGGAGGATCGCTCGATAAATCAGTGGCCAACGAATGAGCCGTACCAGCAGTATCATGACGCCTTCCTCGACGCGCCGTTGGAGCAACTTCCCGATGACAACTGGCGCAAGTACGACGATTATGGGTACTTTGGCTCTCAATTGTGGCATGAGAAAGACACCTATTACGCATCCGTGTCTTTCGAAAAGAGTATCGGATCGGTCCGCACTGGGTTCAGCGGCGAGCAACTTGCGAAGTTGAGGAGGCAGATCAGTACTGCAAAGTGGTCTGGTCTCAAGTCGCGGTATTGGGACCTGCCCAGTTGGCCAATTTCATATCGTGATTACGTCTGGGAAGTGTTGACAAGGGAGGGAGTCGACATGTTGAACGTCGATGACTTGCAGAGCGCAGCAAGAAGAGGATGGACAAAGGGGTACGTGCAAAGCGTGATATGGATAGCTTTGACTTCGACTGTCATCTTCTTGACGGGTCTTGCGATGACGTGGTACGGATTCACAGCCATCAAAAAGCATATGAAGGGTCTTCAACCTCAGAGTATTGTGCTGGCATAGACTGTAATAGGATCTTCAATGGACAATGTTGGACTAAATATCCCCTGTCTGATTCATCCTTCACTTGAAACCTGATATTATCGGAAATACCGGATAGTTCGGGTTGCAATTCGCCAATTCACTAGTTATCACAAAGCGAGGTAATAAGTGGAAGACATGTATAGTAGAAAGTGGCTTGATTCCTCTAAGTGGAAGATCCGTATAAGGGTCATATCTATATACCGTACAAGACGGGTAATCGGCTTGTGGAAAGCGGTATCGTACGGCAGTAACCGGCAGCGCCACGTGTGGCGCTGCGACACTAGTCAAGCACTTTCATCCTGCGTATCAAGAATAATGCTTATCCCATCGGGTGCTGATGGACAGCACTTTCGCCAAGACCATGAAATACCCACTATGTATCCACCATTACCCCGCATTTAAAGGGGTACTTGACGATACGTCACTCATCCCTATGCTCTTTTGCCTATTATTATCACTATTATTACCATTTTGATTGATACTGTGATGTCTTCTGGTGATTCTGATACCTCTATTGCATCTAATGCTTCTATTACCTCTATACGCAGCTGTATAGTAGTTGAGGTCCACCCAGAAGATCTTACTGCTGCCTGTAATACGGACTGTACGCCCGAGCGCTGTGACGCAGCTACAGTCCGGCCCCACGAACCTCCGGCAACTCAGCATGGTCCTCCGGGCTCCTTCCGACCCTTCAACGTGCCGGCCCGGGCCCAAGAGATACGGGGGCTGCCGGCAAGCCCGCTTGAACTGTTCCTCCAATACGTTCCGCAGAGCCTCGTAGAGCAGTGGGCCCAGTGGACGAATACAGCACCGTTGTCTAGGGAGGGCCCTAGGGCTAGACGGGCTACAGACAAAAGGAATACCTCTATTCCATGGGAACAGCATAGGAAGGGATCAAGAAAGGTATCTTAACCTTGTACCTATTGTGGTAATAGGAAGGCTTTAAAGGAGATATCTGGGAATGCCATCGCTCGGCAACGACGGCAGACAACTCGAAAGGGCTGCTTAGATTGCAATGTACCGTTATGTATTAGCAAAGATTGCTGGTACCTCTGGCACACCCAAAATTTATAGGAAATAGAGGTACTGCAGCCCTATTGGTTAACTTAATAGATTTGCAAGCCCTTATTGGCTCTACCCCGCCCTTGGCGAAAGTGCTGTCCATCAGCACCCGATGGGATACCGCCACGAGGACGTCAGGACCAGGCACCGTACATGCAACTTGTCCATCGATTTTGAGATGCACTACAGAAAAGATCTATAAGTGGCCCGATCTTCTGCCTTCCAGCCTGTTTTAGTCTTCCGTCATTGGCGAAGAACCTGTCCTGTATCTGCGTTTATGATTCGTACTACGTAGCGCGAGATCAGGTCCTGTGAAAAATCACCCCAGGGATATGCCACGCCGGTTAGAGTTTGTAGTCACTTAGGTTGTTGGGTTGGCTCGCAAAGAACAGACTATGCTTATTGGCGTTTGTCGAACAGAGTTTGGGCTTTAACCTCCTCCATGAATTACGAGGACCTCGATTTCGCCATGCTCGACCACGGGGCTTTGAGCATCAATGTGACGCACGAGTCAAGTGTTCCTTTTGACTTCGAGCAGGATTTGAGGGGAAAGGCATGCCCAGCTTAACAGGAACATATATGTTCGGGTGTCCCACGTGGCGGGTGCGGGTAGATTCTGCCCAGAGGTATCTGCCTGGCCGACGCCCATCTTCTTTCAACAAGTCAGATTGTCATGTCAGCCGCGGCACAACGGGGGACGCTGGCACCACTTCCGGAATATCACCGCCGTGGACTGATTGTACTCACGATTTTCTCATTCCTCTCTGCCATTGCCACAACTGCTCTGTGGCTCTTCATCACATATAAGCTATTGGCGTATCGGAAAACCCGGCCGGCTCCGAGGCAACGAAGTACACAACCACAAGATGCCGATGTTAACGATCTACCGGATCTCTCTTTGGGGTTGGATGCCCCTTGCGCAGGAGCCACCGGATTCGCCCGACTGGAGGAGCTCGATAGACTAGCCGCGTCACAAGAGCAAGCGGGAGAGGCTGCAAGTGCCACCGGGGATCGAGACGAGCAGGAGGCTGAGGAAGCCCGCAATCCTTTCCCCATTCTCATTTACAATCTCCTACTGGCAGATATGATGGAGGCTGCTGCCTACGCGCTCAGTATATCCTGGGTCTCAGCTGACGGCATCTTTGCACCTTCGTCAGTCTGCTGGGCCCAGGGTTGGCTGGGCTCGACCAGTAACTTAGCAGCGAGCTTGTTCCTAGCGGTTATTTCGATCAACACGTTTTTGACAGTAGGCTTGGGTTACAAGCCACCGCCGTGGACGATCTATACCTCGATAGGGGTTCTCTGGATATTCGACTTTGGAATCAATGGCGCAGGCGTAATATTTTCGGAGATCCACCCAGCAGTTCCTCAAGAGTCTTTCTTCATGCGGGCCAATGTCTGGTAATTGACAATAATCCCTTATTTTGACTTTGGATGCTTTTCGGCATCCTGTAGCTCCCATGCTAACTTGAGATCTTTTTAGGTGTTGGATCTCTACATCGTACGATTCGTGGCGGTTTTGGGCTCACTATTTCTGGGTCATTGTCTCCATCGCCATTACACTCAGCCTCTATTCCTTCGTCTTCTTTACTCTTTGGCGTCAAAAACGAAGTTGTCGTCACTTGCCGGAAAAGAGAGCGTCACAAAGCGAAGCCTTCGAATCAGGATTCGAGGCGGGTCATGGACCGGAAGTTCGACGACCTTCAGGCTATCACCCAGCCTTTCTTGCGTACCCGTTCGTATATGTCGCTTGCAGCATGCCTCTAATAATTGGCCGTATTGCTTCTCTACTGGGTGTCGATCTTGGCATATCATATTTCGCCTTCGCGGGGTCCATCTTGGCTACGAATGGACTCTTTAACTCAATATTATGGACTACAACAATTGTGTTTAGCGAGCCACAAGACGCACACAACGCGGGCTTGGATCAGTTCGCCTTCGTCAGAACCCCGATACGAGATTATGGACACACTGTCATCATCAGCGGTCCTGCAAGTCGAAGAGTGCCTGAGCCAAGTATTGTCCCTGGCGGCGGTCGCAAGGAATGGTGGTGGTGGAAACATGGCGGGCAGAGAGGCTGGGGGAGATCCTATGCCAATATGCATGAAACGCCCAGAGTGAGCGCAGTCGAGGTGCATAATCATACATTACCAGTCATTGTGGAAGGTCCCTATATTCAGATGGACATTGTCACAGCCGTTACCGTTGAGCAAGCGGAGATTCAGCCGATACCCCCGGGCAGGCCTCTAGACACCTACCCATCAAAATAGCGTTCTGCTTTTTACGTTTTCCTAATTAAGGAGAGTTGAAACTACCTACACAAACTGATACGAGTAGCAAGAAGCCGATTTATGGATCCGATTCGGGATATGGAGTCAGAAACCAGTAAGAAAAACAGAGACTAGAACATAGAATAGCTACTTGACAATGTCACTTGAGATTGACAGACCCCTTCAAAGTAGTCTTGGTTCTTCATTCCACGCCACGGACTGATCAGATACCAATTGAAAGCAACAAACATGTTAAACTTTCCGACCTCAGTCTAGACAAAACCCATACTCCATAGGTAGAGAGGCGAAGTTGTTTGACGTGTAATTACTGTAGATATCAAGACAGAATATTCAGACAACCGTGAATGGAACCCGACTCAAAGCAGCGAGAGAGCTAGCCAAAAGCAACGAAAAGCCCCATTAATTTAGCTGGGTGGGCCGAGGCATCGGTTTCGCTTTTCCTCATCCTCACAACTCCGCTACTCCCCGCCCTTCTCATTTGGGAATCGTCAACCATTTCCACCAAGCCAACAAGCACGTCGAAAACGAATCACCATCATATCCGAATAATCCGAGTAGATCGTATCGGTATATCTATAACCCCACAGATAGCCCTGTCGAACATCCCATAATGTCCGACGCAGGGAACGAGGCGCCTGAAACGTCCAACAAGAGGCGCCGGACCTCGGGCATGTACCAGAGGCGGCGTGCCGTTGCGGCGTGTGGGCCCTGCCGGGTCCGTAAAACGAAATGTGACAATGTCCGGCCTGCATGCGGCTTCTGCCAGCGGAACGGCGGCCAGTGTACATATCCCGACACCTCTAATGACTTCTCAACGTGAGTTGGTCTCTTAGTGTCTGAGGTAATTGGGCCAGCTCAACCTTACTTGTTGTACAGATTCGACCCTGCGAGCTTGGCAATCCTAGACCGTCTCAATCATGTTGTTTCTCTTCTCGAGACTCGTCCGGAACTGCCAGCCGAGCACGCCATCGTCGCTCCCCCAATACCGCCAACGTTGTCGCCAACATCGATCCTTGGACCTCAAACTAGTGCAAGCGTCACTGTTGACGAAGATCTAAGTCATTCTCCCGATGGCCTGCCTGAAGACGATCTTATGATCCGCCTCGACATCCCCGACTCTGCGGCTGCCAGGTCTAATTGCGAAGCCATTCTGAGATGGCCGATCTTCAGGGGATATGCGCCTGAAACCGAGTCTTTCATCTTGGAGTTAGAAGATGATGATGCGGACTCTTCGTTTCGACCCCAGCCTCTTAGAAGTCGGAATCTTGGGCGAGGAGTTCAGGAAGACGACTTCACGGTGCTTTCTAAGAAGTTCTTGGCATACGTGCATGTGAAGAATCCAGTTCTTGACGTGGGTGACTTTAAAGCGTACGTCAAGGATACGGTGGAGAACGGTCCTCGATGGGACGGGCCTTCATGTCTGGTGGTAAGTTCGTAGCCTTTCTTGCGCTTTCATGATGCTCACGATGCTAACCGGATGACCAGCTGATTTCCTGTGCACTTGCCTGCCTTGCAAGCCCATTTCAAACCGAGATCAACTTCAATAGTACACCCGAATCAGTGCGCTCGTCATCATCAACCGCCACGGATCCGGATACAGCCCAGGCCTATTACCTCGCAGCCAAGAAGCGGCTGGGACTCCTTGAGCCTTCCTTGCTTCAGATTCAATGCTTGTTCTTTTGTGCAGTGTTTGAAATGTACTCACTTCGTCCACTGCAGGGCTGGTTCTATTTCAATCAAGCTAGCGTGCAGTTCAAGAACCTATTCTGGCGTAGAGCCAAGAGACGAAATTTGCAAAACGTTTCTCAGAAAACGCGGCGCCTCGAACAGCGTCTTTACTGGTCATGCATGAAGTCAGAATGGTAAGCCCGGCGAAAACTTATGCCTGCTGAAGAGGATACTTGGCTGACTCTCGACACCCAGCGAGCTCAGGTGTGAGATACCGTTGCCAGCCAGTGGAATCACTGGCCTTGGATATCCAGACTTGTTCCCCTCACCTCCGTCTGAAGTTGCATCTCCCGCAGCTCAACCAAGCGCGTTGGATATCTTGGAGGATGACATCCAGCCAGAGGAAGAAAAAAGTTGGTTCTACTACCTGGCTGAGATTTCGTCGAGAAGAATGACCAATCATGCTATATCTATATTTGGTTATAATGGAGAGCAGGCATGGGTTCGAGATATAGCCAAGGTGCTTGAGAAGAGCGAGGAATTCGACGAGCACATCAACCTTTGGTAAGAATCTCCTCGTCTCTCGGCGCGGGTTCGTGTTTGGCCCGAAACGTTGGCTAATGCATGCTCAGGTGCTTGCACATACCCTCTCAGATCCATTGGCAAAACCGAGAGCCATCAAACAACGAGCTGGTACACTTTATTCAACACCGAGCCACGAGCTGCCGCGAATGGATCCATCGGCCTTTCTTGTACTACGTGGTCCATCAACCAGCGGACGACCCTTGGATACCCCGCGTCATGCCATTAGCAGAAAAGTGCCTCGAACTCTCACTCGAGTTGCTGCTAGACGCTAACCCTCACCATCGCCATCACGGAACATGGTTCATGGCCAGAGCGGCCATGACCCGTGCTCTCCTACTTTTGGCCGCAGTCAAGAGCGGCAGGTTCTCTCGGCTGCCCGAGCGATGGAAACAGGGAGTCGACACGGCCAAATGGGCTCTGCAGCGGTGGTATGGCGAAGCTCCGGATTTGCGTAAGGCTGCGTCTGTGCTTGAGGATCTCGTCGGTCAAGTTGTCGGGCCCGGAGTCTGAAAGGGTCTGTGGGGGGCTGCGAATGGAGCGGTCCGACGCCAGTACTTGTCAAGCGTCGTAATGGGTTGTCAGTCAATTAAGCGTTCTTTGGGCTCTTTCAACCCCAACTCGACTTAGTCCTCGGACATGTGGAGGAAGGGTCCGCAGGTCCTTGGCGTTTCTCGCCCTTGGTTGGAGGAGAAGTAAAAGGCGAATAGGCGAGCAAAGAGCAGAGTAGACCCCCGCCCTTGTACTTGCTTTTTGTTACTTCGGAGAAACACTTGAGCGCTTTGACAAAAAGTAAACGTCCGGGCAGTCTCTGGCATATGGGTAATGCGCCTTGAATCACTCTGATGGGCAGTCTTTCGTAGAGCTGTAGCTGTAACTCTACAGCTCATATCCTTTCGATCTGAATAACAGTTCCAATTGAAAGGAGAGGCCACTCAATGATTTCGAAGTTGCATCGGCATGTTGGTGGCCTTCTAAGGCTGCGGCTTTTGTCGGCTGATCATTAGTTGTGTGGGAGGTCCTGGCGTCTTTCTTTGGGCCAAAGTCTGTTAAGAGGACTCAAAGCCGAACAACCAAGGAGCTGAACTTTCAGCAAGCTGCAGCTAATTCTCAACTTCCTTTGGAGAAGCATACACCTTATTGTCAAAGACCTCGGCGTGGGGGCTTCCTGTGGCTAACGAACACCCCAAAAGTAGTTTTCTCTTCCATTGTTCTCTTTCAGGACACTTACCGGAACAAAAATGCAGCAAGCAGCGTTAGCTCCAGGCCCCTTGACGCCATCATCCAGCCAGGTCCTGCATTTACGCTTCCTCTGGTGCTCTCCAAGTGTCTTAGTCTGCACGGCGCATGCCACTCCCTTCCCCCTCACCATGTGATTATCTGAGACCCTTGAGCGAGCTCTCGCCCTCCATCAGTTAGCCCCAGGGGGCCACGTGTGGCTGGTGCTTAGCGGCGTCATCCATGCAAGCCTTTTTCGATTTGGATCTTGTTCCCCGGGGCCTCCCTCGCACTGCTCCGGTTGCATCCCGCTATCGCGCATCGTCTAAACTTCTTCGCTTGGCCCAAGCCGAACAGCTGTCAGCCTAGCTTCGTTTCGTTTGCGTCTTGTCCGACGTCTGTTCCCTTGGCCAGTTCACTGCCGTCTCTAGAATCTACAGACAATATGGATCTAACAATTTCACCGTCGGCCGTTGCATCTACTGTCGCATCCGCTGGTCTCCACAACTCTCAACATCACTCCGAGAAGAGCGACAGCTTGGCTTGTCGATGAGACGGCAGTATGAAGAGGCATAATGAGTTTCCCACAACCGTCGGTTGAACCCGGGCTGCCTCGTCCCAAGTAGTGAATGTCGGAAGTTGCCTTACTGTCAACTTCACCTTTACGCTTTTACATTTACACATACGGAATTTGGGGGCGTGCCAAAAACGCTACAGACGCAACCAATAGCAATTCCATTCCCATGTTCAGATGACGCTTCCGCTGACGAGGGTTGTGGTGTCCTATTGGCCTGTTGGTGTCCTTGACTTTCACCTTCACCGAAAAGTTACAATTCCGATGAAGAGCCTGGAATTGGTAAAAAGCCGAAAAAGGTGAGAGGGGTAGGACAATGATAAATGCAGGTCGCGTGGCCGAGCGTTTCTCTTTACCTAGGAGTATCTGGATAAAGCTCAGCCACACCACCTTACAAAAAGTTGGGATGAAGCTATTGTCACGCCTCACGGGGTCCTTGTTCCACTCGGCCTCCTTCACCCGGGCATATTCTCTCACATTCACTCTGACCTCCTTTCAAACCGCCCTTTCTCTCAAAAGACCTCGCGCAGCCTTCCCCCTGCAGCTCTTCCTTTTCCTCTTCCCTCTCCCACACTTTTGCTCGGTACCTGCAGTTAGACTACATACTTGCAACTTGCGTCACCACCAACACCAACGAGGTTCCTCTTTTTAGGTTCGGCATTTTGCTTCAGACACACGACCCATCGGTTTGGTCGATCCAAAGACGCATCAGCAGGGCAACGATCGCCTCTTGCCTACCTGAAGCCGGATCAAAATGTCGTTCTCATCCTCGAACTCATCATCAAGGCACTCGTCCAGATCATCGAGGTGCAGTTGCGACAGCTGCGCGGAGTACAGATACGAAAGAACATGCCATGTCGACGGCTGCTCCAGGAAACATGCATTCCTTCGCAACGATCCACTTAGACCGGATATCAGAATCTACTCTGACTTTTGCGTCGATCGTAAGTACAGAAACCAGCCGAGTCCAATGTCGCACATGCTAACACTTCCTCGTTAGATACCTGCAAGTTCTGTGTACTTGGCCTAGAAATGTGCAATCGTCCCAAGGACCCTCAGCATCGTTTCTGCAGTGATCGTGAGATTATTCTTCGTCCTCGTGTTGACGATATTTCTGACTTTCAGAGCAGATCGGAGATGCGGAGTGGTGGGCTGCGTTCGGACCGGAGATTGCCCCTCGGGCGTGCCACTCCCGTGGATGTGTCCGGACCGTAAGTTCTACCTACTGATACCACGTCCGAAGCTATGACGCTGACATGCATCTTGGGCAGACAAATGCTTTGTCGAGGATTGCTACAAGACTAGAGACAAGCTATTTGGCTACTGCCTCGACCATCGATGCCAAGTAGGAAGCTGCTTCGAGAGACGTATACTCAACTCTGAGTTCTGTGTCGATCACCACTCACGGATTTGCCGAGAGCTGAACTGCAGAGAGGTCATATACGCAGACCATCGTTGCTTCAATCATCAACGCTGCATCGTCAAGAATTGCAAATTCCACCGATTCAGACGTCCAGATGGCGGTCTCTGGGACTTTTGCGAATACCGTGAGAAAACCTCTTTCCTTTCTTGAAGTATGTCGAGAAACTGACTCTAAGGCAGACTATGGCGAGTTCCGCTGTACATACAAAGACTGCGACAAGCTGACGATACCCGGCACTCGCTGTTGTGCCATTCACAAGTGCACGTTTGAGGGATGTGTCAACTTCCGAGACAATGAGCTCGATAAGGAGAGAGTCTTTTGTCGAGACCACGGGTGCGGTGCATCGAGGTGCTATGCTGTCGCCGTCGCTATCGACGGAGGCGGCTTTCGTCCCTTTTGCCGGAGGCACACTTGCACAATAGCTGGTTGCAACGAGGTATCTGAGTTCGGTGTTCACTGTCACAAGCATCGATGCCACTGGAAGAGCTGCGAAAAGCCTTGCCTGAAGGAGGGAGAGTACTGCGGTGATCACGAATGCAAGAGAGCCGGTTGTCACAAAATTGCCAAACTGCAGTTCGGCTACTGCGGAGATCATTGCTGCAAGATTGACGGCTGTATCAACTACTGCGACGTTACTGCCGACAGGATATGCTACGAGCACTCGAGAGGCGACCTCTTCGATCGCATCAAACATCTCGAAAAGAAATTGCGAGAACGACAACACGAGCATATTCACGAGCATCACGACCACCACCATCCGCATTTCGACGACACGCAGATTCGGTATGACAAGCTGATCAGAGACTACGACGAGTGCCTCATCAGATTGAACGAAAGCAGAGAGGAGATCCGCATCCTGCGCAGCACCTTTATATCACCAGACGAGAACCGCATCTGGCGAAAGGATCTCGAAGATCGAAACGCTCGACTGTTGCTAGATCTGGACAGGGAATTGAAGAGAAGCGAGCACTGGGAGCGCAAAGCAATTGAGTTCGGCCGGAGAATCGACGATCTCGAGGTTCTGTTGGCAGAGGAGCGACTCCGACATCCAAAGTCGGATGAATACGTTAGACAAATCGCGGATCTCGTACGCAAAGTCGAGATTCTCGAAGATGAGTTGCGCATCGAGCGCAACAACCATCACATTCACGCAGGACGACAGTACGAGATCGAGAAGCTAGTCCGCACTATCGAAGAGCTGGAGCGAAAGCTCAAGGGCGATCACATCAAGGTGGATGAGCTCATCAAAAAGGTTGATCTCCTGCAGTCGATACTCGCTGGCGAGAGAGAGCAAAAGGATATTCTTCTTGCTGAGCTTTCGAAGCGGGATGAGTATGAGAGATTGAGGCGAGATGAGCGCCGTCGACCCAGAAGAGGGAGCTGGGAAAGAAGATCCCGCGACTCGCGGCCTTGGGGCAGTGTCTTTTGAGAAACGGGGACTGAACATGGGATTTTTCTCCAGGCACCAGACTCCTGGGTGACGGTCGCATAACGGGAGATCTCCGAAGTGAGGTTGGATGCGTACGAGACGAGGATGAAAAGAGTCTTCGGTGGCTTTACACGGGATTGAGAGGTAGCTGGAGAGACGTTTATTTGCATTCGGCGTTGGTACTAGGGATCTTTCGGGAAAAGGACATGCGATACCCAAAATTGCCGCCTCAAAGGAACAGGCAATAGTTAGTCATAAAAAAAGTAACAGAGACAGAAAGTCAAGTGTCTTTGAAGTAGCGTCACAATGAGTAGCTGGTTAACACCTCATGGCTTTAAGTTTCAATACGATCTAGGTAACTATGACATATCATGAGTGCTGGTAGCGACCCCCGCCCCCGCGGACGTTGATGTCTTGGAAGTGGCATACACAATGTAGGCTTTCCTTGACCCTCCTAGCAATGTCTGTTTGTGAATTCCTTGATCTTTGCACAATAGGTCTTTTAGCTTCTCCTTGTTCAAAAGTCAAGACTCGATAGTCTGCGACAACAACTCGGTTAAGGCCCTCAAGTGAGAGTGTGTGTGTGCCGATAAAGGAGCAAGTACTCGACCAAGACGTTCAAAGTCGGTCTGCATATTGCCTTTATTGGCATCAGAGTCACTTTGAGAACAATAACATTAAAACTCAACAATGAAAGAAGCTAAATAACAACCGCTTGTGTGAGTATATGAAGGCAACTCGATGTCTTCCATGTTTGTTAGAAAGTCCAGAACATCAACAAACACTTTACAACCATCAGCATCGACTTTACAACTTTCTGCGTCTCCAAAGCCCTCGAGTCATATTTCAATAATCTAAAAGCCCACGAATACCATCATCATGTGTCAACGCCTCAAAATATTCTACTATTGCCCTTGCGGCAACGTTGCCTGTCCGCGTGCTACTGAGCATCCCGCGACGAAAGAAGTTTTCGCCCCAGGCAAGGGACACGTACTAAGCGTCGAGGTCAGGGGTAATTGGTCTCGCTGTTCTCAATGGGTTCGACATGAACCGCGCGAGACCGTTTTTAACCCCTCAGTGAGCTCAGAAGGTCGCTGTCCGCATGCCCGCTGGTTTCACTACTATAATTGCGAGAAGATTTGCGACACCTGCGTTCAAGAACCGGCCAACATCGAAGCTGCAAAGATCGGCTTCGCTTGTCAACAGTGGGGTGACCATCGAGTTGCCGTGCCTCTGCAATACATGCCATCTCACTTGAGAAACGCCCTCTCGCAAGGTAGGGTTGATGCTAACGGGGAACCAGTAGGCCCTCATAACAACAGCGACACCTTCAGCACCGATGCTCAGGCGAGTAGCAGCAGCAGCCAGTCCCAAGCGTCGAGTTCAGGAACTTCCAACAATGGACCAGACATGTTATTGCGACTACGTGAAAAGACTCTAGCAGTCAACAAGATGTATGGAAGCCTGACGTTGCCTCCTCCGAGTTCACCGTACCCAAAAATCATCGGCCTCGAACGTAAAGACAACTATTACACTAACCCTTTCGACGCCGTAGGTTTTGGTGGTAGGATCCGGGATTCGAGTGAGCTCTGGAGTCGCGTGAGTCCGTACGGCTCCGTTGGGGCTGAGATGGACATCTACCGCAACGCCCAACTTACACTACCGCCCACTCCTGAGTTTCTTGGACAAATTTCGGAAACCGTTCAAGCGGCTATGAGGGCATCTGAAGCTCACGGAGGGCAAATGAGGGCTCCCAGCCCCGCTCCCCGCCCTTCTATGAGCCAGGAGGAGCTTTATGCGAGAGGTTTGGCAGACAGCTGGGTACAGAAGCGTCAGGGTCGAAATTAGTAGCGGGTAATATTGTGAGACTAGTTATTGGTTTCGATGTTTCGAACTGTGCACGAAGGATCTGCTCATTGGCTTAAAGTTGTAGTCTTGTAGATGCTGCCTTAGATGTGCTGATATAAGCAGCAGGCGCTTTTTTCTTTGGACCGAGAAAATTTATAGATCGTATCTGTAGGCTCAAGAACTCTTGCATGACTGCAATTCTGTGGCTGAATTTCGGTTGGAAGAATTGGTCTAGGTTTAAGAGTACCTGAGTTGTAATGTTCTAACTTCTATCTTTGCTATCGGCTACCTAGGTATCGTACAAGCGTGATATCTCTCCAAGACTGGCATAAACCCTGTGAGAGTAAAATGTTTGGCTCGATAGCAACTCCCCCTCCATCTGATTCCTTGAGGAAGAGTGCGTTCAGAATTGGGATGCGATGCAGAGATGCAGAAAGACTCAGCATTCATCATCGTGGAACGAGTCATCTGACGATTCGTCCAATGTTCCCGGAAGACGGCTCGGGGCGTCTTTCGAGTCCAAATCGAATGGGTTCTTTCCAAGTACCATCTCCAGGATGATGGCAAATGTTATGAAACCCAAGGCCATCGTCAAAAGTCCAAGCAGTTGAGTTACGAGCCACCCGTAATCTCCGTTAATGGCAACCCAAACCGGGAAGCAGATGAATCCGTAGACGCCACCAACGGACATCGGGGTCAGGAAGAGGACGGCCAAGACTTTCCACCCCACAAGATAAGACCGGTAGCGGTAGGCGAGTGCGGTGGCGAGAAAAACGCCGATGGAGTTGGGAGCCATCCACCACCAGGGGAATCTGTTGATGACAACCAGCGGCTGGTTTCCGTAGTAGTGATAGACTCCCATCGGCAGCAAAATCTCCTCCACAATGAGGTCAGAGACCATCATTAGACCTAAGAAATACCATAGAGTTTTGGTCGAAGTCTTGTTGGTCAAAAGCTGGAAGTTGATCTGCATCAACGAGCCATAACCGAACCAAATTGGTATCCAAGGCGGCATCTCGCGACCAAGGACGTGGAAGGAGGCATTCTTATCAGTCCATGGGTAATAGATGCATCCGAGGACATCAATGAATGTCTCGGGGAACGCAATCATGGCCCCGCTGAGTGGAAGAATCAAAGGCAAAAGAGTGCGTGAGCGTAAGGCATCTCTTGCGCCGAGGAGAACTGCTGAAAGTCCGATTGCCGTCATGAATACCATGCAAATGGTATTGCTGGTCTTGTTGTATGGAAGGTCTGTTGGTGGTCGAGGAAGATCGAAGGCCGGGTCGATGTTCAAGTCCATGCTTCCACGCTTTGGGAGTTTGTGGAAGTATGAGCCGATGAGAGCTACTGCTGTGAGGCCAGCAATACCCAGAATGACCAAACTGCGTGATGGTAACATGTTGAATAGATGAGAGGATTTCATGTCCGAAAACGATTTTAGGAATGGTGGTCTCGACTAAAATCAAGGCGATGTGTGGTGAGAAGGGTGAAGTAATCTTGGACGCAACCCGCAGATCGGGCCTCTTAAATAATTCATATCGAAGTCACCTGATCGTTTAGTATGAGTTGCTTGATACCAACCTTTCTTATGGAATAAAGTGTGTCGAGGTGGAAGTTCTGGGTAAAATAATCTTGGGGCATGAGCTGTTGACAGTTGTTCTTCAACGTCGAAACTCGTCCCCGAGCTTCCCCTTTGGGAAGTATTCACTAAGTAATTCTGCCTGTGCTAACTCATAACAGTGGATAGCAAAGTCGTCGAAACAAAGTGCACTGCCTTGGTGGGCTGAAGAAACAAAACTTCACATGTTCGGAAAACTTACCCGCGTCCAGACATCATACCTTGGAGATATGCAGTCTAACTTTGATGGACATAGCTAATAGAATTGCGACCATTCACCCCCCAGATTCGGGGTCTTACCTATTGCTCGACCTACTGCTTGAGCACATCGGGGGCGGCACGGATACCCTACCCTATATTATGGGAATTACCCTCACTTACATGTTCAAGCATACTTGCATTTCGAACTTGAAGTAATTCACACCCACAGATTAAGCGCTTGACTGGGGCCGGCTTCCCAGAACCACGGATGGCAGCACCAGTTGCGAGATCCAGTCCCGAAATGCGGCGAACTGCATGGTCTGGCCATGCACATGAGCCCACTAGGGACGGCTACGTGCATTCGAGCCCTGCTGGTCCATTCTCCACCTATAGTTGAAGCCGGGCAAGCATTCAATCTCCTGACGGTGCTCCACTTAGTTCGGGCAGCTGATTAGAGCAAACACCGGAGTATTAGCCATGCTGGGTTCAACCAACGACTTTCAGCTTGGCAGAGGGGCCCTTGAATCCTTCGAAATGAGCCCTTTAAAACTGATTGCAGCCCTCTCGTATGACTTGTCTGATTCTTCTTAATGATCACCTGTCACAGAAAGCAACGTCCATGAATGATCGCAGCCTTCTAACATCATGTTTTTGCTAGCGAAGAAGCACACACGCACCTTCAGACTCTCTCTCCTTCTTTCGAACCTCGAGTCTGGTCGTTGATATCGAACATCCAAGAAATGGCATCGTTGCTCACTCTCCCACTAGAGATCTTGCAACAGATCTTGGCCGAAATCGCCGACAGCCCACCAGAATCAACCCCTTTGGAATATTCCGTCCTTTCTTTTAATCCCAAGTCAACCCGGCGAGACATTCCAGCGTTGGCAAGACTCTGCCGGACATGCCGCACCCTCCGTGAGATCGCTGAGCCGGATCTTCATCGGGACATTGACATTTCAAGTGCGAATGTGAAGCAGCTCATGTCACTGTTCAAGTGTTGGAAAGCAAGGCCTCACTGCGCTCACTACACCCGAAGACTCAAAATTGAGGCAACATCACAGATCCACGAAGGGTCTTCACGCCGTGCAACAACACCTCTTATTAGTGAAGATGCCGATTTAGTTTCTGGCATCATACAAGATCTAGCTCTCAAGATACGGCCCGATTGGTACGAGCATTACTGGAACATCAACGTGCTCATGGAAGTAGCCGTGTTACTGGCTCAGAATGCTGAATATGTGGGCTTGTTATTTCAAGACAAACGCGGCATCTATCGACAACCTTTTGATATGATTCCAGAGCCAAACAAGACAGCCAAGCCCCTCGTCTTCAACAACATTCGATGCCTTCACCTGATACAACCAGGCCGCGGTACCATGGACGAGTTCAAGTCCGTTTTGGACTGCGCACGGAACCTCCAAGAACTTCGGCTTGATATTTGCGGCGACCCCACGTCCGTATTCACCCTCCCGCCCAACCTCACCAGTCTCGTTCTATGGCGCACCAACCTAAGCGCACGGCACTTTCAGTCAATGACCTCCAACTTCACCATGCTACGCCATCTGGAGCTTGTTCTAGACGGCTCTTCTCGAGAGGCACTTATTTTGACGGCCATTGCAAAGCATTGCGAAACTTTGACGAGTCTCATATTGTTGTCTGGCAAAACTCTTCCCTTTGCAAAGCTGAAGACCCTCCACAAGCTCGAGTTTCTTACCACAAGCGTCGAGACTGTCCAACCCGGAGATTTGTTGGGCTCGCTCCCCTCTTCCTTACGTGAGTTACGCATCTTGGAAGAAACGGATGGCGGAACTACGCAGGACCCTCGGGCATGGTTCAAAGAATTCCACGCCGACTTGGATGTACGAGCGGGAAACCTGCCTAAGAGCATGGCCATCTGGAAGATTTTCCATTATCGTAGGATTGACGAGGCGTCTACTCTCACTTGCTGCAACTGGGATCATAGATTTTGGCGGAAGATGATGTGAACACATGCAAGCAGTGGCAGCCAATATCATTCTAGACTCTAGTCCTAGCAACTTCTACTCGCCGCAGTCCGTAGTATATAAATCACCGATTCTTAGCACATAAGAGAAGAGATGCTGACAGCCCAAGAACCTGTTCCTAGAATATGTGCAGTTACATATAAAACCTGAGAAGAATCATGGTAAGAATCGCGGGGAACGGGATGACGGTAAAATAATGCTTAGTCATCATTCGTGAGCACCATCCCAGAAGCTGTTCCGCTGAATCGTCTTGGTCCCTTCATCAAACCAAACCATCAACCACCGATACAGGCGGGTCGAGTAGACCATGCCGCCTGCATCAGACCTTGTAGATGCTAGCCACGAAAATGAGAATCCCATCAATCTCAGGTCTCCGCGCAAGCCGCGACGGGCTGGCATTTGGGCTCTCCTCGCACTAGTGCTCCTGGTCAATCTCGCCGCCAGCCTCTACCAGCTTCCCCTCAGCAGAGTCATTGAACGACGCCTCTGCCGCGAGCACTACGCAGTCACAGATCCTTCGGTGATCGACCGAGATGGAAACATCGCAGAGGGTCTCTGCAAGGTGGACGATGTTCAGCAGGGCCTTGCCTGGATCCAAGGGACTATGGAGACGGCGTGGATCGTGGGTGGTAAGCGCGCGGAATCTCACTGAGAGGCGCTCGCTCCTCGACTGACACCATGTTAGACTTCATCATGACGATTCCCTTGGGCTTTCTTGCGGAAAAGTACGGTCGGCGGTTCATCTTATGCCTCAATCTCGTGCCCCGCATCATCTTGTTGGCGTGGGCCGTTATCGTGGGCTACTTCGAGCAGACCTTGCCGACCAAGGCCATGATCGCATCACCATTCTTCTCGGTGCTGGGCGGTGATTGTGTCTTCAACTCAATCACATACGCCATCGCTTCCAATATGACAGACGACCATGTCTTACGGTGAGTAGACCGCAACCTGGCATCGCACATCACTTAACTGACGGAGACGATAAGGGCAACGTATTTCGGATGGATGAGCTCTGTGTCTTATGTCGTCAACCTGCTTGGCCCAGCTCTCGCATCGGCATCTATGAGCCTTCTTCTCTGGCTTCCGTTCTGGATCGGAATCGGCCTCCTTCTTCTGGCTTACCCCGCTGTTTCCCTCTTGGACGAATCGCCTGACAGCCACCATGACGCGGACGACCAAGCGAGACCTCTCCTCTCGTCTCCTGTCCTAAAAGCGCAAGACGCCGACTCATCCCTCCTGAGATCCATCTTCCAGCGCTTCGGCGTCTTGAGGTCCATCATCGCAAGTTATCCTCGCAACATGACTCTCCTCCTCATCAGCTTCGTCCTCACCTCGCTCGCGAGCTCGGACACGAAACTGCTTGTGCAATACATCTCGAAACGCTATCACTGGACCTTCGCGTCAACGGGCTATCTGCTCTCCGCCAAAGCTGTCGTCAACTTCACGCTCTTGACGGTCATCATCCCCGCCATCCTACGATCGAGACAGAACAGGTCACGGCACATCCCGCCCGAGCTGGCCAGTCACCGGATGAACATACACTACGCCAACATCTGCTTGGTCGTCTCTATCCTCGGCGCTCTCGCGATTGCCGTAGCGACCCGGATCTGGATGATGGTACCCTCGCTGTTTCTTTACGCTCTCGGCTCGGCGCTGCCGGTGTTCACGCTGTCACTACTCAAGTCTCCCTTCATCTCACCAAAGCGACACGACCAGCCAGCCAACTCTGCGGATCCGGAGTCACACATCTTCTCAATTGTGATGATGGTCAAGACATCAGGATCGCTTCTAGGTGCACCGCTGATGATGGTCTTATGGGTGAAGAGCATATCTATCGGTGGCGCAGCTCTAGGCATCCCGTATCTTGTTTCAGCCAGTTGCTATCTTGCTGCGTTGCTCGTCTTAGGTCGTATTACAACGGAGTAGCGGCATCTTCTTAGAAATAGAGTTGACATAGCTCAACAGCTCGGTTTTGCACCAGGTCCTCAATATAGATGGAATGGAACTTGTAGTCGCAAGACTTTCTCCTTCGATCACGCGCAAGCAAGACGAATAGTATGGTGGGAATTCTGCGAGGGAGGAGAGACATGACATACGTACACCTGAAACCATCGGCCTGGAGAACACGCAAGCCCTCGACCCCCGGATGCAACCCACCACAACTTATCTGTCAACGACAAGATTTCTGGTTCGGGCCTCCAACTAAACGCGGCCTATATGAGCTCGAGCTGTCGTAGGCAACAGGGAACACGGACTATGAACAATCACAGTGAAATAGCTGTCATATGCCTACACAGCGAAGGCTTCGGGGCAGCTCTGGTCCATGACCAGCACTGCCAAGATTCCATCACCTCATTATTTACAACTTCATTTACCGATAAATCTGGCAAGCTTCTAAGCACAAAATATTCGACCGACCGATCGGCCGGCCACCGTGGAGACCGCGGAACCCGTGGGCTCTCCGGCACCAGACCGCTCTAGCTCCGGACTATCGGCCGCAATACTGGGGTTCGTGACTCCGTCGACCGACCGGGCGTGAACCACATTCTAGAGATGTTAACAACGACCCTTATTGCGCAACCGAACCATCTGAACTTGAGGGTACCTCTGATCAGAGCTACACGAATGGTGAGGTGATGTCTTGAACCTGCAAGCACCCTGCAGGCCAAGGAACGCAGTCCACGCCGTGTTGGTTCCGCAACCCCTGTCACCTCAAGCGGGGGACTTTGGGTGTACTCACTGATTTCTGCTTGCATGCGTACTTGTGGTTCACTCAAATAGATCAAACAATGGCATCCGAGACATGGGTCTCGATCCTTCCTTGCTTACTCTTCATGTCTTGCTCCTCTCACTTCCTCGCGTTCGTCCCATGGTTCTGTGACCGGCCTACTTAGACTCCCATCATCCCATCATGTTGCGCTCTAAGATAACAAAAGCAACCGCTCTCGCACATCTCCGACCAACATCAAGTATCCCACTGCGTCGCTACCCCCCAATTTTCCAACCAAAACGCCTCCTCTTAGAGAATAGACCCTCCACGCCAGACGAACAAGTTGATCTCCTCATAATCGGCTCCGGCGCAGACGATCTAACAGCAGCCCTCCGCGCCAGAACCCTCGGCCTCAACCCAGTCATCATCGAAAAGGAAGCAACACTGGGCGGCGCGTCCGTCATCTCAGGTGGCGCGGTCTCTGGATCTCAGCAAACCCGATATCCCAAGGTGCAGGCATAGCCGACTCCAAGGAAGATGCCCTTGCGTACTTTGATCAAGCTGTCGGGGACGTCAGGCCCGTCTCGTCGCTGGCGAAGCGGAAGGCGTATTTGGATAATGGGCCACGGACGGTTAGCTTTCTGAGGGATCTTGGGTTTGAATGGAGGTTTAGTAGGGGGTATCCGGATTACTACCCCAAGATGAAGGGCGCCATGGGGAAAGGAGGCGGGAGGACTATTGAGTCTATGGCTTTTGATACCAGGAAGCTGGGGAAATGGCAAAATGCACTACCGCCTGCGAATATACCGGTAGCAATCCACGGTGAACTGGCGCCATGGATCACGATGATGACAGCCTCGTTACAAGCTTTCATCAAATCGACTCGCATCATGCTACCCATCATCGGCAAAACCATTCTCGGACAGAAAATCGTCAGCCTAGGCCGCGGACTCATCGCCCAGCTTCTACATCTCAATATCAAACACTCAACCGACATCCGTCTACGCACATCCCTCCTGGACCTCACACTCTCCCAAGCAGGAAAGGTAACAGGCGCAAAGGTCAAACTCCCCGACGGAACCACCAAAACCATCACAGCCTCCCGCGGCGTGATCCTCGCAGCAGGCGGCTTCGCGCACAACACACTCCTCCGCGAAAAGTACGGTCCAACCCCAGCCAGCACGGCATGGACCAACTCTCCCAAGAGCGACACAGGCGACGCGGTCATTGCAGGACAGAAGCTAGGCGCAGCGACGGCGTTAATGGACGATGCGTGGTGGGGACCGACAATCTTCGATCTCGTGACGGGGAAACCTCACTTTGCGCTTACAGAGCGGTATCGACCGCACTGTATCATTGTCGATGCCGCAGGGAAGAGGTTCATGAATGAGGCGCAGCCGTATACAGATGCTGGACACGACCAATACGAGAGGAATAAGTCTGTGAAGGCTATTCCTGCTTGGTCGATCATGGATACCAACCACCGGAACAGATACATGCTCGGCACCCAGCTGTTCGCAAGGATGAAGCCTAAAAAGCCGGTTGCGAATGGTACCATGTTCGCGGCAAACACCCTCAGAGACTTGGCGCAGCAGATTGGAATCGACGCTGAAGGTCTGGAAGGTACCGTCACGAGGTACAATGACATGTGCAAGACAGGCGTCGATGCAGACTTTGGAAAAGGCGACAACGCATATGATAACTTCTTTGGTGATCCTGCCGCTGGCGGACCGAACCCCAACATGGGAGCTTTGGGCAAAGCACCGTTCTATGCTATCGCGATCTGGCCGGGTGATTTGGGAACCAAGGGGGGGACTGCTGACTGATGAGCACCAGAGGGTACTGAGGGAGGACGGCGAGGTGATTCCTGGGTTATATGCTATTGGCAATACGGCAACGAGCATCATGGGGCGGACTTATCTGGGTGCTGGATCAACTTTGGGTCCTGCAATGACGCATGGCTTCCTTGCTGTCAATCACATCGCCGAAACCTGAAAGTCTGACTCTAGTCCACGGAATCGTGTTTGCTACGTGAATGTTACTCATGCGGGAGTGGCTTCCAGCGTCAATCGTTGTGAAGTTGAGGGAAATCGGTGCGTGATGATACACATGTGTCTACAGGACTGAAGTGAGGTGAGAGCATGCGCAACAGGAACAGAGTGGGTTGTATTTAATCATCAATATCATATATATATGTTGTCAAGTCTGAAACTCTTGTGATTTAAACAAAGCAATCGTCTATGATTGCATGATCTCGCTTGCAATGTCAACACCTGCCACGCTATTCATCGACCTTTAAGTCACTCATGAATTTCAATAAACGACACCAAGAAAATAGTGCGAAAAATCTACAGGGACACTTCTACTCTACGCCATGCTCTACGCTCGTGTACGTCGTCAGTCCGTACCGCTCTAATAGGGTCTAGCACAACTCTTTATGTGAGTCTAACGGGGTCGCTTCCGGGGTAGCAACGACATCTGGTGTCGAAGTCCCGGAGTGTAACTTGTCGTAATCGGTTGAGTCGACACTGTTCTTGTCCGACTTCTCCGACTTGGAGTCTTCGTTCGTCTCATCTTTCTCGTCTTTGATGTCATCTCTCGCTTCTTCTGTCTTCTCAGTCGTGGATGCATCGACATCAGGCTTCGCAGCTTCTGCGTTGTCAGACTCAAGCCTCTCGCGTTCTCCGCCCGCGTTTACTTGGGCGTTGTCAATGTCGGCTTCTCCTTTCTTGCCCATACCACCCTCGAGAAGCTCGCCGCCTTCCATGACGACGCGGACTTCAAGGTCCTCGTCCATGGAGTAGACGCGCACTCCTACAATGCAGATGGCGTTCCAGGGGTCAGGTAGACCCTCCTCTTCAGATTCGTAACGCTCGTCATGTCTTTTGGGCGGCCCTGCAGGAGTAAGGCGTGGCTTTCTGACCATGTCATCGTCACTGTACAACTCTTCCCAGTCTTCGATGGGCGAGTCGGATGAATCGCCATCTGAGTCGTAAGACGTCTGCGCCGGCGGTGCGGGAGCAGGGGCGGGTTTGGCTGCAGGCTCTTCGCCGGCGGCGTCCTCCTTGACTTCGTCTTTGGACTCTTCCTTGGACTCTTCCTTGGACCCTTCCTTGGACCCTTCCTTGGACTCCTCCTTGGATTCCTCCTTAGACTCATCCGGTGTATCTGACTTGGACGTCTCCTTCGGTTCCTCGTTAGAGTCGCCTTCAGCAACTCCCTTGGTTGTGTCAGCGGCTGTCACCTTGTCCTTGGCAACTTCCGTCTGGACGGCTTGATCCTTGGCCTTCTCTGCATCCATCTTCTTCTTCGCCTCGGCCTCTTCCATCACTTTCACTTCTTCGGCAATCTTGGCTTCCGCAGCGGCCTTTGCGTCGAGGTCAGCCTTGACCTTGGCTGCTTCCGCCTTCTTGGCAAGCTTGCGGTCGCGCTTCTCGTTATTCTTCTTGGTCTGCTGCTTGGTGACTTCGCGGTTGATGCGACGTCTCTCCCAGAGCTTGCGGCGCTCCTTCTGGCGAGACTCAGAGGCTCTCTGCTGCTCCTTCATCCTTCGTAATCTGGCAACCTCTTGGAGATGGGCAGTACCCTTGCTGTGCGCGAAGTCATATGCGGCACCAATTTGCGCCAGCTTGTCGTTCTCTACCCGCTTCTTGCACTCTCGCTTGACAACATCCTCGACAGAGGAGATTCTGGTGTCTCTCTCACCAGTGACGCTCATGAAGATGCTGTACTCCCCAGCTGGCATGTCTGGCAACTCGATGGAGACGGATCGGTCCATGAGATAGTTGCCGTGGGAGCGGACGATGTAGTCCTCAGCGCCAGGGCGGTCTCGCTCGTGAATACGGAAGTGGATGCGGAAAGAGTACTGGCCTTGAAGTCCCTTGAAGTATCGTGTGTCAAGTTGAGTAAGAACAAGAACTAGCGGCCCGTCCTTGGATAACTTGACCTGGAATTTCTCGTTGAACTGCGACTTCCAGGGGACCTCGACCCCGATCCAGCGTTGAGCGCATCTCCAAGCGGGGTCACGGAAGAGCCTGGTTCTGTCAATGTGTTGGAATTTGCGCAAGAAATCGTCGTAGTTGATCCAGAAGACAGAGTCGTTGCCAAAATGGTGGCCAAGCTCCTCCTGTACTTCCATGGTCCATTCTTTGGAGCCATCAGACCACGCGCCCTCCCACACGCCCTTGCGGATCTTGCCCCAAGGGTTGCGAAGCTTAATCAGACGCTCTCCGGATTTAAGCGTCCTAGTTTCCATAATAACGTATGCATGGCCTTCCGAGATGCCATTTCGCTCGCCATACCCTCCGTCAAGGAGACCGGTAGAGCAGCCGAAGAGGAACTCCTCGTTGACTTTGGCAAGTTCGTTCTCCCAGAAGCCCTCAAGGTCGAGGATATCCGAGGTAAGCAGTTCGGTGGTGACACCACCCGAGAGATCTTCCAACCCCTCGCCGATCCAGCCACCCGCCAACGATGCGAAGTCACCGTGAGCCTTGGCGTAAGCCTTCTCGATCAACGGCACCCACGTCTCGTTCTGGTCCTTGCACTGAGCAAAGAACAAGGCCTTGGATCCGGTCTGATAGGTCTTGCGATAGACACGCTCAACGTCCTCTCGGTCAATTTGCTGGAGGAGATCTCGTTGCATGCTAGGCGAATCCCAGCAAGGAGACTTGAGATACAGCTTGTCGTCGATAATGGAGTAAATCCACTCGCCATCGCGATAGAAGACGAAACCGTAAATGCCAATGCGAGTATCGTACTCGACGCAGATGCGTTGAATACCGCCCTCGACGTTAGCAAGGGCGGTCAGCGTCGCCATCAACCAGCAGTCTCCGAGGCTCCCCTGTTTCACGTCTCCGCCATTGACGTTCTTTAAGAAAGTTGGCTTCTCAAAGATTTCGTGAACACGCTTTACTGCCTTGGGGACAGATGCGCTTGGGTTGGAGAGAGTGGTTCTGGAAAGCTGCCATTTGGTGTGGCCGAGGGTGTTGAGACAGTGACCCTTTTCCCACTTCAAATCCCAGTCCTGGAGGGCTTGTTAGTTCCCAAAAGCTCGAAGTCGCAAGCAACTGAGTTGTAGGTAACTCACCAAATCCCAACCAGGGTCCCGATACCGCATGTTGACTCTGCGGCATTCTTGGATAATCTTCTTTACTTTCCGGCGGCACTCCTCGACAGCTCGCTCGTATCCAGCACTTAACAACTCGTTGGGCTTCTCTGAGCTCGCTGGCGGTAGAACAGGGTCGAAGGGTAGCACAGCCAAAGCCTTGTTGAACTTCTTGTCCTGAAACTTCTTCCAAATATGGTTGATAGAAGGCTGCGGAGGCGTCTTCTTCTTCTTGACCTTCTTCTTATCGGTGGTACTGGTCGATGCTGGCACAGGACGCGGGCGACGAGGGTCGTTCGACTCCTCTGAAGAGCTGTAGCCGTGCATGGCGAGGATGCGGTATAATAGACACGGAAGCTCGAGAATTAGGCAGTGTCGAAGGTCTAAGGAATCACAACGGACGAAGACGAGGTAGGTGGATGGCGGGAGCTGTGCAGTAGTTTTCTATAACTGCCAGCGTGCAGAAAAGGTCCCGGGCTTATTGTTGTACACGGGTCAGTTATGGCAAGATTGGGCGAAAGAAGGGCGGTCTAATGCCGTGGCACAGACAGACGACCGACTCAGGGAAAAGTGATACGTTGAAGAAGGGATATGGAGGGTATCTTTAGAGGGCATAGACGAGCACGAGTCGTAGATGGAAGAGAAGGCTGGTTATAAGGGTACAAAAGGCGGAGGGAGAGGGCACAGTGTAGACGAAGGAGGGCCTACCTGGCCGTTGAGTCGCAGAGCTGGGTTCTTCCAACAAGTGCTTGGCAGCCTCGCCAGAATTATTGGACGATCTGACAATCATGAGTCGAGGCCGGGGCCGTGACCGGGATGATGGAGGTGGAGGGTGACTCGCACACGCTGCTACGAGGCAGCCAAGGCGTCGAGTCGGAAGTCGAGGAACCACCTATGTCGTGGCCTATTGGCCTGGAGAGGTTGGCGGCATCAAGGGCCCCGGTAAAGGACAAGCAGGCCGGCGTGGCTGATGGCGATTGTCGTGATTGCTTCCCCCGGTTTCCCCGTATCACTCAATGCGTTCATCCTTGGGGGAGGTCGAGCACCGGGCTTTGGGTGGGGCAAGGGTCTCTTGGCGTCGAGCCGGTCGATTTCAGGGTTCCAGAAGGCAGTTCTTCGGATCGAAGGGTGTCAGAAACATGTTCCAAGAGGACAGAGTCAGACGGGAGTTGCGTGATGGTCTTGAACGGGACAAAGAACGGCGCGCACGGCTTGTGGTTGAGAAGTTGAGGTGGAGGGAAGAAACGGAGACTCGGGAGAGACGGGTGGAGAGAGGTACCGGCACAGCTTATGTGATGTGGAAAGGTACATGGATACGTACACTGGACCCCCAGTGGTGTCATGCACTGCACTTCCGGGGACACTGCAGAGGCGTTAGCGCCACGGGTGGGAGCCTTCAGCGCCGTGGCACCCAGCGATAAGACTTTAGTTGGTAACTTCAGGGCCTCGGTGCCTATGCAGCAGACCTGATTGGCTCAGCTTCCCTTCTGATACCGATAAGGCCGCCCAGGCGAGGCGGGTAAGGTTCCTAATCGTCCCAAGGACCCAACCGTCGCCCGAAATGGACGAGGCACCGTTGGTGTCTTTCGCTTTTGTTCCTTCGCTCTTCTGTCCGATCTTTTTCCTCCTAGAAGCAATTCACAAAGTAGCGTACGACTTATCAATCATCGACCCATTCCGTTTTCCACCCGTTCTACTCGCTTTGTCCATCTATTGCGTACGGTATATCTACTTCCGATATTCGAACATTGACCTTTTCTTCAACACCACTCGTGGTATGGTGGCACACATCTCCCCGGCAGGCAATGATACACTACACAAAAGGCTCCCTGATAGACGGCTTAGGCAACGACGCCACTTGACCTGGTCGACAAGCAGGCCGGCTTGTCAGCACAGCCAGACTTTCTTCATTTATGAATCAGGCTGCCTCTTGATAACCCCGCGATGTACGACAATTGCAAAGAGGCTCAGCTTCAGCTGTACGCAAGCGACCCTGCAAACGCGTCCCGTACAGAATATCTGGATGCTGTCACACTCTCGTATACCACATCTGGACGACGTTGCAGCAATCGGCGCTTGCCAGAACCTTAATCATCCCGCAATTAATCAGATTCATCTCGACCTTTTTCCACCTCAACCCGCACGTTGCGATGCCCCGAGAAACCTACAAAGATTCCTCTCTTGTCTCGAAACCTCAAGGAGCTAGACCCTGGCCGTTTCTACCCCGACTTTGGACGGATAAAGATAGGTCTTCACAGCACGATAACCAAGATACCTTCAGCCTGCCCCCGACCAACACGCCCGCCTACCGCATCCGCTCTAGGCCCACATTGCCACTAGTGGACGTTGCTGAATTTCTGAGCTTGCGGCAGTGCAGGGGAGGGCACCAAGTCACCCATGCACGAAGCGCGACGAACGACGAGGATTGATAACGGAATCCGGGGGTGCCCAGGCGAAGACGAGATGTGATACCTATCGTTCAAGGTCATGCAGCATTGCCAGCCTCCCGTACGAGACCACTAAACCGGCATGAGAAGTTGTTGGACTGTGATGTTCACGCATTGTAACATTCTATGGATACAAACGCACAATGCAGGAGGTGGCAAGGGGCATGTTCCTCCACTAAATCTGTCCCAGTCCACCTCAAATCACTTGTCACAAGAAGCAACCGACAAGATCCAAGCATGTCAGCAATCACAGTGTGCTGCATTGCAGCACTGCGCGGTGCGTGGTGCGAGGAGCTGTCTCGTCCAGGCTTCAACAAGGTTCGCGGCCTCAGAAATCTGGCTTCCGCCTTATTTGACATGGCTTCGTCCAATCCGTCCTGTGCTGGGCGAGAACTGGGAGACACTGCATGAGTCCGAGCCGAAGTTGTTTTCCAAGTCCCGCCCAACGCCGGCTCCGGCGTCCCGTCCGTTCTAGCCCAAAGCGATGCGCTGCATGCTTGAGAAGCACTTGAGCGATGTCGACAGCTCATCTTCAATAGTCACCAAGCGACCGTTCATGAGATTCGATGTTGGTCAGCCTGCCAATATTTCTCGCGAGGTCATGCACCGTGGCACCCTCGCCTCTCTGCCGTGCCGCTCTTTAGCAGCAGATCCGTATGGGGGCCTCATTATTGTGGGAACAGCGCACCTTGTAACTGGGCCACTGGCAAGGCGATCCCCTATCTCAACGTACGAATACTCAGGTAGACCGTAGAGCTACTCAAGACACATAGAGCGATACAGCGGCCAAGGACATCAGATGAGACCACCAAGGACCCAGACTGATTCGTGTCACTCTAGACAGGCATGAACGGGAAAACGGAAGGCAGAAACTGCAACCAAAGACAGAGAGAAAAGGGGACCAAGGAACTAACACACCCCTAACCAGTCAGTGCCAGCCACTTCTGGACGAGGACCCTCGTGCCTGAGTCGGTGTGGATGGACCCTGATCATCCCAAGCACCGGAAACGCGCCAGTGGCGACAAGGCCCTGGCCGAGCTACGGAATAGCCGTTCCGAGTATGTTGAGAACTTGAGACACCGAGGAAAAGGATTGAATTACTAACGGTTTTCACGCGTATCGTGGCAGCGTAGTACCGAACTTGACGCCAAAGAACGTTGCAATAGAGGATGGGAGGTATGTGTCTACTTGCACACCGACTCGATGGCTTCGGATACTTGCCGCTTTGGGTCAAGGTCTGGACCGAGGCCCCCCTTGTCGGACCACGTCCGTTGCCTCACCGACTTCACCGTTCCCTCCGATCCCGCAGTCCCATCCTCTTCTGGCGTTCCCACGTTCCCGCCTGCCATCGTGCCATCCAAGCAGGTCTTCTGCACGATATGATCTCGGACCTGCGTCCGCTTCTCCATCATTAATTCGATGAACTGTGTATCTGTATCCGTGATGAGGTGCTCTGTTTCGGCCATGCTGGGCATTCCCCCACTCACGGATACAACTGGGTCCTAAAGACTTCGACCCAGAACATCCAACTTGTGTTTCCCTCCCTAGCCCGTGGACTCGTTCATGCTGTGCGTACTATAACGATGGTAGACACTATGGGATAATTAGGGATAGCGACCGATATTTGTTGTTGTCTATTGAGACGATGAAGTTCAGTGAGAAGCACCAGCTTCAATGTAGCCACTGCTGCAGATGCCTACTAAGTATGTTGGATTATAACGAGATGACCAACATCGTCCATCAATTTAGGTCCACAAAGTTTCCAGCAAAGAATGACTCAGTCTAACTCATCTAGGGGTTCTCCATAGGTAAGTAGTCACTTCCAATTAGATGCCGTAGACACATGGCTGCGAAAGGAATACCAGTCTTTCTCCCGACTCAATAGAGTCTTGAACAAACCCCACATAAGCAAGTCGTTCGTCCCCGGGCTTGTTCCTGTTGATCTCTCTCAAGTTTCTTGCCGTTATTGATGCCCAGAGCTGTAGGTGTTGAGACGCTCATCCAGGTATAGGGCTGAGTCTTCTCACGTGGACTTACCCCTGGATGGCTGAAGTATGTTCAGGTAAGTTCAACTTGTACGCCACAACCACTGCCGATGGTAACGTTCGTATCTTTCTCCGGTAACATGGTCTGAGCCGTGGAACCCTGTTTGACGCATATCTGGGTGGTTGTCTACTGGTTTGCTGGACATCCGCATCCTGTTAAAACCCAACTTTTTCACTGATGCATGAGTTTGCTCCAAGACTCTTTGCTCCATGAAAGCTATTGCTATACGGCGTTGATATAATTAGCTTCAGTGACAGAGGTACCGAACTTTCTGTACCGATCAAATTGGGCATCATATGGGTTGCCTTCCATAGCTCGTCTCAGTACTCCCCAGAATGTCGTGTTTGGGCCAGTACCTGACTACCTGAAAGTGACAAACTGCCACCTCTCTTGCCTCGCAAAATCTTGATCTTTCCCAGCCAAGAGCTAGCGCATCACCCTACCATAAGAAGGGTTCACGATGCTCCGGTATATCGTTCATCTAGTCATCGGAGATAGGCTCGCAATGTTCCCGTGTATCCCCCACGTCTTCACGACAAGACGGCAGGTTGTTTACGACCCCCTGAGCTCGAAAGTATATGTTTTCAAGTTATCGGAGATTGGGTTCTTGGATTCTTGTAATCTCATCCTCCTCTCCTCTCCAGGGCCAAAAGACAGCATCTTCCTTCTCATCCAACGATCCATTCTTCCAACAGAAGACACAACACCGTTAAGCACACAAACACATCCTCGCTCTTGCCCATGCCCTCACAACCACTCCCTCTTAACTATACCCTTACCCCCTCTCTCTCTATCTATTCCACGATGAATAACCACACGGAAGCCGAAGAAAACCCTAGACGGCGGGCTTTCCGACGTGCGGTTATAGCAAACATCAATCGCAGCACTGCTCTGAGACAGCAACGTCATATAAGAGAGCAGCAGATACAGGAGAGGGAGAGGCAGCAGCTGCAGAGATGGGAGAGGCAGAATTGGAGAACCACTGCCGCTCCTGCCCAGGTGGTTCATAACCAACAAGAAGTCATCCGGCCGACCCCAGTTGCCTCTGACGGCAGCTCTGGACCTAGCCTCATCGGAAACCTGAAGAAAGTAGCCGAGGCTACTCCCAACGTAGCCTTCGAATACCCCATCTCGTCCTGGACCATCCTGTCGTTCGACTTGAACTACGACCCTACCCAAGCGAAAGGAAAACAGCCCGAGATCGAGCCACGGGTCGCCTCGTCCAGCAACTCCAAGGGAAAACAGCCTCAGCAGCCACGTCACAACATTAATCAGTGGCTCGATGGAAGGCCTCGCCCAGCTCTGGACCCCCGTGCTGACGAGTGGCTGCCCTTGATCCGCACGGTGGATCAGGATAATCAGCCATTGGATAGGCCCAATAAACGGAGCTCATCCTACGACAGTGACAGCCTCGGCGACTGGCCAGACTCGGACGGATACCAGTCCAAACGGCGCTCCTGGCTCGAGTCGGAAGTTGAATCGAGAGATGGATCTCCCGTTGCAGAATGGCAACTTTGGTCCCCTGACTTCGATAACCTTGATGTGAGGTCAGACGAGGGGCAGGGCTCCGGAGAGGGCAAACAGCCCGATGAGGGCAACGACCTCAACGAGGGCAAAGACTCTGACAAGAACGAAGAGTCCAACAAGGGGAAAGACTCCAAGAAGGGAGAAGAGTCCGACACCGAGGACTTGAAACCTCACTACATCACACCGGTTGACTCAAGGGACGGAACCCCCGTCAACCCACTAGCTCGAGTCCCATTACTGGATCGTGGCCCGAGTATCCGGCTCCAAAAAGCACTGGCAGAAGACCAAGACGCTCCCAGGAAGCCGATCTGCGATCTCTTCGGCTCCAGCGAACCGCTCCCACCTGCCACCCAGAACGGCCTTCTTAAGGCGGCTGAATGGGCGGGCGTCTGTCGTAGCGAGGTACGCGAGCCTTCTATGCAAGCAAAGATGGCGATGTTGGGACCGGAGAGGTCTGTGAGTGAGATGGAGCTGGAATGGAGCCTTTGGGCAGGGCTAAAGAGGCCTAGGAAGAAGCCTGCTTACTTGCCTCGGCTCGAGGAGAAGCACGAAGAGGAGTTTCCTTCCGCATTAAGGCGCGAACAAAGACGCTTGATGAGATTCGTTGGTCCCTCCTCGGTGGAAGGGGTGGCGAAAGCTCTCGAGAAACGCCTGGCAGAGGTCGTGGCGGAGCGTCAGAGGGAATGGTGGAATGGATTACTTCAACGCTCCGATGCCCGTGCGCATCAGCTTGCCCAAGAAGCCGCCGAGGCTCGGTCCTCTTGTCGTCTGCACGCGTGGGTGACTACGATTGCTGATATTGCTGTTCCTGCTGGAGGTTGTAGCCCAAAGGCATGGTGGAGGCTCTAGGCTGACATCTGGGCAAGATGACGGGCAGGGCCAGGACGGGCGGCATGGGCGGCTCGAGCCACGCGCAGCCGCAAGTACGGAGGAAGAATAGCATTCATATTGATGGCGAGCAGGAGCATTATACACGCACAAGGCAAACATTGGCAGACACGAAGTGCTTCCCATCCAAATAGGAAGATTGGGGATATGCGCCGCCTGTATTAGTCGATCTATATAAGAACCTTAGATTGTAATGCCATGCAATGACCCATCATACAGTAGTTGATCTTGTATCTTGACTCTCGACATGCGTGAACCCATCTACAGTCTAATCAATCCCTTCCGCCATGCGGATACTCAGAAGAATCGGAAAGTCTACGCCTGCACATCGCTCTCAGTCGTCACAGCATCCTTCTTCACGCTAGGCTGGCGAGGCTCAACAGCACCATAACTCGGCCCCTCACCCGCTCCCAGCCCCCTCTCCTCTTCAGGCACGAGCACAGCCCTCTCCTGGTTCTTCTTGTCGATGCTCCTCCTCCAAGGTCGGTACACCACCACCGAACCGAGCCCGACAACGACAAAGAGACCGCAGATGCTGCCGCCAATGATGTCAAAGTGCTCTCCGATTGCGTCGACGCCGTCCCAGAAGCTGCCTTCGGGCTCGGCGACATTGGCGATGAGAGACAGGACCTGGATGATTCCGATAAAGGCTGAGACGAAGACGGTGATGCCGGTGAGTACGATGGAGTAGTAGAGGATAGCGACGCGGTCGCGCGAGAAGGCCTTTGACGTGTAGAGGGCCATCATCAGGGCGCCGTCCGTGGTGTCGAGGAGGCACATGCCGGCTGTGAAAGGTCAGTGAATGCACATGAGATGTGCTTTGCAAACTCACCTGTAAAAAGGACGGGAAAGATGAGAATAAGCCAGATGCTCGTTCCCTGCGCCCCATGCACACTCGACAACCCAAGAATAGCAATCTCCGAACTCGTATCAAAGCCTAATCCGAACAGAATTCCCAGAGGAAACATCTTCCAAGGCCTGTCAACAACACGAAACACCTTTCTAAACACATTCGCCAGGAAGCCTTCCCCTTCCAACGTGAGATTCGTCGCCGCGTCCCCCTCGTCTTCCTCGGTAGGCGTGTACCCCTCCATCCCGCGCCGCCTCTCCTCCTCCAGCACAACTTTCAGTCTCCGGATGAGCTTATACAGAACCCACCCGTTTCCTGCACACAGAAGCAACAGGAACGCCGCGCTGACGCTTGTACCGATTATGTTCCCCACGCGCGTGAAGCCGTCGAAGCGGTCCCGCAGCGCGCCGCTCGTGGCAGCTACGACGACGCAGGTGACGATAACGATTGTGCTGTGGCCCAGGGAGAAGAAGGTTCCCACTGTGACGGGCCGCTGGCTGGAGGCGATGAGGCGGCGGGTCATGAGGTCGATGGCGGATATGTGGTCTGCGTCGAGGGCGTGGCGGAGGCCGAGGACGTAGGAGAGGGCTGCGGGGGAGATGAGGGAGGGGTGGAAGTGTAGGATGATGCCGGCGACGATCCATATTATGATGTTTATTATTACGAGGAGGGCGATGATGCGTATTGTTGGTGCCGGGAGGACGCGGAGGGCTGGTGGGATGGGGAGGTTCGCGAAGGGGACGCGGAAGCGCGCCATCGTGGTGGTTGGTGGTGGTGTGAGGCAAGCTACGTGGTGTGTGTGGTCTTGGGCATGGACAGTTGTAAGATTTTCAAAACATTCTGTGACTTGTAAAGATAGAGGTCAAAACTGATAGAAAGATGAGATGGAAGGTTGTGAAGAGGTTGAATTTGAGACGGAGTGCCCAGCCGGCGGGAAACAGCTTGTGGACGGGCGGCCCTCCGGCCCCTCAGATCCCCCACCCTTTGTACCCTCACAGCACATTGAGCATCGATTATTGAGCTAGAAAAGGCAAGTAGTGGACGACTCGAAGATAGCGTGGAAATACTTGCTCACAGCGGCATCGAGACGGGCACGACGCGGCAGCAGATTTGTCTCATGGCTGCGCGAGTGACCGGCGGGACCCCTCACGACCCCTCCATCTTTCACGCGTTATCTTATCGGTCATGCGGGGGGGGGCGTTTTTGTACGGGGTCGCTCCGAGCCGACGGCGGCGCCGCCGGCCGTTATCCCGGACGAGGTTGCTTAAGTACTTTCTAAGTTACTTAGGTCCTTGAGCATCTCTTTGCGATATATAGTGTCCTTATCAAGAAACATCAAGAGGTCGACTCGATTCATATGCAAGATGATTTGGCCGCTTGGCTGTAACGGTAGAATCGAGTCTTTGGTGGGATTCATTTAGATCTAGATGAGAAAACTGGAACCACCAAAGCTTGGCCTTCAACGTGGGTGCGTGGGTACCTACGCACACCAGCCACCTTACCTCGTGGACAGATCATGGCAGCATCTCAGTAGATCTCATGGTCATTTATTGCAGATTACTCATCGATGCTATGGCAACCTCTCAGGCTCTCACGAACGTCCGCAGTGACAACAAACTTTCTTGAGTGAGATGGAGGATGGAGATGAGATGACAAATGAGGTGTGGCGGGGTATGTGAGCCGCAAGTCAGTGATTTACAGCGCTCAGTCAGCGCTGCCGCCAGCTTGGTAACCCGTGCGGGTACCTGTAGAGGCCTACCATAATCACACCCCTGTCATTCACCCCCCTTCCTCACCTCAAATATCTGATCAACATCTCATCTCATAACCTCACCTCATCTCAACTACCTCGAAACGCTCAGGATATAAATTCCACCGAGACTAGAAACTTATGATCTAATCTCATCAACATCTCATGATCCTTATCCCATTACTCACAATAATCTCAACCCTCCTCACAACAACCAAAACCTGCCCAAACAACTCATCCCTCCGTACCCTTACCCTCAAAATGCCCGAAGTCTATAACAAAGCCTTCATCCCCCTCGAATCAAACCCCCAAGTCTTCAACGAACTCATCGCCGCCCTCGGCGCCTCATCCACCCTCCACTTCCAGGACATCTTCACTCTCGACGACCCAACCTTCCTCCCTTCCAAACTCCTCGCCCTCGTTCTCATCTTCCCTACAACACCGACCTATGAAGCGCGCCTGACGGCCGAGGACGCCGGCGCAAAAGGTTGGATGGTTGAACACGACGAAGAGGATGAGGATGCGGTGTGGTTCAAGCAGACTATTAATAATGCGTGTGGGTTGTATGCTGTCTTGCATGCTTTAGCAAATGGCCGCGCCAAGGACTTTCTGAGTGAGTCCACACAATTTCCCTTTTGCTCCAATAACCAAGAGCCCTTTGATGGACAAGACTGACAAGATTCAGCGCCGGGGTCCTTGTTAGACAACCTCCTCTCCATCACAGCGCCAATGGACCCGGCACAAGCCGCCATGGTGCTGGAAGGCTCACAGGAACTCGAGGATGCGTACGCTGCTATCGCGACAAAGGGCGACACGACAGCACCGCAGAGTGCCGAGGACGAAGTATACTTTCACTACATCTGCTTCGTCAAGTCACCAGATACCGGCCATCTCTACGAGTTGGATGGAGATAGAAAGGGCCCGGTGGACAGAGGCATTCCCGACGAAGAGGAAAAGGTGGATCTCGGACCAAAGTCCGTAGACATTGTCAGAAAATTCATTCAGCAAGGGGGAGAGAACATCGGGTTCAGTCTCTTGGCCTTGACTGAGGGGGCATGAGCAAGCACATCTACATTTACGCAGAAAGGCATCCTTCAGCGCAGCCATCAGCAAGCACGTTTAGACCGAGGCGTTACGGTGGCATTAATGGTGGGTCTTTAACTTTGTACGCTCAGGTCGTCCATGACGCTATTTAGCTCGCCTGGATAATCTTCTCCAACTGATCGGGGTCCTTGATGGTGGGCGTCAGGTTTTCACTGCCGTCCTTGGTGATGAGGATGTTGTCCTCGATTCTGCACAAATTAGCATACTTATACGCCAGGACGTTGCGGTCAGGGCTAAACTTACCTCACACCGCCAACATCCCAGTACTTGTCCAAAACGGCTTGGTCAATGAACTTGGAGTGAACGGGGTCCTTGAGGTATGGCTCAATGATGAAGCTGCAGAAGTAGATGCCCGGCTCGACAGTCACGATGCTGCCGGCAGGAATCTGGCCTCGGACACGCAGGTATCGGAACATGGGGTCCGTATCGGCGTAGTTGGGGTTACCACCGACGTCGTGGGTGTCCATGCCCAGGTAGTGGCCAAGGCCGTGGGGGAAGAAGGCAACGCTTGTCCGGCTCCTGAGGATCTCATCCTTGTCGCCCTTCAGAATGCCAACAGCGTGGAGGCCATCGATGGCAATCTTGTGCGCCAGCAGATGAATGTCATCCCAGACGACGCCCTCTTTCAAGGCAGCAGTTGTCTCCAGCTGCATCTTGAGTACGGTGTCGTAGATTTGACGGGACTCCTTGCTGAACTTGCCGGAAATGGGGAACGTGCGGGTCTACTCGATGTTAGTTGTGCAATACACAGACTTTGACGCCAGAACACTTTACTCACAATATCAGATGCGTAGCAGTTCCATTCCGTACCAGCATCCAAAAGAAGGTTCAGCTTTCCTTCCAGGGGCGCATCGTTGGCGACGTAGTGCAGAGTGGCAGCTGCGCGACCTCCAGCAAAAATACCATGGTAAGCCTGGTTCTTGGCACCATTCGCGACGCTGTGCTGCAGGAACAGAGCCTCTAATTCCCTCTCATTCTTGGCATTCTTGACAGCCTTGACAACGGCGTGGTGACCGATTGTGGAGACGTCGTTGGCCTTTCTGGTGAGGGCAACCTCGTAGTCGTCCTTGACCACACGGCACCGCTCAATGGCGTCCTTCAGAACACTAAAGTTCTTGTCATCGAATTCGAGGAAAGTGATGTTGTCGAGAACCTGGTCCTGGATAGCAAAGACGGTGTTCTTGGAGCCCTTGCCCAGTCGCGCAAGCTCGGCATTGACGTCGGTGGTGTACTTGACATCGTCGATATCGTACAGCTCCTTGGCCTCAGAGGCGCTGACCGGCAGACCAGACCAGATGACGCTATCGGGATCGATAGGGGGGATGAAAAGAGTTGACTTGTTTGTTGCAAGATCGAAAACGTAGTGGCAGTCGGCGAGAGGGCAGCCGGTCAGGTAGTAGAAATAGCGGCGCTGTCTTTGCGATGGGTGTCAGATATGGTTGGATGAATAGATAGCTATAGAGCCAAAGGCTGAGAGGCTAGAGATGGTACCTGAAGGGCTCGGGCTCGTCATTGTCTTCGAGCATCTTGGTCATGCGACCCTCGACATAGAGAACGCCAGAGGCATTGGGAACCTTGGACTTGACGTAGTCGGCGACACGGAGAGCATGCTCCTTGGCGGGGTATTTGCCCTTGAGCACTGTTTCGTAGTCTTGAGCCATGGTGGCACTAGGATGTGTGGCGGAGAAGAGCCGCGTTGGTGACGACGTCTGGAGGGGGTTTGCTTTGCGATGCGACGGGAGAGCTCTCCGTGGCCTGCCTAGGGGTCTGGATGCTGGGGCAGTGGATAGCTGTTGGATTCGGAGTTGACCGATGAGGCTCTTTGCTGCAGGTATTGGTGGTGGTCGTGTTGGTGGCACAAACTTGGGGCAGAGAGCAAGAATGCTGCGTGCTGGACGAGTAGATGTTCTGGTCAACATGAAGGGAGTCCGGCCGGCCGTCACACCCGACGATTCTGCCTTTGTGGAGGGGTCAGGAATTCAGACGAAGGAGGGGCACTCAGCAGCCAGCAGCACTGTAAGCCGAGTTTAGGCGCAGCACCTCATGTGTAGGTACTTCGTAAGGTGTGGCACAGCGGGACAGCGATAGCTGTAAGGTCTCCGCACGGGTTTAGTGACGAATCAGAGCTCTGGAATGTGTCGGATAAGGAAGCTGGTTGTTGCCAACGGGCCCTGAATGGAGTCGAATCTCTCGAAGTTTTTGACGCCTTTCCCACCACGGCGGACGGGAGCAACAGTGCAATCTCGAGACTTCTTTACGTAATCACACGGTGCTCAGGTGTCTCCACTTCCCTCGGCACATTATGTAAGGTGAGCCGACTTTGGCTGACACTGGTTGTCACTGTCAACTATCTGTGACAGCTGGCAGTCGAGGTACGAGGGTACATGGGAACGATGGAAGCTCGGGAGAAGAAGGCGCGAGAAAGTCACGATACCTCAGGCCGGGGCCACGGGGTGTCATTTCTCCAACTCCAACTTCTGACGTACCTTACACTACAAACTTCAAGCTTCTCCAAACGCCCTCCACCTGTTCACATGTCATATCCAAGGGTGTCTAGTATGCGCATCCTCAACCCGTCCACGATTGTCCTCTTCAATCCGTTTTGGGCTTCCCCCGTGGCACTGGAACCCCTTCGCCGAGGCGGCTCAACAACGACGCCAGAAAAGCAACGACGATGCAACTAGACCATACACACCCGCTAGATTACGATGCGACTATAGCTCGTCCGAGCCTCACCGTTCCATGGATCATGGACGGGTGACGGCGGGTGACACATACGAAGGGGCTGAATACGCCCAGATCTAGAACATCAACCCAAGCAAGACTTCCGCCTGATTGTCTTTGGTCGAACGATTGTTACAAACATCATCCTCTGTTCCGATGACACCTGTTCTGACCAAGAATTCGGGCTGGCCGATCTCTCCCTGCTCACCACCAACATTAATCTCCCTTTCACATGAAGGAGCCGTCTCTGTTCTAAATACGACCTGCACCCTTATTCGCAGGACGACCAATCGAGACCAACGGCAGCCAACCAATACGGGGTTCCATCACCAAACGAAGGATCGCCTCCCCTGAACCTCACAACCTCGTTCTTGAATTTTCAATTTTCAATTCTGCTGTTCCCTAGACAAGGGGGACTGCGTGACGTACTCCGTACACGGTTCAGACATGGACTGTCTGTCTAGACTGTCCCTCTAGTGTCGACCTCAGTCTTCGCTTCGGCGAGAGGGTTGTGTCGCCTCATGCGGGTAAATCCTCCCGAAGCCACTCAGCGCCCACTTGTGCAAGTTGCAACCAAGGGACTCAGATGCCCGGCTAGCCCAACGGGGCAGAGACCGGCGCGACGAGGCAACGACTTTTGCCAATTTTCACTACCTACCACCATCTACCTTAATACCGCAGCATGTAGCTGCTACTGCACTGCCGGCTTCAAGAATGACAACAGGTCAAGACTTGCCATTGCAGCGCAACAACATTCGCAACAACAGCCATCAGATGACGCCCCAGAAGCCCACAAGAGCTCCCCCATAAGGTTCTCTGCCACATTAGCTAGTTGTGATGGAGGCCGCGGACACTGTCCGACAATCCAATGCCTTCGCGGCCTGCCTCCACTATCTTCGCCAACATCGAGGGGGGCATCGATGGATGTTATCCTGCACGGGCAACCGCCTGGATGGGCTCAGTCCGACATCCCAGCATGCGACTGATTACTGATTTGCTCAGAGCCTCACACGACGTTGCACCAACTCCACCACAGGTCCTTTCTGCTTCTCCAACGTCAGTGCTTTCTTCCCCGACCTTGGCCGCCAACCCACAAAATCCCCAGGGGGAATTATTGGACCTGTGTTTGTCCAGTGGCACTGGCACAATGGACCCAAAAGTCCCCCAGTCGAACCACTGAACAATCAACTCGAGTCAGGTCTGAACCTCCGTCTTAGTCAACGGATCCTGGCATACCCAGGTTCTGCCACCGACCTTTCAGATGCCACTCTGGAACCGTTGCCCGAGCCGTATAAGAGAGGGACGAGACCACGGATAAGAAGTCATCAACGACAATAAGCACTCTTTACACCGTGCCAGGCTGACAGAACAACACTCCCCTGCGAATATCGCGACGCAGCCTGACACCTGGGTTGGATACTCCATAAATCTGCGGATAAGAAGTTGCATTCTGCGACCCAAAACGTCTATTATTCTTCTTCTGGGGTCCCCATTCGAAATCGCGGGCCTACGGTGCTTGCCCAGGCTCTGTCGCCGAAACGCTCTGCCTCGTCGTGAGCCCGCCCTCACAAGGCACACAACCTGCTTTAAAATCATGTTACGGTCATATGAAGAACCGAGAAATCAATGCGCAGCGAAGTTGGCCTACGATGCTGATCCGCTTTCCCAAAACGTGCATAGCCATCACTGCAGGTGGTTCAACCGGAGGCAAAGACAGACAAGCGCCTTGGTATGTCCGTAATACGCGAACACCGCCAATGAGGCTGGCAGGTGGCGGACAAGCACCTGAATTGCCTACCTCCGAATACGGGCATCATTCGTCAGTATTCGAGTCGTCTTGTCCTACCTGCGAAGATCTCGGGCCAAATACCGACGCTACCAGCTGTGCTCCATTCACCAAAATAATGTCCCTGTCGGAGCTCTCCTGTTAGAGCATCCTTACACAGTGCAGGCACATACGATTCCTCCCCTCCGGCGCCCAGCGTTGGAGGCTGCCGTGTGCCGTCTAACATTCTTGGGGTCAAGGATGGCGGCTACAACCAAATCAGGCCTTCCGGTCCCATACCGCTCGTTCGAGAGTTAGGATCCATCACCAAAGTACGGATTACCATGTCCGGCTTTTATTCGTTCACGGGGCCACAACGTTCCACATCGCGCCAGTCCAGTTAACCGTTTGATACAGTCTCATACGTAGTAATTAGCGCTTTCATGGGCCACCTTGATACCCCGTTCACATCTCTGATTTCGTCCAATACAACACCGGACTGAGGAGGGTACCGAATCCTTCATATCGCCATTTTACGGTCTTTTGATCTTCCAACAGTCTACCCCGCAAGGAACCCCGACCGCCACCCCCGTCCCCCGTCCCCCGGCCACCCTCCGCTCCCGTTGCTCGCTCGCTCGCCCGCACATCTGCAGCTTATTTAGGCGTGTTGGGCTCGGCAGTCCGCCTGGTGTCGGTCCGATAAGGCCATCTCTCGTTACGATCCTCAGTGAACGAGAGGGAGGCGGTCTCGAAGCCTGGTCAGCAGCCCAATCACATGATTCTTTTGCCGTGGGTCTGCTCTCACACTGCTTGCAGGCTGCCCTCCCTCTTTTCTCCCGACATGACGTAGGACAAGCCTTGCTGGAAAAATACATACATACCACGGCAGCCAGGATACAGGGGAAGATGCCGGGCATGGGTCAAGAGGCAGCTCGCCAGCCCGCCTCTTTGCGCGAAAAAGTCCGTTTTGGCTTCTTCAATATGACGGTGCTACTATCGCTTACCGCTCAAATCAACGTCGCGCAGCGCTCAGAGCAGAGCTGATGCGCGCAGTGCCGCGTCCCATATCCCAAGACATGTCAAGAAGCTTCAAGCTCACTCAAGCCTTTTAGCCTGTCGCCCATATCCTTCTCGGCGGTGGACTATGTGGACACAAGCAACGCAAAGCTTCGACGATCGAGCTTGGGGGTTTTTTTTTTCGTCCCTGCCTCTTGTCTCTGCTTCCCCGCGCTTGACCGGCTGGGATGATTGCGTGGCGCTCCGCGGCGGCCAAAAGTCAATGAATGCGCCAAGCGCTTGGCTCTCACGATCACTTCTCAGTATTGCGGGACGGGTGTGACTGGATGAACGACTCAGATGCCTCAAATCTTTCTGCACGTTACATTGCGAGGCACCAATACGCGACGCTGACAAGGGACCTGCGCCTGTGTCACCTGGACAGTAACTATTCCCTTCCTTCGTCTCCCTTGGATGTGTTATCCCGGAGAGAGCCCACTTGTACTCCGTACATACCCGTCAATTCGTCGGTGCTCCCCTCCCCTTGGCAGAAAACAAACCATCGCCGGCGCAAGCTGTAGGCAGAGTAAAAAGCAACATCTACAAACCGCCAAGCTCTCCCACGACAGGGTTTTAGCACCAGAGAGCCCATGCTCAGACCAACAATGCGAGTCCAAAGGCTAGACTCGAGCGGATTCTCCGTCCTCGCGTGGGGCAAGGCAGTCTAGGAACTTGATTACCATGCCGATCTCGACCAGTCACTTCACGTTCCTGTAGAACCAAAACTCCAGGGAACTGAAGCTTCTGGGGTGTGTGCGGAGACGCCAAGAAGACAGCTGCTCGAGTTTCTGGTACAGGATCATCGGCTGTTTTCGTCTGGTACCATGGGGTCGGGCTTGCCTCTCGCGCCTCTATAAAGATCTGTGGCTGCCCATGCGACGGTCCCATGTTGGTCGTTCTTCTTGGTTGTCCTGTATGCGCGCCGTGCTTCCATTAACTTGTGAAGCCTATCTCAGACGTTGTCACACGTCAAAGCTCATCGCGTCGAAGCCAGTCAACACATTCACTCAAGAATAAGAACAAGACACGATACACAATACCCACTCATCGCCAGTATGGCTGATAAGATTCATCCAGAAGGGTAAGCTCTGTTCACCGGTGTTGTAGCCTCCAAAGTCTTCTAACACGCATCTGTCCAGTGAAAAAGTCGCGGATGTCTCCGGACATCATGAAGAGCGTGGCACTCATCAGCCCGACCCAGTTGAGCTCAGCCGCAATATCGAAGCAAAGTAGGTTACCTCAAAGTCGCCCGGCACCACATCCAAACATGTCTAACCAGAGCTACAGGATCAAGAATCCTCTCGAGGGAATCCCGTATAATCAGCTCATGCGCGATGTCGAGGCCTTTTGCACAGAGCATGGACTACAGGAAGAAATCGCCGTGTTCCGCAAGGGTGCACTGGTAGCCCAAGACCCTCAAGGCTACGAGGCTCTTACCGGCAGTGAAGCTCTCGATGAGGCTGAGATTACAGCTCTGCGAGAGGAGGTCACCCACAAGTGGCGCTTGCCTAAGAAGCTTTACCTCACCATCATCACTTGCTCCATCGGCGCTGCAGTTCAGGGATGGGATCAGACTGGTACCAACGGCGCCAACATTTTCTTCCCGGACGAGTATGGTATCGGAAGCGATAGTACCCGAGACCGTCTCATTTTAGGTCTGGTAAACGCTGGCCCCTACTTTGGAAGCGCGTAAGTACTACAGCTGTGTCAACTCTTGCCAACTTACTAACGTTCCCAGCCTCTGCGGTTGCTGGCTGTCCGACCCCCTCAACCACTACTTTGGCCGTCGCGGTGTTATCTTCTTCTCGGCTCACTTCTGTATCTGGCCTCTCATCGGTTCCGCCTTCAGCCACAACTGGCAACAACAACTCGCCAATCGTCTTCTCATGGGAATTGGTATGGGTGCCAAGGCCTCGACTGTACCCATCTACGCTGCCGAGAACTCCCCGCCGTCAATCCGTGGTGCCCTGGTTATGTCATGGCAAATGTGGACAGCTTTCGGCATCGCTTTGGGAACAGCCTTCAATTTGGCCGTCTACTACGCCAAGTACAACTGGCGTCTGATGCTCGGTATGGCATACCTGATCGAAAGGCTTCGCATGAAAAGCAGATTGACTAACTATTCAATTCGCAGGTGCTCCTTTCCTCCCAGCCGTTCCCTTGCTCTGCTTGATCTACCTCTGCCCCGAGTCTCCTCGCTGGCTCATGAAGAAGGGTCGCTACCACGATGCTTGGAAATCCATGATCCAGCTCCGACACAACCACATTCAGTGCGCTCGTGATATGTACGCTATTCACGCCCAGCTGCAGCTTGAGAACCAGGTGTTGGGCAAGAGCAACTATGCTAGCCGCCTCAAGGAACTTTTCACCATTCCTCGCGTGCGCCGCGCCAACTTGGCTGCTTTCACCGTCATGATTGCTCAGCAGATGTGTGGTAAGTAACACCGATGAGTGGCAAATCCCATTGTGAACCGAACACTATCTGACAGTATTTGCAACGCAGGTATCAACATTATTGCCTTCTACTCGACCACCATCTTCAAGGACGCCAACATGGGTGATTTCCAGGCCCTACTCGGTTCGTTCGGTTTCGGAATGGTCAACTGGCTCTTTGCCTTCCCCGCCTTCTGGACCATCGACACGTTTGGCCGAAGATCCCTGCTTTTGTTCACCTTCCCTCAGATGACTTGGACCTTGTTGGCCGCTGGTCTTTGCACGTTGATTGCGCCCGGCGTAACCCGCACTGCCCTGGTGTCTCTCTTCGTCTACCTTTTCGGCGCCTTTTACTCGCCTGGTGAGGGTCCCGTACCCTTCACCTATTCTGCCGAGGTCTACCCTCTTTCTCATCGTGAGATGGGGATGGGTTTCGCCGTTGCCACTTGTCTCTTCTGGGCCGCCATCCTGGGAATGACCTTTCCGTTCATTCTCGACAGACTCCACGTCGTCGGTGCTTTTGGTCTCTACGCCGGGTTCAACGTCGTCGCCTTCTTCATGATCTTATTCTGGGTTCCCGAAACCAAGCAGCGCACGCTGGAAGAGCTCGACTGGGTCTTTGCTCTGCCCACCGCCCGCTTTGCGCACTACCAGGTCACCAAGGCGATTCCCTACTTCTTCCAACGCTGGGTCTTCTTTAACCGCAATGCGAAGCTGGAGCCTCTCTACACCTTCCAGCAACACCAGCGGGAGCAGTCCGCGGAGCGTGTCCCTAGCTCCGATGAAGAGAAGAAGAGCTACTAGGCTTGCCTTTCACAAAAGCCAGGCAACGTACATGACGTGCTGGCTTGTTGGACAACAATAATTGCTACTGGAGGAAAGAGGTTGCTTTGAGATATACCCAGGTGGCGGATGAGATAACGAAGTTTACTTTCTTGGATGTCGATGTGATATTCCGCAACATAATCCTAGGTCGCACGGCCTGCTATGAGTTTGAATTGATACCAACTTGAATACACTGCGATTCATCGAACCTCTAATTGTCCCTCGCAATTTCAAGTGCCTACCACAACTTTCCCATGATATGAATGAAGAGTGCGGATCAAGTCGAGACATCTCAATAGCGGCGGCAGCAGTACCTGTCGTCACCAGAATACGCCGTATTCATGGCGTCGGCTCTCTCCGCGTATGGACTTCGTTCATAGCACCCGCACCCTGAATGCGAAAACGATGGATCGCGATATGCCAAGACACGGCGCTTACAATTGCCGCTCTTCTTTGTGCCAGTCAATTCTCCCCTCGCCCCCGCATGGCCCGATGGCCCGATGACCGTTTTAGAGCCGTTGGAGCCTGAGGGGGATCTGATATAAACTTTTCACGCGGGTTCTTATTTCCGCCTTGGACTGCTTAGTCTCCAAACTCCCGATCTTGGCATTTGCGTCTTGGCGTGGAGTCAAATTGAAAGAGTCTAGAGGGGAATAATGGAGTCGATACTCGGTATGGAGTATTCTGGGGCATGTTGACATTGCCGCTTGGTTTGGCTGCCATGACTCGTTTAGAGCTTTAGGGATGATGAAGTACCGGCATATTGGGTCAATACTGTCTGCGACTGGAGTAAGGCCGGCATCAAGTAAATGTGTATCTGGTACATTGTCATGGACCTAGAAAACCTGGAATGGATGCCAAAGATGACTTAGATGGACCATCTCAAGCCATCTTGCCAGCAATCAACACCTTTACTGCCCCCATCGCTCCAAAATTTCCCTCTTCCTCTCACTCCTCAACCTTGCCTTCCCAGCATCAACCCTCTCAACCCTCTCCTTGACCTTTTCAACCTCCTGTCCCAACACGGCAATAGAAGCCTCAATCCCCTCATCCACAAGCCTCACATCCCCAAACGGACTCTCAGCAAGCAGACTATCCCGCAGCAACTGAATCGCAAGCTTCGAATCCGCAAGCTGCGTCGCGGCGGCACCCTCAAGCGTCTCCTGAGCATTCCGCGCCACGTCGCGGGCTTTCGTCTGTCGCTCTGCCAAAGTGGCGGATAACACGGCTGTCTGGACCGCGCTGTCGGTGACGTCCTCGGGAAAGGCGATGGCGAGGGAGCGGAGGAGGGCTTCGAGGGGCGGTTCGTCAAAGGCTGAGGAGCGGCGGCGGCGGGGGTTGGCTGCGTCGCGGGTGGGTGATCTTCCGGGGTTTGTGTTGCGGCGGCGGACGGGGGAGACGAGGTCTTGGGCTGGTGTCTTCTTCTTTGGCGTCGCGACTGGGGTGGAGAGTTCTGCGCGGGCTGTGGTGAGGAGGCTTGATGTTGCTGTTTGGTGGGAGTGGTAGGCTTCTAGGCGGGTGGAGAGACGGTCCATGTGGTCGAGGAGGTAATCTAGGCATTCGTCGATCTAGGCGTGTCAGTGACAGTAACTTTGGTCTGAGGACGGGTCAGAACTTACGTAGATGACCGCAGCGGCGGAGCGGCGGAGAGACTGTCCGTTCTTGCTTGATAGCGACTTGAGAGCCGGTTCGAGGTGCTGCTGCTCCACCGACATTTGAGCCACGGGAAGGATCTCTGCGTAGAGAGATTCGAGCTCCTCCTGCGAGGTTTTGACATCGTCTGACGGGTGTGATGTCACGCCATTTTGGTGGGCGGAGCTCAAAGCTTCGAGGTAGAGCCTGTCGAGCTTTGCGCGGACCGTTTCGACGGTGTATTTGATCATCCTATGACATTCATGTGAGTAGATGTGTCTCTTGAAGTTGCGGGACAGACGAGCACAAACCTCATGCAGATCTCACGAAGCTTCTCCACGTTTTCACGGTCCTCTGGGTCCTCGGTCTCGAGTTCGAGCCCCAGTTTGCGGAGACTCAGCAGAAGCTTGTCGTCGGAGTGAAGCAGACTATCCAAAGTCTGCTGCAGGCCGTTACCAGAAACCTTGGACTGCTGCTCGAGGTCTGACGCCTTGTACTCTAGACTTTGAGACAGCTCCTCGACCTAGACAGGAATATCAATGACTTGGTTCCCAAATGGTGAACCAACAGTACAACTCACCGTGGTCATCATCTTCCTACGCTCAGTGTCATGCTTCTGGTTCCGTTGGAAGACGAGGTCGGAGCGAGCCTCCTCCACCCTAGAATGAGTCTTGACTAGCTTCGACAGGGCATCCTGCTGCTGCTTCAAGGTCTCGGTCTGCTTCACAATGGCCGCAGTTGACCGGTTGAGCTCCTCGATGGCAGTCTGTATCTCGCGTTCGCTTACAGCTTGAACAGCAGCCAGATCCTGCGACTCGACCAGCTTGTCGACCTGACCGGATCTGTCCAGGGCTGAGTACCTACCGACCCCATATTGATAAGCCATACGTACGTAAATGAGCGCGCGACACTGATGGGAGTACTTACAAGGCTAATTCGTCTCTAGACAGCAGGTTTTCGGGGCCGAGGTGAAGGCGTGCCCATTCTGTAAAGGCAGTTCCGTGCTCTGGGTCGTCGAGGGCCGCCTGCAGGGTGTGTCGGTCAATGGCGATACCGTAGCCTCGTATGATATTTTCCAGGTTTGAGACATCCATAACGGCGAGCGAGTACCTCGATTGGAAGGTGCCTAGACTTGAAGAATTTCTTTGAAGGTGTAAGGGTGGCTGAACAGAGGTGGCCAGAAACGGAGCGTCCCTCTTTGGCTAGAACTTGGTGTTCAACAACCAACGGCTTTTGGATTAAGGTGCTACACGTGGACAGAGTTACGAAGCAACAAAGGACGGGACGGGCCTTGGTGTCTGACCGGTGATGGCTGTCGCCCCCAACCTTGACTCGGATTCGGAAGAGAGGGTTGAAGGTGTGGAGGTGGAGGTGGAAAGGTGTGAAGAGTTGGGTTGGAAGGTCGTTTCCGGAAAGGGAACGGCTGTAGCAAGAACACACGGGATGCGGTTGTCCAATGACGGAAGACGGCTGAGGTTTGTGGTTTGGTCCACAGATCAACGGTCTCAGAGGCCAGCGGAGCGGAGACAAAAACGTCTAAAGGTTCCGGGGTATTCTGGCTTCCGTTGGGTGTAGCCAAGTCACGACGTCTGGAGGCAGCACACACCGCCGTTGTTGGTGCAACCGGGCGGTAAAGTCGGAGAGGTTGCGTTATTGTACGCAGTAGTATGGACGATGAACCCGTCTCGGCTCGGGATGCTGTTTTCTTTTCCTTCAGGTATGGATTCGAATTAGGGGATGATCCGATGGTCTGTTCGTTGGATCTGATCTGGGAACCAAGATTAAATGAAGGACCACGCAAACCGAATAGGTGGGATGATTCAGTCAAGAACAAGGATGGGACATGAATGAGAGGCTCATCAGAGTGATGAGTGAGTTGAATGAGTGAGTGAGTAAGTGAGTGAGTGAGGTGTCCAATGCAATGAATGAGGTGAGGTGCAAACAGAAACGTCGGTGGGCAACAAAAGGAAACCCACCTAAATATGGCCAGTTAGTCCTAAAGGGGTCGTCAGAGACTCCACTGGTAGCTGCAGCCGACCAACCACATGCGGCAGACCAGCAGCCTCCCGCCTGCACGGACCCTCAAGCGCACCCGTCCACTCATCCCGTCTGGTCTGCAGCTGCCCCATCCAATATCACGCCCGGTACGTATCTTGCAGCATTGGTGATACTGCCGATAGACTTACACGACGTTCCCTTCCCTCCACTTGCCTTCATCAACCAACGACCAACAACAAGCTGCTCTGTCTGATATTCAGTCACTCATTCGAAAAGAGGATGGAAGCAGTACTGGAGACACGCATCCTGCGGAACGACAACCACAACCACATCCCCGGCAGCTATCCGTCCCAGCTCTGTTCAGACACCCCCACAAAGCCCAGAATCGACAAGGACGACCAGCCCGATCTCTCATCTTCAACTCCGTACACAGCAAACCAGAGCGTTTTCTGCAAGATATCATGTAACTACACAGGACATCGTCTTTAGGTAGGTACACAATCAACATCTTCAAAGCAGGTCTGACCCATTCTGGATATCGTTTGCAGCACGCGCCGCTTTGCCGTCAGTCTGCCCCTCCCCGCCTGGCAGGGTGCAGCTTGCATCCTAGAGTACATCGACAAGGACGGGATATGGCTTGAGCGTCCCGTTGCATTTTGTCACTTTTGACATCTGCCACACTTACATGCTATCATTCTTGGCCTGGGGGCTATTTCCCACCGGACGAGCAGCGAACCGACCATCGGGCTGCCAAATATGGACATCCAGACGCCCGGCACGGTCCGGACGGAGCGGCCATTAGGGGGTCTTCATCGAAGATATTCAATGGACCCTGCTCAGATATCTCGGATTGCCAGTTCAAACAGACGTGATCGTTTCCCGGTCAAGCCTTGCCGCAAAGTGTGATGCATCGATTCTGCATCTTCATCACCAACAGAACGAGATCGATGGACCAACCGCAAATCTTGATCACTCGTTCCTCGGACTCTTGGATCCGTTCCACCGAGCGACAGCATCATCTTTGGATTGGATGGATTTGCTTTCTCCCATTTGTTCGGAGTTGCTGGATTTGCCACTGGGACCCGTCGACAAGGGAAGCTTCCGGGCCTATCGTGTGTTCATCCAGCGTTTGTGAAGCCATCCACGACCACGGGATACAGGGGGGGGGGGGCCACACACTTCGCCTTTGACCGGTCCCCATCCGACTTCATGTTCACCTTCAACTTCACCTTTTTTTTATGTACTTTTGGACCCCACTCGGTCTACATTCACTAGAATGGCAATGGGGGCCGGCTTCGTATTCTAGTACCCGACCCGTGGCGAAACCAAAAGACTATCTTTCGACGAGTTTTCCATACTGTTTCCCTCCCTTCTTCGTGGATATATACCGCTCGTGTACGACACTGGATGACGGGAACTGGGAAGCAAGAGCCTCTTTGTGTTTCCTTGTATCTTTACCAACTGCGGCCTTGTTTTCCACCTCGTTTCACTTGTGGATCTGATTGCCTTTATTACTTGGGACTTCACCCTGGGGTAAAGTCAGTATCAAATCATCCTTGGACATATTGTCACACAGCACCCTCCTGTTCACCCTGGGATCCGTCTCGTCTCGTCCTCTCCTCCTCTACTACGACATGTTTACAAGAACCACTGCTCGCTTCGAGCTTCTCTCCCAGACTCTCCAATGTCTCAGACTCAAACTCAGACATTTGACAGACAATGTTCCCAGAGTCCGTTTGCCATTGCGAATGTTCAGGAGAGGCACCGAAGAAAACAGCACCGACAGATGGGAACATTGCACCCGTCTCATACGCCAGCGGATGCGTGACATCTTTTGGGTCGGGGTGATTTACCTCGCTAGCGAATTGCTCATATGGGGTCTCTACATGGGCCTGTTCAAGCCCCGACTTGAGTTCCTGTCATCCATCATTGGCATGGTGGTGGTGTTTTGTTTCATGGTCGCCATTTCATATCTTTGTCCGGGGTTAGAGGGCTTCTATCACCGCCACATCAAGTACAAGGTTTGTCCTTCACCTTTGTCCTCGATTCGCTACTGTTCGCAAGTACTGACCTGGCCAGGTCGACTTTATCAATAGCAACTTGGGCATTGGCTTTCCGGTGCCCATCATCACCATTAGGGAGCAGAATTTACTTGGCGGTAAGGGGATTGGAAGAGTGATTGGCAACTTTTGTGAGTTCACCTTACTATCGAACAAGCTTGAACATGTCGAGGCTGACAAACAAAGTGAACACGAACGTCATCTTTTGGATATTGGTATTCCTGCTTTCTTGGGGCATCCTGGCCGGAATCCTCAGAATCCCAACCCTCTCCCTACGCCAATCTGAAAAGAACAGTGAAGCCGACGTCGACACCGAAGTCGACCAGTCATGGCACTCCAGTGGGCAAAACACCCCCGTCCCACGCATCCAGATGCCCCCTGCGACCCTCAGCCGCAGGCCATCCGAGTCGACGACCCTGAACGGAACCACGATCAACGGATACCATACCGATAAGGAAGCGGGACTGGGTCTAGACTCGAGGACCGTCTCGGCTTACTTCACCGACAGTGATTGCCAGACCCCTATCCCACCTCCAAGCCCACTAGGCCACTATCACGATCGAGTATCGCTCTCAAGCTCGCAGCGACCCCAAGTCTCGAGCGGAGAGGGAACGCAAAGATACAGCTGGGCTAGAGAGTGCTATCCCATTATCTTGTCAATCTTGCTCCTCGTCGTCGTAGGCATCCCTGTCTCGTACACCTTAGGCGATGACCGCATCCTCGATGGCTGCATGCTGTGGTTCACCTGGATCAGCAGCACCAGGCTCCAACGCAACTTTGGTCGCAGCGACATCCTCGCCAGCGCACAAGGGTTCAAGACGACAATCACAACACTCCTCAACCCCGTCCTCCTAACGATTCTCGGCATGACAGCCTACACGCGCGCCAAAGCCGCCGCCACGGACACGGCCATCAGCGAGACATTGGCCAAGTTTGCTTGCGGTAATACACTCTCCTATATCTGGAGCTCAAAGGTATTGGAAGATTGGTATGGCCAGATTGAGTGGTTTGGCGCCGGCGACGCAGCAACCTCGATCCTCGAGGTCGGCATCGTCGTCTGGGGGTTCAAACTCTACGAGTGTCGGCAACAAATCTGGTCTCGCGCCGGCGCAGCCGTGGTCATTCTCTCGGCTGGCTTCGCGGCACTCAACGTGTTTGTGTCCGTCCTGCTCGGCCGGGCAGTTGGCCTCGGGCCACCCGAGTCGCTCGCCTTCGCGGCGCGCAGCACGACGCTGGCGCTGGCACGACCTGCAACAGGGTCAATCGGCGGGAATTATGTCGTCAACGCGGCACTGGTGGTGAGCAACGGCATATTAGGACAGCTGATGTACCCGTTCCTCCTGAGGAAGCTAGGCTTCGACGCCACTGAAGAGTCAGACATCGACGTGAACGAAGAAGAAGAAGAAGAAGAGAGGCCGAGAGACGATGCGCTTACAATCGGGGTAGGGATGGCGATTGGTATCAACGGCGCAGCCATGGGCGTTGCATATCTCTATGAGAGGAGGATCCGGGCTGCGCCTTATGCGGCCCTCTCGATGACCGTGTTTGGGGTTTTCACTGTCGTCTTCACCGCGATTCGTCCGTTTGGGGATACCTTGAGGGCGCTTGCTGGCATACACCATGGCGTCCCACCGTATGAATAAGTAGGTACCTCGAAGTAAGGTAGTTTGGCGCGAAACATCTGTGACTCGGCACATAGAAGGCGGCGCTCTGCTTCAAGGTACGCAGCATAGCATAGCATGATTGATCCATAGAACAAGGGGGGAGCCAAATTGTACTTTTCAGCTCGTGGTCTCTCTTCAGAAGCGCATTTGGTATTTTTGATATACAGTTATGCCCGTGGCAAGCGCGTGAAAAACAAGTTGCAAAAAATGTCATAAACGTCTGGCTCTGGCTCACCTGAGCCGTGTCTCTCATGTCCACCGGCACCCACCGGGCACCGGTAAAACTTTTCTGTGAAACCCCCTGCCTGCTTACACGCGCATGATGCTGTTCGTCTCTACTCTATCCGATCTACTCCAGTCTATAATCCGGTGGTTAGTGGAAGTGTGCTTGGAATGGTGTTAATCAACAAGGCTTGAAGCTCACCTCTCAATCAAGTGCAGACCACTCTGCGTCTCCACGACGCCGCTGATCTCACCAGGTTTCAGGGCAAAGGCAGCTTCTTCAAACTCCTTTTGCATGTCACCCTTGCCGAAGTAGCCCAGGTCACCCATCTTACGGGCACTGCTGCAGTCGGATTCGGTCTGGGCCAGCTGGCCGAGCGCAATGGAACCGGACTTGATCTTTCCCTCGTGACCCTCGATGATTGCGAGCGCCTCCTCCTTGGTGCGAGTGATTTCGGCCTATTTCGATAGTGTTGTTAGCTGCCTGTGGTCTGCGAGAATACATGGCTGATGAAGGTTGCGTACCTCTCTCCAGCTGGAAGGGCGCCGGCTGTTCTGGTGCTTGACCAGCAGGTGAGCGGCGCGGATCTTTCCTTCTGGCACGGGGACAGCCTGGGATCTTGCGCCGGCGCCAGCGCTGTGATGGGTGGCCATGTAATGCTTCAGCTTCTCGGTGTCGGTTCCCGCAGGCGGCTCCCAGCGTGAGACCTTGTCGGCGGCATTGAAGTAGTAGGGCAGGTTCTTGGAGTTTGAGTGTCGCACTTCCCAGCCGGGGGGGAGACCGGTGTCAGACTGGAGGAGGTAGATGTTAGTCGTCTGCGGAGAATGGTATTGTCTTGGTGAGCAAGCTCAGGCTCCGCGGGGGACGCAGACAAAGGTCAATAGCAGCATGCGACTGCCCGGAGGCGAGGCTGCGCGATGGGAGGAGAACATGGGCACAAAGGAAGTGAGCGGGGTTAGGTGTCGAGGGGTGCAGAGAGGGAAAAGGCTTTGCTTTGGATACGAGGTGCATCACTGCTTACTCACCATTGTTGCGCGGGATGAAGTCTATGGGAGAGAAGAGAAGAAGCTGTTGAGATAGCCGCGGGGAACGAAAGTTCAGAGACGGAGGAGTTGCTGGAAGAAACGAAGCTGTCGTCGAGTACTGAAGTGCAAGAAACGTGGAGTTTGCAGAATAAGGAAGAGGAAGAACGGCACGGCGATGGATGCGAAGAGAGAGGGTGGGCGTCGAGGTACAAATGTACTCGGGAAGGTATACGGCAGCCGGAGTGCAGAATGCTAAGGTAAGGCCCGTAAGGTAAGGTAGGTAGGTAGGCACACGGTAGGTAATGGAAGGTGCAGCTGGGGAAGAGCTGGGGTTGGTGATGCAGCCAACGCAACTGGAGGTTCTTCAGCTTGGCTCGAATGGATTGGACGAGAGAGAATGACGTGCGGCTGCTGGGGTAACGACCAAACGAGGCCTTGCTTCCTACGAATGGGGGGCCAACGGGGAGGGGACAAAAAAGCGCAAAAGCCAAGGTACCGGGCACACTGGTGAATTACAATGGATGCCCGCTGCTCACGAGCGTTAGTGGGGAGTGGGGGGGGGAGGGCTACGGGGGACCTGGTGACCTCTGACAGGGGGCCGGTCTCCTCAAAGAGACTCGTGGACGGGAGCCATCAGAACTTGTGTCCCTGAAAGGCGGGGAAAAGGGCGCTGGCAAGAGGGGTTGATCATTCCCCCCAGCGCCTCGAAACTTATGCCCTCATTGGCCCAATTCAGTTCAAGTTCCTCTCGAGTCACGACGTAGCCAGGGTCCCGTGCTCGTCTTGGTCAGCTTACAAAGTCGATGCAGGGTTTCCCGTCCCAGACCTGTCGATCCTTCTTATCACGGTCTATCAGGATTTTCTCGACGAAAATGAGAAAGAAGGAGAAGAAGAAGTCGATTGTGAGAAAGCTAAGAAAAGGCTAGCTGACTGTTGACTGTGGCTCGCCAATCATCACCAAGTGCCCTCGGAAGCTTCTACCCAAGTTACTAAAGTTCCTAATCGTACTTGTGTACGGATACTACGCGTGAATAGTGCCATAGGCAGCTCGACATCTACATCTATGCCAAATTGCTCTAGTAAAGGCTAACACTGCTTCACTCGCCACGCTTCGTGCTGCCAGTAGTCTCATGATATCCGTACTCTCGATAGGCTTCCAATTTACAATACTTGGTTTGGGTACCCGAGGTACGTAGCTTCAAGACAGGAACCTCATATCAGAACGGCCAGTGGAGGGCGTTCATACATCCAAGACGAATCATGGAGGGTTGGCAAGATAATAGAAGTCAAATTCATCGCCTCAGATAGTGTAATACGTGCGAGGAGCGCAACGAGATACAGAGAGGCTAGCTAATCTTTGGCTCATCTTGGTTTCAGTCCTTCAGGTTTATTCATGTGAGGAGCCGAGTCACTGAGTACCTTATTCCAGAAGGAAAAGAACATTCTTAATGGAATTTGTTAAAATGAAAATCTGAATCACAAGAGTCGACGGTCTCGCCAATATTACAATCAGGTTGCCATCTGGATGACTTGAACAAGAGTGACTCACCGAGAGACAGTCCGGTGAGCCGATGGCTTACAAAGGTAGAAATTCCATTCCGCCCTGATTCACCGAGATGGCCCCACCTTTTGCCTCCCGCACTGCAAAAAGGAACGTGCGCGACCGCCTTTCTCCATTGCGGTCCTTTCCCATTCGATTATGTGCGCCGCACTTCGTTTTTCCACCTTCTGCCTGAACCTCAACAATACACATCACTTGCCCGACCTTCAACAACGCGCTCAACAGCCCGATTTTGGTCTATAGACTTACGCGACGACACCGCGACGACACCGCGAAACTCCTGCGCCCACTTCGACTAATCAAATCTTTCCCCGACGAACAAGAATCGCTTCGCGACCGACATCACGATGGCTACCCCCATGAGCACAAACTCCCAAGAGGACGCCGCGAACAAGAAGCTTGAGCAGATTACCTTTCGCTTTTGCTCCGAATGCTCCAACATGCTCTACCCCAAGGAGGATGAAGAGACCCATCGCCTCCAATTCACCTGCCGAACCTGCCAGTTTACCGAGGAGGCCCAGTCTACCTGCGTCTTCCGCAACGTCATGAATAACGCCGCCGGTGAGACGGCCGGTGTCACACAGGATGTCGGTTCGGATCCTACTGTAGGTGATCCCCAGTCTGTTCTTGCCCCTGTTGTATGCATCGGCTGCGGCCACGCCATCCTTTGCAGCGGCTGCGGTAACCTGTCCGACGACTTCAACGTCTCGGCGGCCCCTGCCCACCAGCACGACGGTTTCCAGAGCAAGAAGATGGAGATCACATGGGACGACTTGATGGACATGGCCGAGGACGAAGCCCAAGACGAGTACGACGAAGAAAAGGAATCGGTCACCTCGGACGAGATCAACCACGGATTCGCGGGCATCGCGCTCAACAACGAGCCCGAATCCGCCAACCGGAATGTGTCGTGGCCTACCTTTCAGCTGGCAGTCGGCCAGTGAGAGTGATGCTCGCCACGCGTTACCACACGACCTATTTTTGGATGACAACCCCTGGACCTGGCTTTGGCAATGGGATTTTGGCTTTCACTCTGGATACGAGACCTCCCTTGTGATCAGCTGGCTGACGCTGCATCTTTCCCGGATCTAGCTTCCACGATCAAACAAGGAATGCCCCGTCTGCAAGGGCGGCGAAGCCGTCTTCTTCCAGTCTCAGCAGCGAAGCGCCGAGACGGGCATGGTTAGTACAGAACCCCGCATCTTTCTCTCTTTTAGCAACTCGACGCCATGAGCATCAGCAAACTAATGCGCTCGCGTGCAGAAACTGTTCTATGTCTGCTGCGATTGCGGTCACATCTTCCAGTAAAAGAGACGACCTGATGAAGATACCCCAAGATTGTTCTAGAGGAGGTTGCCATGCATTGTAAGGAGTATTCTGGCGTTTTGAGCTTTCGATTGGGAAAGAAAAAAGGCCATGGGGCCACTGTTTTTGTCTTTAGCCATCATATACACCATTGAATTACATCTCCTTCGAAGGGGATTAAATATTCTTTACCATTACTCTTTGTTCTTGATTGATAGTGACCTTTTGACTTGTGACTCGACTCGACTCGACTTTCTAAATGGGGGTTTTTTTTTTTTTGTTTTTTTTTTTTTGGTATTTGATGGAGATTGGTATCGACTGCCAACCCTGGAAACGCCGGCTCATGCATTCGTATACTACACTCCCCCCCAATCTGATGACTTTTTCTCCTTTACTTGTACAAAGATCCTACACATCTTCTCACATTGTCCTCCGCCGCGTCCGCGTCCCCAAGCCCATCGACCATCCCTTTATGCGTGCATGGGCGCCATGGACAAGATCTTGCTCCACTTCTTCCTTCTCAGCTCAGCGCCAACGACGCCGTTGATGCGGGAGCCCACGGGGTCGCCGGCCTTGTTGATGAGAACGCAGGCGTTGTCGTCGAAGCGAATGACGCTGCCGTCGGGGCGGAGGGTCTTTTGCTTGGTGCGGACTACAACGGCGTGGCGCATGTCACCACGCTTGACCTTGTTGGCGGCAGACGAACCGGCCATGCCACCCTCGCTGGCACCTCTGTGTTTCTGAACAACGACGACAATTCTGTCACCTGTTATAGAGTAGAGTCTGTTAGTCTCGGGATCGGGTCGCGTGAGGAGGTTCGTTGTGTGGGCGACGAGATCGTACCGATGCGGGCGAGCTTCTTCTGGCCGACAACCATGGCGCATTCGACCATGGCAGCGCCTGAGTTGTCGATGCATTGCAGCACCGTCTGATTGCAAATCAGCTTGCTGCTTGTTGGGACGGATAGTGAAAAGATGGCATACCTTTAATTGAATCATTTTTGGCGGCGGGACCTTGTGATGGGCTGTGGTATACCGAATCTCCCCTGGCTCGTCACTGTCGCTCTGAAGCTATCTCGAAAAGGTGGGACTGCAAAGTTGAATTCCACGTCGGGACAACGGGCAGACGTAGATCCGATGACATAAGCTGGAGAGGGTCCTCTCTTGCCAGGGGACCCACTTCAAAGGTTGCATCTTGTCCCGTTGCTGCGGACAGGCCCCTTGACACCCAAAAGAGGTTAGCCGCACTGGAGACAGCGAATATGATTGGCTGAGGTAGCCGGTCAAAACTTGGTCTGTGCGACTATTTTGACGTCTCACCTGGGGCCACTTCAACGATATTTGCCTAGCCACTGAGTTTTGCAACTTGTGATTGGCCATCAACCCCCCCCCCCCCCCCCCCCCCCGGCAAGGCGCAATCCAATGTTTCCCTTTCTTGCTTCCCTCCCTCTTTCCCGTCCTGCGTCTCGACTCTTTGCTGGTCTATTCCGTACTCCGTACTCCCCTGGAAAGCTGGAAACGAAGGAAGGAAGGAATCTGGAATCTGTTCCATTGGCACTCACTTGCTGTCAATAACCTAACGTACCTTCCCTTGAGTCGGATCCAAACGAATTCGAGACTGAGTTTGCGCAAGAGAGTAAGAAGGAAAGAAACTACCCGAACCATCCAACTTGTACCGGGCAAGAGCGAATTACCTAGGTACCTTAATCTGGGACAGACGGCGACTTCTCTCTTAGGTTTCCCTCTCATCTCGAGTTCCCGTCTTTTGACGTCCAGCCTCACACACACACACCTCACCTCACCTTACCACCTCCCACCTCAACCTAACCTCATCCACTTTTTTGTCTCATTTCCCTCCTATCCCCCCTCCTCATTCTCATCTCTTTCATCCTCTCCATCGTCCGTTATCCGTCATCTTTGTTCCCACAGAGCCTCCCTTTCGCTACTGTGGATGAAGCTATTTTGATTCCCACATTCATTCCTTGAGCATTCATCCCAGCGCAACAACAACAAGGAGAGAGAAGAGGGTCCAGAACCTCCGTTTGCCCCTTCTCTCATATCGTACCGTACCGAGTATGATCCACGACGGCCCTGCGCATTAATCTTTACCACCACCCGCCTACCCTGACCGGCCTGTCCTCGTTGGCTTGTTTATGCCCCCTTTGGACTTTGGACCCGAAGACATGACGACACCCAACCTGAGCTGACCCTTCCCTCATCTTCTTGCGCCTTTTTGGAGACAACAACCTTCTTCCCGGTCTCACCCACATCTTGTTTCTGCTCATATCCTTAGCGGCCAACTTGCGACAATCGTGGCCCAGCTGTCACCTCCCCCACATCTAGGTCATTTGCTGCGCTTGACCTTGCCTTGGGCTATCGAAGGGAGCCCGACCTCGCATTTGGTCCTTCGTCCACTCCTTGCTCTGTGCGCTAAACGCTGGTCCCCTCGACGCTCGTTTAGCCTTTCCCGACGCCGCCTCGGGTTCGCTCTTTCCAACTTGCGCCGACGACGACAATTGCGACGCCGTCAATCCACCAGTCACCTTTCTCACGATGCCGCCCTCTGCTGCTGCGGCAAAGAAGCAGAAGAACAAGCAGACGCTAACATTGGCACAACTGGCATCTTATGACGACTTCCTGACTGATGCTCTAGTCGATCATGTATGCCTCTCGGTTCGGCCGGGCAGTCATGCCTCGGGCACTTTGGGGGGGGGCTGAAGAAGCTGACATTTTTGCAGGTTTTCTACTGGACTACAATTCCCAAGAACAGAAATTCCTATCACCCCTCGCGAGGCGTACGAGAGGAGGACATCACCCAGATTATCCGGGACCAGCTCGCTGTCAACAAAGACGTCGAATCCGCCGAGCGCAATTTGCTAGCCACCGATGGCTTCCGCAAGTTCTTCGCCGCCCTCAAGACGGACAAAGCCAAGGATGACTTCAAGCGACATATGCGCCGCTACATCCAGATTTACCTCCCCGATTGCCCCTTCGAGGTGAACTCGACCAACCGCTACACACTTGTGTCGCACGAAGCCGCCATCACTGCCCGACGCTTCATACGGCGGAACGAGACGATCAAGTACTTGGCCGGAACGCAGGTCAACATTTCACCAGAGGAGGAGCGAGAAATGACGGCCCGGAAGAAGGACTTCAGCATCATTATTTCCGCCAGGAACAAATGCGCCAGCCTATTCATGGGCCCTGCTCGATTTGCAAACCATGACTGCGGAGCCAATGCGAAGCTCATGACTACGTCTTCGGCGACCATTGAGATCATTGCGACGAGGAACATCGATGTCGGCGAAGAGATTACGGTAACATATGCCGAGAACTACTTTGGGGAGGACAACTGCGAATGTCTATGCAAGACATGCGAAGACAGATGTGCGAATGGTTGGGCCCCAGCGGAAGGAGACGTTGTGGTCAAGAAGAGCATTGAGGAGTCCGCTTTGGACGGATATTCTTTGCGCCGGAGGAGAAGGGACGATAGCGCCGGCCCTTCATCTCGAACCCCTTCCGTCACACCAGACATCCGGCCACGGGTGTCCAAGTCACGGCTCAGGAGCGGGAAATCTGGCCGAGACTCTCTAGCAGTCGGCTCGCCAATGTCAGATGCTCTTTCGCCGGAGAAGAAGCAGTCTTTTGATTCACTCGTTACACCGCCCATAACGCCATCCAGAAGACGAAAGATCTCGGCCAAGCAAGCGGCCTCAGCCCGTCAGGAAGCTATCGTCACGTCAACAGAGAGCTCGGCCTCTGAGTCTGTGCGCAGCATGTCATTGACCAGTAGCGGAAACGAAGATGGTTCGGTGACAGACATTACTGAACCGGAGAAAGACTCACCGGAACCGATTCAAGCTAAGAAGAAGTCAGAGCTTGTCAAGAAAGAGGAGTATGAGGAGACCACGGAGCAAGCGCTGGCTAATGCGGCGCCCTTCTCGTCGCAAAGGAAGTCCCAGAAGGAGATGTCACACACAAGTCGGGCTGCATCTGCTGTTGTCTCCCGATCAATTCCCATCTCGTCCTTGTGCAATCCACCGTCACCGCCGTCCAACACCTCGGGACCGACCCCTCTAGCATGGGCATATCCTGCGAATATCCCTCCGTACAAGATACAGGATCGTATGAGTATCGCAGCTGCCATGTGCAGCAGCGTCAGCACGAAGCCAACGACAATTTCGTCAACGGGCGTATTGAAAAGCTCTAGCGCAAGCAGTCTGAAGCTGACACAAAACGTTGATAAAATACTCTCAACAAAAGAGCCGCTCGGAAGTTCTCGTCGCGAGCCTGTGGTGCAAACGTCAAGGGTTGCGGCTCTGGCGTCAATCGAGCAAGACGGGTTGGGCAACCGCAGCTCCGACACCGTGCTGGTTGCAGAGGTCGAAGCACCGGTATCGACAGAAAATCCTACGCCGATCACTGACAGTATCAAAGTCTGTGCCAAGGTTGCTGAGACGGTGGAGGGTGGTGGTGACCAGCCACCTCTGAAGAAGCGCAAGTATCAACGGCGCACCTTTATCAAGGAGACGACACCACCCGCAAAGACCCGAACGCCCGGCGATTATACTCTAACGCCGCTGTTGCTATCAGAGCCGCAGACGGCATGGGTTCGTTGCATGAATTGCGAGACGGCATTTGTGCAGCAAAATGCATACTACACGAAGCGTTCGTGCCCGCGCTGCGAGCGCCACTCCAAGCTATATGGTTACATTTGGCCGAAGACTGAGAGGGCCGGGCCTCAAGATAAGGAGGAGCGCATCTTGGACCACCGCCTCATCCACCGGTTCCTGGGGCGCGACGAAGAGGCGCGTATCCGGGGACGAAAACGACCCGCAACGAGCACGTCGGAGACACTCGAGGAGTACGCGGGGAGCAGATTTGGAAACAAGCGCTTCAGAGCCGCGGGTGAAGAGTCCGGGGAAGGCGAAGATACGACCGGGTTAAGACGGAGTGATCGAATGCGCAAGGCTAGCACCAAGGTGGCAGAGCCGTAGGAGAGGCGAGGCGCGAGAAGCAGCCAACCGGAGCGGTCCGGGACCCAGCCGGAGAGAAACTCTCCCCAGTCCGGGGCTCCAAAGGCTCCCACCGTGGCTTTTCCTAGAACGCAGAAACGAACGACGGGGATTTATAATTGGAACATGGGGAAACATGAGGTGGAAAAGGCGTATGTCTCATGTTTTCATTGCGATAGCACACTTCTGGCTTGGGATTTTTTTGGTTTAGTCTTTTTTTCTCAGGTTTTATTTTCCTATTATGCATGCATAATCGCATGCGCGCATGTGCGGTACACA